CATTACCTTTTTTCCGCCCGGTTAAGTTAACATGATCTTGAGCGGCCATTGTCAATGGCAGGCCAACTGAGACACTAGCGGTGGCCCCCGGTTTGAGCTACTTTCGGCATCAATTACCTGTCACAAGCGCGGCTCACAAATTATAAACATTTCTCTCTGACAGCCCCAAAACGCAACTGTGTCAAAAGGCAAGCTCCAGAAACTCGGCGACTTGGAGACCCCGCGCTGCGATATAGTTTCAACAACATAAAAACCCTAATTATATTATTTGACAGCTGGGGCCCGCTGATACATAACCTCGGGCGGGCAGGCGCTCTGCAATCTGCGGCCAACAAATCCCAGTGAAAACTATAATGAGCGTTGGAAAATCTTTTCCCAAAAACAGCCCACTGAAGAAAACCATTTTAATTTAGAGTCAAGCGCGACGCCGTCAAGCATGACAGTCGTCACTGCACTCAGAAAAATGTACTCATACATTGGGTAAACCAATTCTGTTTATGATGAAATGCAAAAAAAATTAAATTATTGATACCAAAAGAAACTGGTAGGTTGAAATAAAAACTAGATTAAATTTAATAAATATTTTAATTCAATTTCGAACATCGTTTCAAAAACAGTTTAGTTTAAATTTGCGTCCTTTATATTTAGGGTTATCAAATTTCGAAAAAAAAACTACATTTTTAAACAAATTTATTTAAAGCTAAGCTTTAATTCTAAATTTAAAGGTTTCAATTTCTCCGAGTGCACCATTCAGTCGACAATCAAAAAGATGTCAAAAGTCGGAGATGGGCGATGTGATCTCGGGGCATAGCTCACGGGAGCTGACAGCTTTGGGAAATCTCTAGGAATCTCCGTGGAGAGATCTCTGACAGCTGAAAAGTGGCCACATTTCTCTCCGGCTTTGTCAGTTGCTAAATTCTCCTAATAGTTTTATCTCTGAGTGAGTGTGGGTAAATTTCAGGCCAGCGACAAATGGCAAACACACAAATGCAAATGGGTAAAAGAAATGGAACTGCCATGAGAACTTTTGCATGTCGCCATGTCGGCCTGTCAGCAGTGACTTAATCTCTGGCATCATCGTCAGCGAATGCCACACAATCGTAGATCCAAACCCAAACCCACATCCGATCCCAAACCAAACTGGGTGTCAGCTGGCCAGATCTTCTCGTGTGCTTTTCGCCAGCTTGTGTAACAATTTGGCAAGGTGTCGGCTCAGCACGAGAAGAGAAACTCTTTGCATTTCCCTGGAATCTTCTTAATTTTATGAGCTGTCCGAAATGGCTTTTGGCATGGTGTTTTGCACAGAGTTCTCTGTGAAAGTCTCGGCCACGAGAACAATTGAGGGGGAGGGGGTGGGGGGTACACCCGTGTCCAAGGAATGTCATTCAACCGACACCCTTGAGAATAGCGCTACAAATTAATACATTAGGCTCTAGGCTCTTAGCTCCGACTCGTACTTGTCTTTGCCATCTGGCCAGGCCTAAACGAACTCTAAATGGCAAAGTTGATCTCCAGCGATTAGCCGCAAATGGCAATCCCATAGACCTACATCATGTCTCTGCTTTTTTTTTTCTTTTTCTTTTTTGTTGCCCCTTGTGATCTGCCATAGATGTGATTGAATCGAAATTGTTGGCAATCGCGCCAAAGTCCGTTGGCACTTGTGAGGCATTAAGAGTTTTCAACGAGACACATTCGTACCACAGCCAGATGATAAACACAGCGATAACGGCAATTTTTCATACGTAATTTGTTTTATGCCTGGAAATTAAATTAACTTGTTTGCCAGCCATTTTAGCTTTTTGCTTTTCGCCATTTAGTGGCCAACACTGAAGCTCCGCTTTGCGGGCAGTAATGTCTAATAGATTTCAACCGCTTTGGCCAGGCCAACTGTCATAATGACTCTGTTATGTGTGGGCCATTATATAAAATTTCACTTTTACAGCCAAAAAGGCTCTCCATTTTCCTCTGGCGACAGTTTTGCAATTGCTAAAAGATCACGAGTCAATTACACTTAGAAATAACGTGGTGCTCTAAATATAAAAACATTTTTAAATGTACAATAAATGCAAAGTTGATCTTAGGGTGACCTATTCAATAATATATTTATTCAACAATTTTTAATACATGATGTATTTAAAGGTTTTTGATTTAAAATATTTCCAATATTTAAAACAATAAATAAAAGTCTGAGAAAAAGAATCCTCTTTTAGAGAAAACTTTAGCCAAACATTTAGATGCCATGTATAAGCTAAAAAATGTTTTCAACATTTATAAAAATTTGATTTTTGTAGAAAGAAACAGTAGCCACTTTAAGAAGAAACTTTGTCTAACACACATTAATACGTGATGCATTAAGAGGTTGTTGCTTTAAAATGTTTTCATTATTTTAAAAAATATATAAATTTTTTAAAGAAAACCCTTTAAAGTTTAGAAAAAGTACGAAACTACAATTTTTTTTTTACCTTAAAATATTTGTAATATTTAAAAATAATATTTTTTAATAAATAGTAAACCCACCATTAGAGAATAGACCCACTTTAAGAGGAAACTTTAGGGTGTGGTTTATTTTAAGGCGTAAAAGGATAATTTTTTTTTTTTTTGTTTTGGGGGTAGCAGATCGAGATATGTTTTAGAAGCAACTGGTGATCGAGGGCAGGGATCCACTGCAGTACTTCCAGGTGGACCAGGCCGACCATCCCTGTTGGCGCAAAATCTTTTGGGCACATCTCACGGAGTTGGTTATATTATCGGTCAACAGGGCATTGCAGCTCAATCCACACTCGTTGTAGGAGAAGCGGCCATCGGCTGGTTTGCACCAGTATTTGTTGTTGATCTGGAAGATGCCATAGTCGTTGGATCCATTGGAGTTGGCCGGACCCACCACTCCGGTGCGGTAAGAGCTCTCGTGCTGGGCGATGCAGGTCCATCGAGCCAGTTGGTCACGGGGAACACCCAGATTGGACATCTCGCGGGCCAGCGAACAACGATCCATGGTTCGGGCCTGTGTGGCCACTGCAGCCAGAGCCAGGACACAAATCACAAAGAAAGCCTTCATTTCGTTGGAAATGATTTGCAATTTCTAACTGATGAATCGATCCACAGCCGCATTATATTTATACCCAAGAAGAGCACTCCAGTCGTCGCAGTTGGGCAAACATTGTAGAACTATTTGAATGCTTGGAGAGAGCAGTCGGTATGTTTACCCATAATTAGAGGAGCTAATAAGGTGCCGTTCAAATACAATGTCGTCTGTTGTGCCATCGAAATTAATGTTCCATAAACTAATTAATTCGAAATGCCAAAAAAAATGCAAACACAACTTTTACTTGGGGAAACCGAAAGAATTTATTTTAAATGTCAGATTTAATTGCGTTTTAAGAATGTGTCCTATATGTAGATTATATATAAGACTATCTGTGATTTGCTAACAACCTTAACAGTTAATACTTTAAAAATCGCATGATTGAAGTACCCCCAAAAAGACGGAAGAGTTTGAAAGCAGATATGGCAGTTCCATCACACTCAAACAGACAATCTACGCATTGAATAAATCCAACCAACTCGAACTGAATCTGTATCTCAGCTTTGTGCGTAAGAGATCCATTCGGCTGTAGTTAGCTGTCTTTCACCAGCGATTCAAAATATTTATCTCTAATATACAAGTAGTAGGCATTGTCTTGGCCATTTCTCGGTGGGTCCCTGCTCACGCAACTCGGGTGGGGTTGCATGTGGGGCCTAATTATTCAACGTTATTCATTGTGCGGCATTCGAGGTATTCGAGTCTGGAAATTGCAATACGTAGCGCTCTTTCTTTCGCCCAGACAAATTCCCATCTTTTGCACGGCCCGAAGTTTAATGTCCGACTTTGAAGTGGTGCGGCATGGAGTGGAGTGTGGACTGTGGAGTACGGAGTGCGGAGTCGGAGGTTTAATGGCGAAACAACTCCACTTGATTGCAGCTATTAGCCCCCGGTTGTGGTCTGGTTTATGGTCGAGCCGAAAGTGTGATTAATCATTTGGATTATCACTTGGGCGGTTCCAAAACTCTATCTACCGTTTTTGGCTACTCGAACTCAATGGGCTGCCCTTCTAAACCAACACCAGCCCAGCCCATCATAGTCATTGTTGATATAACAACAATTATGCTAATCAGTTTGAAGGCGCGTCGAGGTCTCTACCTTTCTCCTACATTCAATGAACTTCAGCCACACAAACGATGACGAAACGTTGGCTAACACTTGCCATTCAAGGTAGCTGATAGTGGCTTATCATCAGAAAGCTCTATGACCTCTATTTGGCTTGTATTAAGCCTAAAACTATGCAGCTTTTGCTGGAGCAATGTTCTTTTTTTGTATTCTTTGAGATGGCACACTCTGATATACCCGTTCGGCTGATAAAGTTGTTTTGCTCAATGAAATATTTAAAGCAGTCCGCTTTAATTAAATTTCTATCTTTGTGTGTCCCAACGCGCAAAATATTTTTTCATTTCATTATTTTTAAGCAAAAGTTTGGTTTTAGAATATATGTATATTGATTTTTATTTAGCCATGTTTTGAGCAGCATTACTTAATAATAATAATTAGATTGCATGACACATATATGAGCAAAAATTTCCCTCCCAAACTCGGTTATCAGTCCGAAGGCGTCCCAAGGTCTATCTTTCTCCTTAAATTAATGGACTTGAAAAACCCGAACGTAAATAAAATTTTGGTAAACACCGGATGTTCAAGGTAATTGATAGTTCTGCCAGCCTAGATTTATGCAGTACTTGTAGCCGCGAAGTTTTTTTATATTTTTTGAGATTAAACCTTTCGATTTACTCGTACTGCTGATAAAATGCTTTCAATGAATTATTTAAATCTTGCAACTGGTGGTTCTTTTAATTATATTTCTATCTTTGAGTGTTCAGAATCTAAACTTTAGAACTCAAGGGTTGATAGGCCATGCCATGATGGGCGATTAATTTCCCTATAAATACTCAAGGCACGGGCCAGGAAAGTCAATCAGTTTTGTTTAAACCGATCGACATGAAGGCTTTCTTTGTTCTGGTGGCTCTGGCCATAGCCGCTCCTGCCCTGGCAGGCCGCACCCTGGACCGTTGCTCCCTGGCCCGCGAGATGGCCAACTTGGGCGTCCCCCGTGACCAGTTGGACAAATGGACCTGCATTGCCCAGCACGAGAGCGACTACCGCACCTGGGTGGTGGGACCGCCCAACTGGGACGGCTCCAGCGACTACGGCATCTTCCAGATCAACGATCTGTACTGGTGCCAGGCCGATGGCCGCTTCTCCTACAACGAGTGTGGCCTAAGCTGCAATGCCCTCCTGACCGACGACATCACCAACTCGGTGCGTTGTGCCCAGAAGGTCCTCAGCCAGCAGGGATGGGGCGCCTGGGCCGTATGGCACTACTGCAGCGGATGGTTGCCGTCCATCGATGATTGCTTCTAAACTGATTTTGACCACGAATAAAACGATTGCATAAAAAATACTGCCAACTTCTTTACTACTATCAAATGCAGTAAAAAAACTTCCTGTAATCCCACTGAAAAACAATATAATACCCGTTCTCTCATGGTTCTGGTACTATAAAAGTAGGTTTAAAATCATCAAATGGTAAAGTTTTGCAGTTAAGAACCAAACATTAGCTTAGCATTAGAGATAAGAAAACGGATAAACAACTTTAAGCCATCAGCGTAAAAATGTACTTTCTAGTAAGTCATTTTAATTTAGGCTTTAGTACTCCGTCTTTCTGGTGGTAAACTATAAAAGTAGGTTTTGAATTAAACCAATGGTGGCACTTTGCAGTAAAAAAAAACAAGCTAAGCCTTAAGGACATGAAAACGGGAGAAATAACAGTATAATTTACAGCAATTTCTAGTTCGGAAAATGTGATAATGGCTTTATTGGCGATTTCCATTTTTCTATAAAACTGTTTACTGTTTTTTGGTAACATTTCTAGAGCTGGATAATCTACTCTATTAAACCGAAATTAGTCGAGAGCATGGGGATGCAAATAAAAACGGCTGGACATCTATTGCAACTAATGGAGAGCACTCTTCGAAGCCATTAGCCTGGGGGGCCATTTCACGGCTTATCAATTCCAGTTTTGTGGAGCAGTTTTCAATTTATGTCTCACAAATTGATTTATGCAAATTTTAGAGCTGCAACCCCGCCTCCTCGCCGGTTGCTGTTGTGAATGATCTTTCAACACTCTGAATTGACTTGCGTTGAGTTTCTCCTGTCTGCGGCCAATGGCTGACATTGATCGAAGTGTTTTTTTTTTGTCTGGGGGATTGGCTGCTGTGGGAACCGCATTTATATAGCAGCAGTCAATCAGCCAGACCATAGCCTCCGACTTGCAGTTGTTCGACTTGCAAGAAGCACACACACACCACACTCACACTACACACCTGACTTAAAGAATCAAATGGAAATGCCTGAGCATCGGCGGTACGTGACTGATTGGCTGATTGATACTGTGACTGAGACTGAGGTAACCCACCTGTGTGGCACGTCATAACCAGCCAAACACAATGGCAGCCTAATTTGCATAGCCAGCATATGAACCGTTAACCCCTTATTGTGGGCCAACGGCACTGGCGTCTTGAGAGGGAACTTCAACCCATGGATGATGTCTCTCTTTCAACTCGCGCTTGCCAGTGAAAGTGTATCTTTATTTCTGGGCACATTAAAATGCAAATTTTCATTTCATTTTGTCTACGCACTGAAGCCGCAAAACAAATCAGCGACTGTCACAGATCAAAATCGCGTTCGATCGGTTAGCAAGCAGTAGTGGCTAGGAAACAGACCCACTGCAGCCCACATGCAAAACTGGGTGTCGTTGACAGCGGTTATATCGCTATAGCGACTATATTGGCAAAAGCACCTGACCAGAGACACCTCGAATCCGAATCCTACTGCAGATAAGCTACGACTCAAAATGTTCAATAAACTTAACGGCTTGTTTTTCCGGTGCGTTACGTGGTGGCGACCCAAACTAGCAACTCCAGCTACCAACCACTCTTTTATAGCCTATGCAAATACGAGTTCTCCCATGTCCAGCACGTACATTAATTGACTCCACCCCGATTGGTTTTCCCCTTTCCAATTAACGCAGCGACAGCTCGACACTGCAGCGACACCATAGCCAACAAGCTCGTCACCCGGGACAACACCTCCACCTTCACCAGCACCTCCACCAACAGCAGCACCAGCACCACCTCCAAATGGCTCCCAGTGTGTGCGAGCTGGCCGGCCAGGGTCAAAACAGTCAGGTTGTCCCCTCGAAAGCTGGCGGATCCAACAGCTCGGGGACCAATAAGTGCGGGGCGAGCAGCCTGAACGGATCCCTGGCCTCCTACAAAATTGGCGGCTCCGAACAGAGTTGGCCTCAGGCACCAGTTTACAGCAAGGTGAGTTGGGGTAACCAACTATGAATAACATTAATAACAGCTAACCAATAATCTACCCAATCTTATCTGATCGCAGGAAAATCAACGTCCACCCGTCTACAATCCCGAGGACTATGTCCACTCGTTGAGAAAGTTCATCAAGGCCAGTAGTTCGGCTAAAAAGGTATCCATCTACGATGTGAGCACAGGTCCCACTGCCAAGGAGGAGGCCTCCAGATCGGCCACCCTGCCAGCCAAACACTCGGAGTACAAGTAATGTTTATATTCCTACTTAAAGTCATATATTTTGCTAATTGTTTTTCGTTATTTCAAATAGATCTCCCATTCCTGCTCCGCCAGAAAATGATAGAGAGATGTCCCTGCGTCAGTTTGGCTCTATTACAGATCTGCTGACCAAGTTGCGAGCCGATCTCAGAGTGTCCTTTCCCAGGTAAGACTCAGTAGATACACCCGTAGCTCGAAAAAAAATTGTATAACAAGTAGAAGGTAACGCTTCCATGTCCTAAAGTTCGTCCTTTTGTCTGTCCGTAAGAATATCGAAACCTTGAAAACTATAATGGCCAGAGATTTGTGATTTAACATATAGATTCAAGTTATGCCAACGCAGGGCAATTTTATTTCCACACTAATGCCCACAAATCGCGAAACTCTATAATATCTGTTGAACACATGGTAAAGGCAGTATATGTTAATTCGGTCAATATCTATCGACACACCAAAAATTTTCCAAATCGAACCATTATTTCAGATGTTATTAAGAAAGTTATAATTATGACGTCACTGCACTCTTAAAAAAGCGATAAAGAGTGGAAGAGCTGTAAGCTGTGGAGGGAGGGTACTGTACTTCTAGATCTTAGCTTGTAGTGCTACCGTTTAGCAATTGGCCTTAACCAAAATCCGTTTGTGTCCGAGGGCATTTTTTTTTTTATTGAAATTGGTTAGCTATGTAACGAGCTTTTAATAGTCGCTGCACTCGACTGGTGGTTCTTCTTGTTATTCGTGAGTTTTCTCATCCCCAACATTTATTGTCTTTTCAGCTTCGTCCAAGAATTTGTAGGCACTCCTGCGGATGGCATTAGCCATTTGCTCGAGGTGCTTCGCGCCATTCAAATGGCCCAGGCCAGCAATGCACCGGCTCCACAGCCAGGAGCCAGCAGTTCGCTGGCCATTACCAGGAACCCCCAGAGCTATCAGCGACGTGCTCTGCTAGACGAACTGTCTTGCCTGTGAGTAACCATAAAGCCCTCATTAAAAAGAACTCTTAAACAGTAGTTTTATCCCGACCAGCCAATGTCTAAGCATCTGCTGCTCACGATCTCTGGATGCCATAGCCCGTCTGGGAAACACACCGGTGGGTCTCATGCCGTTGGCTTCTTCGGCCACCGGTCAGGGCATCCGAGCTCGCATTCTGGCCCTGCAATTGCTCGCCTTCGCCTGCGATCGCCAGCCCTTTGGAAGTGGCAGTGGCGGTCAGAAGATAGCTTCTGCTGGACATACAGCCGTATCGGATGCCATGTCCACATTGCGGTTGAGATGCAGTGAACCAGTACGCTTCCGTTTGCTGGTTGGCATCCTAAACAGCGGCGGTGGTTCTGGAGAACTCCAGTGTGCAGGGGTCAAGTAAGTGAATACCTCAAAGAATTCTAAAGAAGATTATTAAATTAAATGTTTTTAATATTGTATAGATTTCTCAACACCTTCATTGAGAGTGCGGTGAGCATTCAGCAGCGTTTGTACATCCAGGCTGAGCTCTTCCAGGCTGGCCTAGATGCCAGCACCCTGGCCCGCACCATTTCCTCCTCGTCGCCCTGGTTGGATGCCCTGAAGATCGAGGTGAAGCGCTTCAACGAACTCCACATCGATGTGGACCAAATGATCACCCAGGCGAGGGATGCGGATCGCGTGCGCAGCCAAATGGTGATCCTGGAGCGAAGGGTGCAGATTCTGCACGAGGAGAAGGCCGTGCTGACCTCCATGGAGCGTCGACTTCAGGAGCGATGTGCCGAGCTGCAGCGCGAGATCTTTCGCCTTCAGGGCGCCCAGCAGCAGTCCAAATTCAAGCCGGTGGAGGGTGCCTCTGCGCACCTCCACCACCAGCCAGTGGCCCTGCCCCGCCAGGTTCCGCCGCCCACAAAAACCAAGCAGACGAGCAGTTCGGAGCACGAGGACGAGGGCATCAGCAGCTCGGAGACGGGAGCATCGCTCAGCCCGGTGCCCATTCTGGTGCTGCCCTCCAAGGCAAAGCAATCGAAGTCGAGGAAGTTAATGGAGGAGGATGAGGATGATGCGGATGATGCGGCCACCATAGAGGATGTCATCGAGGAGCTGGACAACATCGTGAGTGAGGCGGAGAAGCAAATCAGCAGCCAGGCAGGCAGTGGTATCCGAACGACAAAGATGCGCCACCATCGCCAGGTGGAGAAGGACATTGTGCCGGTTAATATAGTGCCACAGCCACCGCGAAAGTCGCGATCTCTGGCCCACTTGGTGGCCCGCACCGATTGTTCCGATCAGGAGGGTTCGGATTACGGCATGGTCTTGCATCAGCCAGGAGATCCCGCTGCCGCCGAGCGCTTGGCAGCCTTGCACAGCTTCTTCGATGAGGTGGACTACGATGCCCCCGAGACGGATCAGCCGGCGGCCTATCAAATGGAGTCACCCACGCCGGACATGCCGGAGGCGAATGCCACGGCAACGGCCTACAATGCCAGCACCAATCGGGAGCTGCTGGATGTGATTATGAATGCGCGGCACGACGAGCACGATCCCACAATGCAGGCGCTGCGGAAGAGTGTCCAGGATGTGGCACCCGTCACGATTGTCCATCATCCGGTGAAGGTCAAGCCGCAGGCACCACCACCGCCCACGCCGCCAGCGCAGCAATTCAATGGGGTCTTCTTCATGACCGGCATGAACACACCTCAGAAGTACCCGAAGCCGGATATCTCGGCTGCCCTGCAGGCCAGAAGGGTGACCAAGAATGTGGAGCGACTGGAGGCCGCCTTTGCCTCGGCCCATCCGGAGGCACTCAATGATGCAGCCATCGGTAGGGAGAAATCACGCAGCAATCAGCAGATATACTTCACCAGTAATCTGGCCATGCGCATGCATGAGCACTCCAACTTTGGCCAGAACCAGACTCAAGGTCCGACCCTACGGACTCGATCGCACACACAGGGTTCCATGTCAAAGGTCACGGATCTGCCCTCCGGCCTCTACTGAAAACGATACTCCTCCGCACCGATACTCCGAATGATTCTCCACATCCTGTGCAATAGCAATCCACTCCTAGGTTACTACAGCCCATCAACAGATCAGCGTATTTATAGAACACCTAAATCTACCCCTATATAGTACTCCTCCACTCATATGATATCAACACGTTTCTTATGCAATATCTCGCGATAACTGCAACTGAGACTAGGTTAGTTACGGTGGCAGCTTCAACCGGGTATCTAGCCGCTAAGTTTTAGCCTAATTGATTATTTTTCTTTGAATAAAGTTTCAATACTAAACTGATACGCTGTTTGTGAAAGTGACGACCGCTGGCAGACTTTATCTTTTGCAATATGTGGGCATGTGTGTACTAAATGATAAGCAACTGAATATTAACCCACAGGTGGGTCAAGGGCTATAATCAAACGTTTTAATAATAATAATAATAATAACAATAAAAAACTCCTGCTTTCATTTGGATACTTCAGTAATTTATATACAATTTTTCCATTAATGATATTTGGATAAAATAAATAAATATTATGTTAAATAAATAAACAACAATAAGTTTTGCTCTTTTGTCAGTGCGCTATGAAGATTTAAGTGTTTAAAATTCGTAAGCTCAAAGCAATATATATAACCGCTGGTTTAGAAATCCAGCTAATCGCTACCCGATTAGTCGGCTCTTATCGCATGTTGCTTTGAATAACATTAGAGTGTCGACCAGTTGGAAGTGCATTGGCGGATTTAAGTGTTCCATTTTTTGGTTAGTCTTCAACTGATAGCGCTGCCAACATGAGTAGTTCTCCTAATCCCATACGCACCTTATCGCCTGCTTTGCAAAAAGTGGCCATCGAGGAGCTGAATGAGGTGCCCAGTCGAGTGGAGTCCGACATAGCAACTCTCAAAGAATGGCTGCAGAGGCAGCCTCACATCTGTGCCTGCCTCGAGGATCAGTTCCTGCTCAGCTTTCTACGTGGATCCAAATTTAGTCTGGAGAAGGCCAAGCAGAAGATAGATCGATTCTATAGCTTACAAGCTGCCATACCTGAGGTTTTCAATGAACAGCGATTGGCTGACGACGCTCAAGTGCTGGAGATTATCAGAATGGGGTATGCACTTCTTTTATATCACAAAATCCCCTTAAGAGTTTTTCTCATAGAGTTATCTTGAGGATTCCCCTGGACAAAGAGGATACTGGACCAGCGGTGACCATAATTCGAGCTGGCTCCTATGACATCAACAAGTTCAAGTTCCAGGACATTATACGCGTGGGTTCCATGTTCGGTGAGATCATGATGCTGGAGGATGACAATGCCTCGGTTAGTGGCTACCTGGAGATCATGGACATGAGTGGAGTGACGGGTGCGAATCTGTTTGCCCTGCAGCCCCAACTTCTCAGCAAGTTCTCAGTCTATGCGGATGAGGCAATGCCAACGAGGCAGAAGGGTATCCACTTCATAAATGTGCCCAAGGCATTTGAGATGGGTTTCAAATCCCTGCTTGGATGGTTTCCCGTTAAAATTAAAGAGAGGGTGAGACAATATCAAATCCACAATAATATCTTTTTAATTACCATCATTTTAGATCTCTGTTAGTTCCGATCCGGAGGCCATTTTTGAGCGGGTTCCTCAACATTATCTACCAGTGGAATATGGAGGCACCAAGGGAACCATTAAGGATATTACTACCGAGATGGAAGAAAAACTTTCTAGCTATCGCAGCTACTTCGAGGACTGCCAGCATTTCGGAACTAATGACAAATTGCGCGAGGAACCCAGAAATCTTAGCCCTGAAGAGAGTCACTTTGGTCTGGATGGCTCTTTTCGCCAGTTGGTCATCGACTGAATCGGTTAAAATACCTGTAAAACCGTCTGGGCCATAAACCCATAATAAATGTTTTTGATAAGCTCTGCGACTACTTCAATGTTTGGCTATCAGCTTTTAGACGATAGCTTATCGATTTCAAATTCAATTGGCAGGGTCGAAAATCGACATTCGTTCATCGACTGTCTAGAGGAACCCAACAAAGATGCCGTCCATCCGTCCACTGAGCCCTGAGCTGCAGAAAATTGCCATCGAGAAGCTGAACGAGGTCCCGAACCAACTTGATGATGATATTGCTGCGCTGAGGGAATGGATCAAGCAGCAGCCTCATCTGAAAGCCCGCACAGATGATCAGTTTTTGGTGAACTTCCTGCGAGGCTGCAAATTCAGTTTGGAACGAACGAAGGTAAAAATCGATCGATTTTACACGCTCCGCACCAAGTTTCCCGAGTACTATTTGGGCCATAATGTTGATGTAGACAAATTGCTGGACCTTTTTAAGCTGGGGTGAGTTTGGTAGTAAAATGTATATATAAATATGTAACTAAATCTTTATTTAATTACTTCCCTAGCACAATACTCATACTGCCACGTCCTCTGAACGATAATGGCCCACGTTTGGCTATAATTCGCATGGGCTCGTATGACCCCAGTAAATACACATTTCAGGAAATAAATCGAGCTGCTGGCTTAATTCAGCAGATCACTCTCGATGAAGATGATGTGGCTATAGTGAATGGCTTGATATCCATTCTGGACCTGTCCAACGTCACCAGCGGTCACTATCTGCAGATGACACCGTCTTATGCTAAGAAGATGACCGTGTTCCAGGAGGAGGCTCTGCCACTGCGACCCCAAGGCATTCATTTCATCAATACACCCAATGGATTTGAGACGCTCTTTAATATGATAAAGCCCATGATGTCAAAGAAACAGCAAGGACGAGTAAGTATAAGCTTTTTAAAACCAAAATTATGTATGCTAAACAAGACTTTTTTAACGCCTAGCTCTACGTCCATGGAAGCAAATGGGAAGCTCTCTACGAACAAATACCCAAAAAGTACTTGCCTGCGGAATATGGAGGCGAAAACGGCTCAATTCCTGAGCTTATAAGAGATTGGGAGCAGCGCATATTGGCCTATCGGAATTACTGGGAGGAGGAGAAGAACTATGGAACCGACGAACGCCTGCGAGTGGGAAAACCCGTGGACTTTGAGAGTCTATTCGGATTGCAAGGCTCCTTCCGGCAACTCAATGTTGACTAAGGGTCTATCCCCCTACTGCTAAATAACCAAAAATGGTTTCAGTTGTAGCTCTTATCTTAGGTAACAAAGGTGTAGGAACTCAAGTACTCTAATCCATTTTTTGATAAGCGTAGGGATAAGAGCATAAAAACAAAGAAATTTATTCAAACTAATAACAAAGATAGCCAAATTTCATGAATTTAATTGTATAATTTGATATAAATGATATTCACAATAGCACTTTATTAAAACCTTTACTTAGTTTGTATAAAAAAATATAATAAAATGGTTAACAAAAACAAGAAAGAATCTAATGATTTTCCTCGGAGTTATTCGATCTATGGAGGGTTTAGGATCTTGTTGTCCGATTTTAATGGAATTAAAACCGTAATTCTAAAATATTAAACCCTTACTATATTTCAAAGGACATTCATCCCAAAATTTAAAAAATTTGAACCGTAGTTCTGATATATTAAACCCTCTATAAGGGTATAATAAAGATAACCAAATTCTTAGAGTTAATTCTTATATGCAATTAAAAAATAAATCCCAAAAATACCAAGTGCCAAAATGATATATCAAATACAACGAAAGACCACCTGTATCAGCTGATTAAACGAGCTGTTCATAGAGAGGCGGCATAAACAAAATGCAAATTGAGATGCCAGTTGAGAGCCAAACAATACAAAACAAACGAAAGGCCAGAGCAAATTTGAAAAGAAAAGTTTTTCCAAAACTATATACAAGTATCCAAGGAAGACAAGAGAACTTGGAGTAAGACCAAAAATAAACCGATTTCCCGAGAGATTCGTGGAGAGTCCATATGTGTTGTGCTGTGCAGTTGACTCGTCTCAGTAAGAATTTGTGGGTTGTACGGATCGGTGCGTCGGTTGTTTCTACGGCTCAAATCAGAAAAAAAAGTGGAAAAGTGAAAGAGGGGGGAAATATACAGCATGGAAATTAAATTAAAAATCTGAAAAGTATCCCTCAGTGCGAATCAGAAAGCGATCTGTGATCGGTAATCATTATTAACAGCATTTCGTTGGCCTATAAATTCCCAGCGCTAATTACCCAAACGAAATCGAAGTTCATAATTGCTCGGACATGTTATGTAGTCTTCCCGTCTATAAGCAAAAAGCAAAAAAGCAAAAACAAAAATATCCAAAAGAGTTCTCGACAGGCGTGGCATGAGTCTAAGGCGTCCGATTTGACGATGAGATGAATGCCCCCGCCGGGCAGCCAAGAACCCAAAATAGTCTCATGGAGTCTAGTCTTTCGGTGGCTTTCGCTTCCGCACCCAATCCCCTCGACTCGACTTGGTTCGACTCTTCGGCCTTGCCCCAGCAACCCAAATAAATAAATATTTGGACAAAAAAACATGTGTGCCATAGAGCTTTGTCTGGTTCACCTTTCGGCTTCGCAGTAATTGCACCTTTGGAGATTACCAGAGAAAACAAATCGAACTCGATGAAAAGGGATGTTTACTCAAAGGCATTAGTTTAATTTTTATGGCAGCCTACTTGTGTGAACTCTTATCCATTAGGTTTTTGGGCTATGAATATGAGTTTTTAAACTCTTACTAATGCTTTAATGTTTTTTATGGGTTCCGTTGAGTTCTAACTCTATAACTTAACGAAATATTATGGGATACTTATTATCTTTAAAAAATCAGTTCTAAAACCTACAGGTCTAAGCAAAATTTTTATTTATTAAAGAAATTTCACAAGGATGTTTAATTTAATTTTTGGCAGTCTTTACCTGACCATTAAAGGCCACTAATTTATGTTTTTAAATTCTTAACATTGTTTAAACGTTTATTATGGGTTCTGATGAGTTTTTACTGTACTACTAAATTATACACCATGGATTTCTTAATTACTTCAGAAGATTAGTTATAACAACTAGATCAAAAACTTATGTGTCCTAAAAATGAGTTTTTGCTTTAACATTTAACATAACCCTTTGGATTACTAATAACTTTAGAGGATCGGCCGGAAACAACTTGATAGCTAAACATTAATTTTATTATTTAAAAGAATTTATCAAATCCAAACCTTTTAAAGGTTTAAAGATTTAAGTTCTAAAGAGTTTTGGCCCTATCATTTAACAAAAAAACATGGAATGTTTATTTACATAAAAGGATCAGACTTAACAACATGACATGCCAAACAATATATTTACTTGCAATATTAAACGAAATAATGAGGGGTATATGGAGCTTCGAATCCCAAGCTTTTCGATGCTCTCCTTTATTTAGTTTTCTTTCATAATTTACAGCCAGCCGAGCGGTAAATTAGCCAAAGGAAGGGAAGCGTGGGAGGGTGACCATGTCGAGTAGGCGGGCCCAATCTCTGCCAGCGCACATGTTGGAGCCAGCGAAGCCGGAACGCGGACGATGCGTGGCCGCCATCTGCTTCTCGTGGAAGGTGCTCACCTGCATTGTGTCCCATGTGCTGCTGGTGCTCCTCGTCGTTTCCTATTGCGTGGGCGGTGCCTATCTGTTCCAGCACCTCGAACGACCCCACGAACTGGAGGTAATCTCGTGAAGATTTTATTATAATCTATATAAACTCTTTGATTGCCTTACAGGTTAAGCGAGGTATACAAAATCTACGCTTTAATCTCACGGACAATATCTGGCTACTGTCGGATGATGCTTTGGTCCTTCGTGAGAGCGACTGGATGGCTAATGTTAGCAAACATCTGGCCAACTTCGAGAAACAAATCCTCACGGCCATCAAGGCAGATGGTTGGGATGGCGACGAAGATCTGCACAAGTCGCAATGGACCTTTGCTGGATCACTGTTCTACTCCATTATAGTGATTACGACTATAGGTGAGTGGGTATATTTATTTTTTATGAACAAAGGGCATAGCCTGAGAAAATTGTCCTTATCGATTTCGAGAAAAATTGAACGAGGGATGGTAGATGAACTCGTAAAGGCAGTGACAGTAAGTTTTTAGGCAAATTGATAGAATAGGCATCGAGAAATTTGCAGCAACTTTAAAGCATATCATTTCAAGCATAAATATCAAAATTTTTGTTTAACATACTTTTAATGTTTTGATAGCATTCACCATTAAATTAATTGCCAAAGCAAATATCCAGAAATTTAAAAGACTCCATTAGTTGGGTATACATTCGAATTTATTCGTTTAATCTAAGCCTAGGACTATGTCTAAGAGAAGGTAACTATTTACAACTAAGGCTAGAAGAAGGTTTTTAATTAGGTAACAATAGATTCAGGGATTTGATTGCAGATCTTTCAAAATGCAGTGCTCTTGAGCTGAGAATATAGAGAATCCTACACTTTCTTATTGAGCTTATCGTTCACCGTTCTGGGTGCAGCAGCCACACTTTTGGCGCTTTTACCCTCGGCCACAGCTGGTGATTTCTCATCAAAACCAAATCCTCCTAGAGGTGGGAAACTATTGCCATAACCAATACCACCGTTTCCAGCTCCAAGCTGACCCAGGCCCAATCCTCCAGCCAATCCATAGCCCTCGGTGTATTGTGGTCCTCCAAACTGTTGATTGGAGGGGTACTGTCCTAGTCCCGGGAATTGTCCACCTGGGGCTGCAAACTGGTTGCCACCGAAGTCGCCACCTGGATACGATCCATAGGGGAACTGTTGTCCATTGCTGGGAAATTGATTGAGACCAAGTCCGTTGCTGGCATAGCCATTGAAGCCGTTGCCCACCCCTGTTCCAGGGAATCCTGTGCCCAGGCTAGAACCGGGAAATCCCTGTCCCACTCCTGCATAGCCTCCTCCTGGATATCCACCAATTCCGTTCTGTCCTCCCGAGAATCCACCAAAGCCCGGTTGGTAAGGATTGGGATACACTTGCGGTCTGCCAATAATTCCAGTGGGTCCTCCCGGTCCAACTAAAACACCTGGATTTCCACCATATCCTCCTCCAACTCCTCCTCCAACTACTCCTCCTCCAACTCCACCTCCGAATTGTCCTGCATTCGTTTGACCGCCATAGGGATTGAACTGGCGAGTGCCCACAGTGGGAGTATCCGATGTCCTCGTGGGATCCACATCCGCATAATCCTCGATCTCATCGTTCTCCGGTTCACCAGGCAGAGGTCTGCGGGTGGTGGGCTCCCTTCTCAAGTTCTGGTCATACGAGTTCTTTATGGGAGAACTGCGATCTATGTTGCGAAAGGAGCGCTCCCTGCGATTATAAGATCGCCAGATCCACTGATCACCATCTTGCTCCGGAGATTTAGCAGCCACTAATCCAAGGAGGCACAAGGCAAAGATGAGGCAATAGCTTCGCATTATTGTTTAACTTTGTCTTTTGTTTTTTTTTTTTCACCGACTTCTTTGATCACACACTGACCCGTATTTTGCGCTTGATCGCGGCAAGCTCCCGCAACAGAATAGATGAGGTATGCGACTGGCACACGCTACTTATATAACCACCGACGAGAACCGAAAAATGAAAATCAGACAGAGAGACAGAGAGACAGCGACATGACGACGCACAAAAACTCAGTCAAGCGACGAGGGCAGCCGCAGGTGGGGATTTGGCCAATGAATCAACGCAAACATGCCAGACGTTGAGATCTTGGGACCGACCACATCGGATCGTTTCATATCGTTGATTCACCTGAAGCGCAACCAAACCACCGAGGAGCATCGCGATCCGCCCAGGAACCAATGAGGCAAGCGGATGAATCGGACAGTTGGTTTCTGTCCACTCGGTGATCACGTTCAAATCACATAAATCATTGGGTAATGTAATTGATCATTAATCGAGCCCAAAAACAGACATTCCTGGAAATTACCATGAGCTGGTAAATGCAACTCCCCCAAACATTACAGAGCTCATAGGTCAAAGATCCAGTTCGGACACAATTGGCTGAACATATAGCACGTGAGTGACCTCTAAAAATGGGTTCATTGTGGGTGGCGATGGGGCGCAAAGGGAGCGAGGGTGTGGAGCGAGGAGCGTGTCAAATGAAACCAAAAGTGGAATTGCTCTGCCATCCAATTGTCTGTGGTCAAAACAACAGCAAGGTCAAACGCCACTGACCGATCGTGATTATCTTTTCTGACGTTTTAGATTCAGATTTTAATGATGGGAATTTCTCATATTTGATATACTCTAGTAGGGGCTTTGATGATTTTGAGCAGAAGTTGGAGCGAAAATCCCGAACTTTAAGACCTTTTTGAAAAGTATAATAGTAAGTATTTTTGACCTAATCCTTAAAGTTCTTAAGATACTTATAGTAAAACTAACAACTATAAAGGTTTATTTATATAACATACACAAAGAACACAGAGCTTTAGTTTTGATGTTTTAAGTGCGAAAACAGGGTAAAACATTCTTAAAAGTAAAACAAAACATTTCAGAAACACTTGAAAAAAAAAGAATTCAAACGTTTTACTTTTGAAAATTTAAATTACACATCGCATAAATTCTGAATTAATTTTTGAAAGACGCTACTGAAAGTATTTGCAAAAACTACAAATTCTTTATAATTACTTCTGCCAAATTGGTTAAACTGGCATTTAGTTATAATAATTTTAATGAAAGGAAATTCTTAGAGCATTTAACTTCTCGACTTTCAACTAAAGATATTTTCTTTAAAGTAGTTTATTAGCTCTACCTTTTGATGAAGCCTAGTTTTTTGCTTTATTCATTTGCACAATTCCCCGATATGGATTTATGGCTAACACACAAATGGGTTTAGTGACCGACGCCCATCAGATAGAATTTTGCGAGGGGTAACGTATCTAAATGCTATCTAAAAAAAAGTTTGCACACTTCCGCAAAGGCCAAAAGCGGCAGAGTTGAAATACCATGTTCGCAATTGTTTGCCATTTGCTTTTTGGGAGCGATAATGGGCTTGGCTGGCACAAAAAGAAGTACGGAGCTAGATTAGACCTTAGCGGGTCTTAGACTCATTAGCATTTCAAGAACTTTGCGGTCAGAAGGTTGAAGGTAAAGCCACGAGCATGACTCAAAATCAAACTCACCAATTGAGACCGGCGGCAATTTAATATTCTTCATCGCATTCTGGACAGGCTATGGCCACATATCGCCGCGCACGGATTGGGGCAAGGTGACAACGATTTTCTACGCCATCGTGGGCATTCCGCTGATGCTCATCTGCCTGTCCAACATTGGCGATGTCATGGCCACTTCATTCCGGTGAGTTGACATCGATGTACTGGAAAAGTCGGGATTTACTTTAGTTAAATCACTAGATTTAATAAATTAACTGTTTAGAAGACATAAAGAATATCAATAAAATTGGTGCATAAATTGGTATTTGTATAATTTCAATTTGTGTTTATAGGACTTTTAGAAGTAAGGATAATTTAGAGAAGACTTTATGGGTAGTTAACATTTGACAATTTTATTGAAATATTTTAAAATAAAAAGCTTTTTATATTTACAAAAAAATGTATCCTTTCTATTTAAAAATTGTTTCTTTTATTCCATTTTAAATACATATAAGAAATATCAATAAAATTGGTGCTTAAATGGGTATTTCTGTAATTCCGTTTCTAACTATCAATGTGTGTTAATAGAGAAATGTTACCTATTTTTATAATCAGTTCTTATTTAGAAAAGAAAAAAGTGATCAAAGCTTGATTTCATACTAAGATATCATGTAGCTATCATTTAACAATTACTATTTTAACAAGAAGAATAGTATATATTACTTATTGAAAATTAATCACTTCGATTTATAGATGTTTATTTAAATATCATAAATTTACTTAAATGTTTTAGTATTAGTAGTGTAAAAGTTATTGTTTCTCAATGGAAAATATTTAAAATTTTAAAATCGATTTCAAGCTTTATTTTTAAATCAAGAATAATTTTAGTTTTTATATATTATAACTTTACATTACAAATTGTTGATTTTTACTCAAAAATAACTACTGTTTCTTACCTGGTCAACTCCCAATAGGTTTCTTTACTGGCGAATTTGTTGCTATGTGTGCACCCGGACGGCCAAGCGTCCAAGGAATGCCCGATCCCGGCAGAGATCGATGCGCTCCCAGCGACAAGCCCGCTCGCAGCCGCCACCATCGTTCCGGCGCTCCATGAAGATGACGCAGCGGTCGGGAAATGACTCCGGACTGGGTCCGTCCATGGGACATGCCTACTCCGATCCGGAACTGCGCACCATGGGCAGGGGCTACGACGATCGGGAGTTCGGGCATCGCAGTAGTGGAGGTGGACGCAACCGACGCCAGCAGCAGCAGCACTCACATCACGATCCTCGCCAGCGGCACACTATTTACGGGGATGAGTACGAAACGCAGACCCTGAATCGCTCCAATCGCTACAGCAGTCGTCAGAGGCAGCGGGACCGGATGAGGGACAGGCACACGGTGGAGAGGGAGCGCTATTCCCGCTCCCACTTGGATGCGGGATCCATAGAGGACTTTGACGACATGCCACCGCCGGCCAAAAGAGCAGCCAGTGTACGTTCCGTGCGATCGCCTCACCGTCAGGAACCCTCGAAAGCTTCCCGGGAACTGCATCGCCTTCACTCGGCACCTGGACGGAGTAGGGCCAAGTCAGTGGATCCCAGGCACGTTTCCTCGCACTACGAAGATGTGGACGAGGATGTGGTGAGGAAGACGCCCATCATACCGAATAGGTATGCATTAGATGACTTTGGCGGTGGCGGCGGCAATAAAAGACAGCCATCAGCGCCCAGGAGCCAATCCATGCCGAGATCTGCTCACCAGAGGCAACGCCAGAGGGATCGGGAAAGGGAGCGGTCTCCACAACCGCCACCTCATAGTGCACATCGCCAAAACAGCAATGGCAGAAGAGCTGGCAGCCTGGGCCGCCAATCCTCTCGTTATGGCAATCATCTGGAGCTGCCCGACTACGATGCTGCACCGCCTGGACGCCATGATCATCGTCGGGATGGACGTGGTCACTCGCAGGGACGCTACGAGGAGTATGTGGAGGAGAGCTTCGATGAGGGCTCCCTTTACGGGGACAACTACGAGGATTATCCCACGGAACGCCAACGCTCCCGAAGTCGTGAGCCCAAGAGAAATCGCCGCCGAGCTGAGCGTTTGCCTCCATCACCGAGGATCATGTCACCAATGGGTTTTCCCGTGCAGCGGCAAATCCGTCGACGTCCCAGCTACGATTACGATGAAGACGACTCAATGTATGGCGATGAGTATGGGGACTATGGAGACATGCTGCCCAAGGATCGCCCTGTGCCCATTTGGTTGTGCGTCTTTTTGGTGGTTAGCTATATTCTCGGTGGAGCTGTCTTATTTGCCTACTGGGAGAACTGGTCCTTCCTGGACTCCGCCTACTTCTGCTTCATCACGTTGACCACAATTGGTGAGTATTTCTATCAATCTTATTCCAACTATATCAGCATAATACGTTTCTCTCCAGGATTTGGTGACTTTGTGCCCGCCAAAGGTGTCAAAGATGAATCGGAGCAGTCGATTGCCTATTGCTCGCTATATCTGCTCTTCGGAATTGCTTTATTGGCCATGAGCTTCAATCTTGTCCAGGAGGAGTTCATTGCCAACGTCAAAGAGGTGGCCCGTCGGCTGGGCATTCTCAAAGATGATGACGATGAGCAGGATGAGGATTAATAGTAGATAGTTATTGAAAATCTTAAAGATCTTTATGTCATTAAGTTTTTGGCGAGTAAAAATGTTTGAGCTTAGAAATGTGGTTATTTAATAAGAGCCAAACCAAAAAGATTATGTTCAGAAAAAGAGATATAACATTACTTTAAAATTAAAGTTATAATTTAGAGGCTCGTAAATTTTTAGATTCAAATTTAAAGGAAATTATTAAAAATCATGTAAGTTACTTATCGAATTTTAAGCGAAATCCTCACGCGAATTTATTTATAAAGTTTAATAAATCTTGAACTTGCACTCGAATCGAAGCCTCAACCGCAAGGTTTCCTTAACTATACATAGCATACTAAGTTTATTTAAATGATAAATATACGAAATTCCAAAGATTGATATACAGATTAAAGAGAATATCCAGAAGAGCCAAACAAACAAAACGATCCGAATTCCACTAACACAAACGAGTTACTGGGTTGAGATTGAGAGTACAATTGTCATCGATGCAATCAGGCCACGTTTTCTTTGTTGTGCTAAAAGTATTGAAAATAAACGCAATGATTTTATATCCGAGACATTTGTTTGTTTAGCCATTAGCGGATCACTTGATTGCCTGACCACTTACCCTGTTGAAGGCGGGCGAATTTCGAGGTGAAGATTTCTTGGGCGTAAGGGAGCGGGACAAGGAGTTGCTCCGCATGCCACCAACTAAGGGTGGCTTCAGGGCATTCGAGTTGGAGTTTCGAGTGGTGCTAGGGCCTCGCCTAATGGTGACACCATCCACGTTCTCAATGGGCGTGGAGTTCATTATGGTTTCCGTGTCGGACAGCTCCTGAACGGATTGCAGGGATTCATCATGCTCTCCCTCGCTGCACTACAAAAAGTTTACAAACATAAAGGATAAGTCTTTTCCTATATATACCCTGTACACAGCCCTGTTCACTTACCTCATCTATGGGGGCAGTGGTGTCCAGATCCGACCAATCGTGCTCCTGGCGATAGCGCTTCACAATCTCCTGATGCGGCGACGTGGCCACCAGAGTGCGTGGATAGATAAAGTCCCGTTTGGAGGGCGTGGTGCCGGTGGGCGTATATGTTTTCAGCTCGTTCTGTTGGAACCGCACAATCTCCTGCTCGCAAGTCTGCAACTGCTGACGCTGAATTGCGGCATGCTCGGTGGTTTGCCGCGTCAACTCCTGCACAAGATCGGTGGCCACTGTGGAATGGCCAATGAAACGCTGTCTCTCCGCGGTGTTAAGCTTCTGTCCCTCCGCCACGATCTGCTCCAGATTAGCCTGGCACTTCTCCTCCAAGATCACCAGCTGCGATTTGCTGTCTTGGCAGGCAAACTCCACCTGCGAGTGGTGCAGGCGACTTGAGCCCACGTTTTCATCCGTTTGCTGGGCATATTCCTGGCCGAGGTTTTTCATGTGCACCTGGAGCATGGAGCAGTAGGCAACGCCTTGGTCCAGGCACTGCATTCCCGTCCCCATCTGGCTGCTGAGCTCGGCTCGAGCGGATTGAGCAGCCTCGATGCCCATTGTTTGGTAATCTTGGATACCAGACTTTGTGTCATCGATGCGCTGATTTCTAGTCAGTCGGCTTTCCTCCATCTTGTTGAGGCGTTTGGACATGCTTCCGTTGTTCTTGGCACGTAGCTGCTTGATCTGGTCCATCTGCATCATCATGGACTCCAGTAGAGCTTCCTCCTGCTGGGCCAAAGCCCGCTCGTTGGCCAGCTCCTCCTGCAGCTGCTGCAGTTCCTCCGCATCCGGCAAGCTCATGCCACTGAGCTGTTCCAGCTGCTGATGCACTTGCTTCACATGCTTTTCCAGCGATCGCGAGCTGTTGTCGATAATTTGGGTGAACTTGTCCTGCATGGAATCCAGCATGGCTTTGTGCCGCTGGTTGTTTTCCTCCATCTCTTGAAGGCTCGTCTGGATTTCCTGGCTCATCACAAGCTGACGCTGCTGCAACTGCTGCATCAGCTGGGCAACAAATGTCTGAGCATGTTGATCGTTGATCTTCAAGATCTCTGTCATTAACTTATTCTGCAGCTGGACCTGATCCCCTAGCGCCTGACTGCAGATTTCCTTAAGCATTTCAATGCTCTTGCTGGCATTTGTCGACAGACGTTGGTTCACTTTGTTGGAGTTAACTAAAGATCGGAGGAAAATAAGTAAATAAAGCAGGTAAAAGTAGATGGATAGCTTACCCAACTCCTGGCTTAGGTGCTCCTTGGAGGCTGCCTGCTGCTCCAGATACAAGTTCAAGCTGCCACCCATCATCTCCAAGTTGTCCTGCATGCGATCTTTAAACTGATCGCAGGATCTGCGAATCTTCTCGTCCACATCACGCCTTCGTTCGATGGTGCCATGCAGATGATGGGTATCATCGGTGGCCAGATTAGCCACGGCCAAAATCTCCTGAGCCTGTGTGGTCAGCACCTGCTCCGTCTTCATATGGGAGGCCACCAGCTCCTTTTTCTCCTTATAGCGCCGCTTGGTCTTGGTCAGCACTTTTTTAGTGAGCAGCAAGGAACCCTCGGTTTTCTTCAGCTTTTGAGTTTTCTCCACCAGACTCAGGCTCACCTCGCTAAAGATCTTCTCTTTGTTCTGCAGCTCATCCTTCAAAGCCTTGAGCAGCAGCATTTTCTCGTTGAGCTCACGGTTCTGGGATTCCAACTTCAAGGTGATCTCGCCATAGGTTTCCTCAGCCAAATAGATGCCATTTTTGTCCCTGGCAGCCATAAGATCTCTCTTCAGCTTGTCAATCTCCTCGGTGTACTCCTTAAGCACTGTTTTCTTGGTCAGTTTCTGATTGACTTCGGGCTTGTTTTGAATGTTCTTGGCCCGATGGGCGTACTCCAAAGTGCTGAGAGTCTCCTCGATGTCCTTGTGACCCGGCGATATGGTAGCTATGATGGAGGTCTTGGTCCTGCCACCCAGAGATTCTTGGAGCAGCCTGGTAAGCTTCGATTCGCGATAGGGAACATGGGGAGCACGATCCACCAAGGCGGTTATTACTCTGCCAAGTGTCAGGAGGCTCTGATTGATGTTCACGGTCTCCCGGACTCGTATTCCCTTTTCATTGCCGGCCTTGGATACATTTTCACTGCCCGCCAGATCCACCAGATTCAACTTTCCGATCTTCAGCATATCCTCGCCTTCGATGCCATTCTCCCTGATGTGCACCACTATGGAAAATACCGTGTGCGATCGAGAGGATTGGGCATTCATCAGAGTTGTGGCCGTCTTGCGACGCTCTTTTCCCTTTTCTAGCAGCTTGTACACATCATCCTTGCTGTGCACTGGTATCTCCTCCAGTCCCTGGATAATAACCGATCCCTTCTTGGTGCTGTCATCGAAAATGCGAATCTTGGTGCTGTCATCGGTTGACAGCAGATCGCACAGCTCCTCGTTGTACAGCTCCAAATAGGAAATGCGCATCGTGTACTCCACCTCCATCATGCGGAGCTCATCGAAAAGGTGACTCAGAGCTCGCGGTATGATGCCAATATCAGAGTCCTAAGCGTAATTAAAAATGGCAAAATGTTAGATGGCTAGTTCGTGGAACAGGAAAACCGGTTTTGTAGGTAAAGAGTTGAATCTTTAGCCGAAACCCCATTTCCTATAGGTATATAGGACCTAAAGTCTTGGTAGGTGCTCGTTAAAAGAATTCTTTGACTAAAGATTCATTGACAATAGGACTTCCATATTCTAAACGATATATAAAGGACCCAAAGGCTTGGTAAATGATCTTTAAATACAATTTTAGTTTCTTTATCGTTTGTAACAATTCTATGGCCATAGGTTCATTTACAATCGGACTTTCATACTTGAAGGTACGATAAAGGACCTAAAGACTTAATAAGTGAATGTTTATAAGAATTCTGTGGGAATAGTTTTTTTGACAATAGGACATCCATATCTTATAGAGCTTTAGGACTTAATAACAATGATATGGCTTTAGTTTCTTTGACAAACGAACTTTCATAATGTAGGAACTTGGGACTTGCTAAGTGATCGTTTGTTACAATTCCAAGCGACTTTGGCAAGTCTTGCTTGTGCTACACCACCCATACAACTTGTGGCCATCCTGTCCCGGTTTCAATAGTAAACTCACATCTTCCCAGGAGGATTTCAGTTCGGCGGTCTCGTTTCCCACCATCGTGTGCGTTTTGCCCGTGCCCGTTTGTCCGTAGGCAAAAACCGTGCAGTTGTAGCCAGAGAGGACCTCTTCGATCAGTGGGGAAACGACCACGGAGTAGACATCGCATTGCTTCGACTCGGGGCCAAAGCTGCGATCGAAGGTGAACTTCTTGGTGAGCTTGGAGTCCAGGGTGTGGCGGGTCACGATTTCGCGTGGTGCCACCACATCCACGACTTCCGCGGATCGGATGCAGCGTTCCCGGGAATTAAGGGGCCTAGGAAATATATAAAATCGCAGTCAGCACTCGCATTTCTCCAGAGTGTGATTCAATTAATCAACTCACCTGACGCGCACATACACCTGGATGTTTTGATTCGACTTCTTTGGCGGCTGGCGCGACGTATTCCCACCCGAAATGTCCATTTTAATCAAATAAATGAAATTGTTTGTAATTAAGCGCGTACAGTCCAAAAAATGACGCCAAGCGATTGCACTTGTATGTGTGTGTGTGTTCGTTTGCTTCCAGAAAACCCTTGTTTTCACTTTCCAATGAACTTAATTTGATGATTTTTAACTACCATTTACAAAGGGACGCTTGGGTAATCTGTTTTTCGCACTAATTATAAAGAAAACCTAGGGCGCAGCGTCTCCGCTTGTCCGTTCAGTTTCAAAATTATGCGCAAATAGCGTGACCGTCGCAGGCGGCGGAATAAATACCAGGCTTCTAGAGAAAATATACCACAAAGAACTAGTTCGTTTTGGAAACGTACCCAATTAGTATTTATATACCACTAATTTAAATTCAAATATATTATTGATAAACCTAATAGTTGTAATCAGTAATAAACAAAGAAAATTGCATGTAAACATGTTTTAAAGACCCAAAAAACGGAAAATAATTCAGAATCGCTGCTTCAAATCAGAATTTGTTCATCATTTGGCAAATATAGCATACAGTATTTAATATATTATTAACCTATACATAGTACACATTATTAAATATTCTTAAAAGCCTAAGCTATATGGTGAAGGATTCCCTGCCTTACGAGGGACTCCACTTGAGCCCTGGGCAGATAGTGCTGGCTGTTCTTCTTCAAATGGATTACCTCGCCATCGTCCAGCTCGAATTTTCCGTAGTCCTCCATGCAGCGCACCTCTATGTAGAGGGATTTGGGAGGTCGCAGGTTGTTGGTGAGATCTATGGGTAATCCCTGATTGTAGCCGGCACTGCACATGTAGGCAGCCAGGGACTTGGAGTAGTTATTGAAGAAGTGCACCTCCGGTTCGCAGAGAGACTGCTTTATGTCCCCGGGAATAATGGGTCCGAATTCCCAGCGCAGGGCCTTGATCCGCTTGCATCTCTCGTACAAATAGGCCAATAAGCACCTCTTATTCCTCTGGAGAGCCGCATGTCTGAAGTTTAGTAGTGGCCACAAGCTCCGATCCCCGGAAGCATTATACGTTGAGGCCTGGGCCACGTTCTCCTCGAATATCGCCTTGATCTCCTCCAGAACCTGACGCACTCCGTCGTCATCGAAGGCGGGAATGGTTTGCGACGATCTCTCCAGCTCCTTGAGAAGGTCAAACGCCTTGTCTCCAAATAATTTGTTTGACCGGCTCATTGTTGATCTTTATTGTTTTGTTGATTGTTGATCTAGCGATGGGTTCGCGCCAAAATATTTTGATTGCGATTATATCGATATTATTAGCCCGAAGAAGTATTTTTATAATATAATGTCGTTGTTTGGTATTTTTAAGGATACCTCGCCCCTTGGCTTGAGCAAATTTTAAAAAGTAATTTACGAAACACCATTAATCTTTATTGAGCTGCCCAAGCACTTAACTTTTTTTGATACAGATGTCAAATAACAAGTTTTAAATCCAAATTTAAATGGGATCCTAGAAATTTGAAGTTTGGAAGCCAAATTATGCTGCCTTAAGCAAAAAACAGAGAAATGCCTTCCTGGTTAGATTGGATGACCTGCCAGAGTGCAACACCAGATGCTGGTAAGTCAGTGTGACCATCTCGCTGTTATCGCAACACGCACATCGCTAATTAGCGAATTCGCCCATCTCTATCACACACGTAGTGGCTAAAAAAAAAGAAACCAGATGAAACGCAAACTGTGTTAAATCAATAAAGATATAATAGAACTCCTGAGGCTGTGGCTGATTTTGGTGCTGTGCGTGTGTGATAGCGACAGGAGGGAATCCCCGATTTCAGAAAGTGAGCTATAACCGATTTCAGAAAGTGCAAGAAGCAGCACAGGTGCAGCACCTATACCTATATTTATTAACTCTTTGGTTTCGGCCAATCTTAACCCAAACAGCCTTCAATTTGGGCCAACCACCGCCGGCGGAAATCATGGAGGGCAGGGAGTCCAACGAGGTGTACGATGACATGAACCTGTACATCACCCCGGAGAGCTTCATTGTGGAGCCGAACGGAGAGCAGGAGGTGCTCGTTATCGGGCGCCACGATAAGGTCACCAGAGTTCAGCCAGCGGGCGGAGGTCAGTTGGCCAATCTGCGGCCCACTAGGCGGATTTGCGGTGTCCTCGGCACCATACACTTGCTGAGCTGCGACTACCTCATTGTCGCCACCCACCGGCTCTTCGTCGGCGTCCTCAATGGCTCGATTGTGTGGCGATTAGCCGGCTATGACATCATACCCTACATTCCCAATGCCATTCAGCGCAAGGAGAACGAGACGTACTTGCGGCTGCTCCGCCAGACACTGGACACCAAGTACTTTTACTTCTCCTACCGCTACGACCTCACCAACTCCCTGCAGAGGCAGCGGGAAGTGGCCCAATCCCGGCCAGAACGACGTGGTGGACTGCTGCAGCGGGCCGAGCAGCGATTCGTTTGGAATGGCTATGTGCTGCGACAATTCAACTGCGACAAGATGGAGAAGTTCCAGCTGCCACTGGTCCTGGGCTTTGTGTCCATCAACCAGGTCCAGATCAACGGTCAGACCTTCTTCTGGAGCATCGTAACCAGGCGATCTGTGCAGCGTGCGGGCACAAGGCTCTTCTGCCGAGGCAGCGACGAGCACGGCCATGTGGCCAACTTTGTGGAGACCGAGCAGATAGTGGAGTTCAACGGACAGCTCACGGGCTTCGTGCAGACGCGCGGCAGCATGCCCTTCCACTGGCACCAGCTGCCCAATCTGCGGTACAAACCGCGACCTGTTTTGGTCCCTGGAAAGGATCACCTGGCTGCCTGCACTCTCCACTTCAACGAACAAATCCAGCTGTACGGCGACAATGTGGCTGTGAATCTGGTGGATCAGAAGGGCGCCGAAGGAGAACTGGAAGCCACGTATGCTCGTCTGATCCGGGAAATGGGCAATCAACGAGTGCGCTATGAATCCTTTGACTTCCATAGCGAGTGCCGGAAGATGAGGTGGGACCGGCTCAACATACTCATCGATCGCCTGGCCTACGAGCAGAATCAGTTCGGTTTCTATCACGTCTTCGACGATGGCAAGCTGGTGTCCACGCAGACGGGCGTCTTCCGGACGAACTGCATCGACTGTCTGGACCGCACGAATGTGGTGCAGAGCATGCTGGCCCGCAGATCCCTGACGGCGGTTCTCCAGAAGCTGGGCGTGCTGCACGTGGGTCAGCAAGTGGAGCAGGCTTCCGCCATCTTTGAGAGCCGCTTCAAGGGCGTGTGGGCGGACAATGCGGATCTGGTGTCGCTGCAATATTCGGGTACGTGCGCCCTCAAGACGGACTTCACCAGGACGGGCAAGCGGACCAAGGCTGGTGCTCTGCAGGACGGCAAGAACTCGCTGATGCGTTACTATCTGAACAATTTCGCGGATGGCCAGCGGCAGGATGGTGTTGATCTGTTCCTGGGCAAGTATCTGATCAACGACAATGAGGGTGGCGCCGTGCCATCACCGCTGGATTCGAAGCGTGGCTGGCGCTTCTTCACCTTCCCCTCGGTGCTGCTGATGGCCGTGGCCATGTTCATGATCACCATGACCTATCCGGCCGAGTTCAGCACGGAGAACCTGCTGTTCATGCTCTTCTGGGGCTCAATGATCGTCGTGAGTGCCACGGGAATCCTGCACTACGGCGTCGAGTTCGTGCAGTGGCCGCGGCTTTTTCCGCCCATCTCCTTTCGAGAGCCATGACATTAGTGTCGTCTAGCAGAGTCACTGGTCAGCAGACCTCTGCAGCATAAACACAGCCACTTTTCTCCCAGAAAATATATTGTAAACCAATTCCTGTAATCGTTTTGAAGTCCTCTCTATTTCTAGCCCCCCGCTTTCTGTTTTCTGTTTATTCTGTTTTTGTTTAGTTTTAAAGCCTCAAAATCCATTCCTTTCTACAACATGTTAGTTATTATAAACAAACACACAACACTTAGGCGAGCTTCAGGCGCTTGAAAATGGATTTGAATGGGCTTTCGGACGGGAGGGGATGGAGTTGTCAAGGCGCCGCTTCTTAACTGCGATTAATTGCAAAGTAGATCAATCACTTGTGTAGAAACATTTTATGACATTAAATAAAGTATTTTACGCATTGCTAGAAAACCTCAAGCGAAGTCTTTTAATTACTTTTAGAGGTGAACTGCAATGCAAGACAAGAATATCGTATTTATGACATGCATGAAAGATTGCCAATGCTACACATGTAAAGGTTATTAAATCTATTGAAATGCTTATTGAAATTATTTGAAATAAAACACTTAAATAATTTTTATAAAATCAATTTTAATATGTCTGTATATTACAAGGACCGAAATAACAAATAAATTCAAGTTCTTTTAATATAAAACTAAAGGAAATTGTTAAAAGTGTTTTAAATATGATTTATTTTAATGCACACTGTTGTTTAATTTATACGACTCCTTCAGTAATAAAGGTTAAACATAACAATTATTTTGATTTTTATTTTAATTTACTTTCAAAATAAAAGACTTTTAAAATATAAGCCATGACTGATATTTATAAAAATACTTTAATTTTATGGTTTATATTGTAAGGACTTCTTAATAATATTCCAAAGTATTTCTTAACATATCAAGTTAACAGATCAGTTTTTATAAATCAAGTCAAGATACCAGGCAATCTTTGAACATAAATTCATATTGGGCATTTCGAAAACCACAGTTTTTCTGTTTAGGCACGCAGTCAAAATCTGAATACAAATTTTATTTATTCACAAAATTTTGTAGTTTTTGTTTAGAATTTCAAAATTCATATTTATTTTATATATTATATATACAAAAAAAAGTCCCTTGTGGTGTAGATTTTTAAGTGTAAACTTTTAAGTTTTTAGGGTTTTTAAAGTGAAATGGACGCAGCGGATAGGTCTTCGAAACTTGCAGACAACTTCTTGTACATGTTGGAGTTTGTGGTGGATGACCTGCTGATTACGCGGCCGAATTTCTGTGCCCCTGAGGAATATCCCACCTGTACGGAGATCACCTTCCGGTCGATTTTCTTGAACATCTGTGATCGGGAGAATGGCACCTGTGTTAGTCCCTGTTCACCCAAGACCGGGAAGTGCGTCCTGTTCAACCTGGATACCCCGCTTACGGACGAGGATGTGATGCATATACATGTGTACAAGAAACGCACGGAGAGCTGCAAGTTCCTGCTCGGATTGACGGAGCTGCCGATGAAGCCGCTCTTCGACAGGGTGAAGCAGCAGTTCGATTCGATAAACACGAACTGGGAGGAGAACGTGATGACGCACGTTTCGCGATTGCCCAGGATCAAAGGTCCCTGCAAGAAGACCAACAATTGTGACTGCTATGAGAGGAATAAGTCGCGCCTGGAGAGTTTGTGTCCCACATCGGAGATAACCAAGCGAATGCTGCCCCTCTTTAATCTCTGCAAAATGCAAACGGGAAATATAGTCCTGCTCCTGAGATTGGTGTGCAATGGTCCTTCCGTGGTCTCCTCGTTTCCCGTGGTTTGCATTCCCAAATGCAAGGAGCCCTGCTGCACTTCGTGCTGTCGCTGCCCAGAAACATGGCCTGCTCCTTGTTCATCGCCCATTGATCCCTGTGATCCTTGCAAGTCCGTGATCCCTAAGAAAAAGTAAACAGGAGCAACTGCTGCAAGGATTTTAGTGTTGACAAGGCTGCGCCGCTGATTGCCTACTATTTATTGCTATAGTAGATCAATTACATTTTATAACCATAAATAAAGTATTTTACACTCTTCTTGCATCAATTGAAGTCTTTTAATAGCTTGTGGAAAGGTCAACTACTATAAAGAAAAGAATGCTGACTTAATACTTGTCTATAAAATATGACCATAAGTTGTAAAGTTCAAGTAATAATAAAATGTCGTAGTTGTTCTGGATTTAAATATTTTTATTAGTCAGGTCATAAAAAATCAATTATTTGGTTTTGAACTTTTTAAAGAGTTAATTAAATAGACATGATAAAATGGCTCCATACTTCATACTGCAATTACTAAAATAATTTTAGTAATAATAATAATAATAGTTAATTCGGTAATTTCCATTAATACTCATGTTCTTAAAACAGAATAGTTACAAATCACAATACAAGAACGAACTATTATCATATAATACCTTATTTTGTTTCAAATTCTTTAAATAAGGAACAAGTTATATGTCTTATATTTTAATTAACAAACTAAATTAAATTATTCTATAAAAATAAAAATCTAATTTGTATTATAATTCTGGTTAGTCGTTTTGAAAATATGTCTAAAATTCCTAATCAATCGCCTAGTAGTCCTCGAAACTCCAATCGTGCCATCAGTTCGAACACCACAGTCTCCCTGTCTGGACACCCATTCAAAATCTAAATCAAAATTTTAAATTATTTCTCAAAATTTTAAAAGTGCGTGTGTTTGGGCGAGGAAATTATAAGTTTTGCAAAACCAAAAGCTAGCGGAAATTCCCTTTTTGCATCGTTGCTAAAGTTATAGTTTCTTGTTCGGCATAATGTCTGAGAAAATTGAGAAGTCGGAGAAGCCACCAAAAATTGCAGGAAACTTTCTGTACATGTTTGAGTTTGTGGTGGACGACCTGCTGATCACACGCCAGAATATGTGTGCTCCGGAGGAGTATCCCACCTGCACGGAGATCACGTTCCGCTCGGCCGTTTATGTGAATCTCTGCGATCGCGAGGTGGGCACCTGCGTTAACCCCTGTTCGCCCAAGTGCGGCAAGTGTGCCCTGTTCACGCTGGACTCCCCGATTACGGACAAGGATGTGCTGCAGGTGCATGTGTACAAGAAGCGGACGGAGAGTTGCAAGTTCCTCATAGGAGTGTCGGAGCTGAAGGTGAAGCCAATCTTCGATAGGGTAAAGGAGTCCTTCGACATTGAGAATCCCGAGTGGGAGGGGGCCATGCTGGGGCACATTGCCCAGTTGCCCAAGTTGAAGGGTCCCAATAGCAAGGGCCTGCTGGACAACTGTGCCTGCTACGAGAAGCTGAACGAACGCCATGAGCAGTGGTGTCCCACTTCGGAGCTATCGAAGCGATTGCTGCCCCTGTTCAATCTCTGCAAGATGCAGACTGGCAACATAGTGCTAATCCTCAGACTGGTCTGCAATGGTCCGGCCATAGTGTCCTCCTTTCCCTTCAGCAAGGTCTGCTCCCGCAATCCCAAGTGCCCGCAGCCCTGCTGTGGGCCCTGTGGACCCTGTGGACCCTGTGGACCCTGTGAACCCTGTGGGCCCTGTGGACCCTGTGGACCCTGCCCACCGCCTCCTGGCTGCGGTGCCACCCCATGTCCTGCTCCCTGTCCTGCTCCCTGTCCACCGCCATCCTGTGATCCCTGCGATCCGTGTGGTCCTGGCTGCGGTGCCGGGGGAACTGCCACCGGTGGACCCATGGAGAAGAACAAGTGCTGCAAGGGTCCGTGTGCCCAGCCCTCTTGTCGTCGCTGCACAATGGTGGACCCGTGTGCCAAGCGCATCGAGCCGCCGGCCAAGTGCCTGCGATACTACTCCTGCAACCTGGACAAGCTGTGTCCCTGCGATTACTGTGAGGACGAGTTCGACAGAGGTGAGTCACCATCCTAAAAGGCCATTAATAATCCCCAAAATGTTTACAAAATCTAATCAATTAATTTGATAAGTTTGCTTTTTAATATTTAAAACGAATAAGCAGTTATTTTATTGCAAAGTCAGGACATCAAAATTTAATTAATTTAATTTAAATATTTAATTTCATTTAAACCAAAAGTAATATATTACAAATCTACAAACACAGCCCATTTTTATTGTTTTTTTTTTCCATGTTAAAATTTGAAATAATGTTACTACTGATAAAACATGTTTCTTCATTTGTATCTTAAACAAGATATGTGAAAATGTGCAATTGGAAGACTAGTTTTACGAAATTAAAATAGATGGCTTGTAATGTTTAAAAAAATATATCCTGAAAATACCAGTTTAATTTAATTTAAATTATAAATTATTCAAGTGACAAAAATAATAATTGTTTGGTTTCCAAATACGTAGTGTTACTTCTTCTTAATTCTTGTTGTGTTAAATATAAATAATGTACAGTTTAAATTCGCGTTTTACAAAGACTAGTCTATTAATTTAAAAAAGGCTTGATATTAAAAAAATATATATTATTTATATATCTACAAGCACATACTTATATTGTGATTTCTGATAAAGGAAAAATGTACCCAATACCACAAGATATTTCACTTCTATTTTAAAATGTTGTTTCTTATATTTTGTTGTTGTCCTTGGTTTCCCAGAATGTCCCACTGTGCCAACAAAGCGCTGCAACATGTCGCCCATCGAACAAAAGCTGCAGAAATGCGGTCCCTGTGGGGGCATTCCACCATATCCCCGCTTCGTCCAGGAGAAGTTGGAGGCGGAACTCTTGAACAAGCCGAGCAAAGATCCCAAGAAGGATGGCAAAAAGGACAAAGATGGTAAGGACAAGGACGGCAAAAACGGCAAAGGCAAGAAGAAGCGACAGGCAGGAGGTGCCGTTTACTGCGTTGGCGACCACAATGGTCCTTCTGCCGTTTACGAGGAATGCGATCCTGTCTGCAGTGGTGTCCTCCAGGTCACCCGAAAAATGAGGTGCAAGGAGCCGATTGTCGAGTGCAACAGGCGCGGGGATGAGTACAACATGGCCTGCGATGAAGGTGAGTAAGAATTTTCCACAAAATGCCTTTTTTATAAGGTTATATTTATTTTACCAAACATTTCTGTAAAAAAATGTGATGGTAAAAAAAACACCTGCATGTAATGTCAGATAAAATGTATTTTTTGATAAAAGTCAACGGAACGTATGAGTGATAATCTTTGAATGTTATGCACTGACCATAAAACGCATCTAAAATTTTTATAAAAATTTGAACCACCCTAATAAGTAATACCTTACTTAAAAATTGTTCTTTGTAAACGAGATTTAAAAACTTTGAAAAAAAGCTACTTCTATTTAAGATCGCAGTGTCGACCTTATATCGACAATCTGCAAATTACATTTTTTACACGAAAATGATATATTTTATAATATAATTTCCCCAAGTTTGTTTCCAAGTAACAAAAGAATATTTAGTAGGCCTTGAAATAAACACAACTTATTTAATCAAAAACATATCTGAGCACTTTCAGTAACACCAAGTAGACGGGGGATAAACGATCATTACTCGGTTGGCATTCCGTTTTATAGATTCATACGGGAAATGTTGTCCACCGCACAAAATATACAAAAATTAAATTATTTCGTTATCGTTACGCGAGCTTTGGATGGACTTTGAAAACTGAACAAAACACAAGAGTATTACGCGTAGTTCTATTAACCACTGACATTATAAAGCGGTTTCAATAAATCGGGATTTCTTTTCTATTGCAGCGCGAAAACGGGCTGTGCGTAAATTGCGCCGTTTGTTGGTGAAGTACAATATCAAAATTGAGAATTAAAGGCCTTTCGAATATAACACAACTCTTAAGACATCTGCAGAAGTACCCAGTGAATAGTTATATATATTAATCACACAACATGGCTAAAAAGAAGGGGCGGAAGGGCAAGAAGGGCAAGAAGACCAAGGTCGACTGCAAGTTCAAGATCTTGGATGAGATGCTCAAGCCAATGAATGAGCGTAAGTATATGTATACTAATTATAACAGATGTTTATATTTACTTTATCAAAAACAATGTAGCTTTTTTCGATTTTCATATGAATTTTTCGATCCTTCCTCAAATAAAATATTTTACAATTATTAAGCGACACCAATGAGTAATCCTTCCTAATCTGTTGCATAACCCACAGCTGTTGATGATTGCGATGGCTGTTGCCAATGCGCCTGTGATTGTGACTGCAGTCCGGAGATAGCTCCTTGTTTTATCCAACCCACAAGGCCGGATCCGGGTCCGGAGGCCTACGATGAGTTCGAGGCCTGCTTAAATGGCAGTGGATTGACTATAAGAGTCCTGAAGAACACCCACAAGGTGGAGAGCGTCCAGGACGGAAATGAAGGCAACCTTGGTGCAGACGATGATCCCTGCTATCGCCAGGATCCTAACGATTGCGAACCGAAGCAGGAGTCCTGCCTGCACGAGATGATGCAGCGCAGCTCCTTTGCCAGGAATCACATCAAGCGCAGAACCGGCGGCAGGATCGTCAATCACCCGAACATTCCGAAGGTGCGGGCCAACATCAAGTACTCGGGCAACGATGCCTGCGAGACGGACAACTACTACGTGCCCTTCTCGAAGATCAAGGAGGCCTGTGACCTCCAGGAGGCCAAGGTCGACTGCTATCGCCAGCGGCTGTGCGGCGGAACCGATCGCATCGTGCCCGCCCAGTGCCCCGCCCAGAATCAGCGATCCTGCTGCATGCAGGTCGAGGGCAAGGACATCATGCAGACCATGAAGGGGGTCAATCTGGACACCAGGCGCAAGGGCATCGAGGTGAGTTTAGTTTTAAAAAATTTGTCATGTCAGTAACGACTTCCTATGATTACTCAAATATTTCTAAAATATTTTAATGATTATTAGAATTATTTAAGTTGAAAAATTAAGATTATAGGTTTGTTTTAAAAATGTTCTGGTTCTGAAAACTATTTAAAGAGTTATTCAAATACTTTTTAATTTGTGTATAAAATTACAAATTTCGGTTTTGATAAGCCGCATTAATTTATAATACTTATAAATAGTTCCTAAAATTTCAATTCTTACTAGAAAATTGATATTTCTTTATTGGAAAAATAGTATGCATTTAATAAAAGTAGTAATTGGCCCGCAAAAATAAACCATATTTCAAGAATGTTTAATCTTAAATCAGGTAATCACTGATCGCCTCCGCATTCCATTTTTTTTTTTGGGATCGCTGGTTACGTGTGCGAATGCGGAATGTGTGATCGCTTTCAGGCCGTGACTTGGCCCCTCTAAATGCCGATGCAGGTGGTGCAACTTCTGCAACTTCTGCAGCTTCGGGAAGTCGGTGGAAGGCTTTCAATTGCCTCAATTGTGGGGCAGTTGCATAACATCTGCCAGCTCCAAATGTGGAGCACTCTTTTTCGTTTTGCGGTGGTAAATCCGCGTCGGCTTTTTATTTATGGTAATCGTATGGGAGATGTAATAGATGTTTTAACCACCTACTTGCAAATAAGGTGTTTTTGTTCCCTGATCAAACAAGTGTATCTATAAATGTCATGTTTTAGGTACCGTTGCATTATCCCACATTTAATGATTTAGCGAAGGTCATTTTTGATTTTTAACAATTTTTTTTTATTTTCTACTAATTATAGACTATTTAAAATCAACTTGTTATTCATTTTTCATTTAGGTATGCTACAAAACTTGCGAGGAGACGGATAGCGATGTGTTCCTGGTGAAACTGGGGAGTAAGGCCAAATCGCAACACAAGAAGAACACCATCGAGATCGAGTTGAGGACTCCTAAGCAACCCGTAACCTTGCCGGTTAGTAAGGTCACTACGGAGACCTATGTTTCCGAGGAAATGCTGGCGGGGGGTAAGAAAAAGAAAAAGAAAAAGGGCAAAAAGGGAAAAGGCAAAAAAGGAAAGGCCAAGAAGAAGTAGATGATCCTTAGGCGCATCCTTAACCATCAATGAATTCAAAACAAAGAAACGATCCCTAAGAAAATCCTAAGTCATCAAATATCATAAAGCTTGTTCATCAACGATCATAAGGCGAATTCTTAACCATCAACGATCTAAAGCGAGCTATAAACCACCAACGATACTAAGCAGAATCCTAAATCATAAACTATCAACGATTTTGAGGCGAATCCCAATCCATCAACCATCCAAACCCGATTTTTACACTAGAATCCGGACAAGTTGCACACCATTCTTGGACCCATCCACTGGCTTTTTCATGTAGTAACCATTTCATATCAAGTAAATGTAAAGTTTGGAATCCGCGAAATAAATAGCTAAAATTCAAAATTGTAAAATGGAAATATTTTTATTATTGGAGTGTCCAAACCGCATGTGAAGATTTTAAGTCTTATTTATAAAACAAATAAGAAAAACTGACTTCAATTCTTCGAAACTGTAAATGCCCTGCTGGAAAATTTATAATAAAATTTCGTCGCGAATACCAAAATATATTTGTGTTTTATTTTATAAAAGAATTGTATTTTTGCATATTTATAACCAGTGTATACCCCTACTGAGCGGAAAAGAAATCTAAAATTGGCTTTGTTTTTTTTTTTCGACTTAGAAACGGAAATACCTAAATAAATAGTAATCTATTTCGTATTGTTATTGAAAGCAATCAATATTGGATAGAAAATTCCACTTTGCTAAGCCTAAATAAACCAAAATCGTATTACATTTTCTGATTTTTTATTATATGCATTCGGTATTTGCTATTGAATTCCTTTCCAAATTAAGCCCTAAGGCTATCACGAATATTAAGCTGTTGTGCAAATTTTAATAGCCCCCTTTAAGGGCATTTTAAGTGGCAAGTCAAGGCCGCAGAGGTGCTTCATCTGCATTTCCCGCGAATCTAAAAATAGCCGACAAAGCCAATTTGCGATGGCTGACTTGCAGCGCAGAACAGTAATACGACCTCATCTATTGCACACCTGTAATTAAAAATCATGAGACTGGGACCCATCCCAGCCAGAAATCTTCAGAGAAGGGGTAAGTCGAAGAAGAAGAAGGCGTTGGATGCAGCGGCAGTTTTGTGGTTTGGCGTCTGGTCTGGTCACTTCAAACGAGTTGGGGGCCCCCGGAGATATACACACATATACTATATATGCAGAGTGAGAGAGATCGGGCCAGCTGACCGATCCGCCGATCCACCGAACCACCGATCGACGGTTCGGAGAGGAGTCGAGCGAGGAACTCGTTTTAGTTGCGTTCAAACGCTTTAGTCTGTAAGTTAACACGGCGAGTGCGATCGCAGGAAAGACTCGAGAAAACGCAAAGCGGTGCCCCAGCCTAGATGTTAACTGTTCGGTGGATCGGCCCCGAATGCGAGCAACTTTTGAGATCGCTGCATGGCACAGGCCATAAAAACTGAGAGATCTCGGCGTAAAGAGACAACCTGAAAACCACTCCAATTCTCTGAATCTCACACTCTGCGAAAGCGGAAAGAAAGTGAATTTTGAGTGGAGATCTACGGTGATTACTTAATCCGCGTTCGCCTTCACGATCGCCAGGCATCGAACCCTGGTTACAAAAAAATATAGATACAAATTTCGAAGGCGCAAATTAATGGCCCTAACTTAAAGACCTTTCCCCGCCCCTCGAGCGTTGACAGCGTTGGGCGGAGAAAACAAGAAAAAGTATTTGAATATTAAAAGACTACTGCCGATCTGGCGATCGAGGAAGAGATACAGATACCAGACGACATTTCCCCGATACATATTTGATAATTTAGAAAGCTATGCTGCTGCATACCAAATAAGCTAGATCTGGCCCAGACCCTCGATCAGTTGGCTTTCAGTTACAGCTCGAGATCGGAGGTTATACCATAGCCCCGCGACCTGCCTGACTTTCCCCGATTTTCGGTTTCGTGCATTCGCATTCGAGAGATCTCACAACCAAGTGCACTTCAACTGGTGTCTAAGATTCGCGGGAAAAGTGCAAAATCAGTGATAATGTTACGCCCCACGCTCATCATAGTGCTCATCTCGTTGGCCGGCGTCGATTCCGGCCACAATACACCCAACTCCCGCCCAACCAAAATAAACATCAGCAATGTGCCACACGGTTTCCATCTCAATCAAAACAATCACATCAGCAGCAGCAGCAGCAATAATATTAGCCACTTTGCGGGAGGAAATGTTCCGACTGAGGCCGAACACATCGAAAATGGCCGTGATAAGAGAGGTGAGTACTTGGGTCCCCTTTGAGGCACTTTTCCAAGTGCCCTCGATGGTGGTGAATCCGTGTCAGGGTCAGAGTCTGAATCTCAGTGCCTCACTGCCTGCGATGGACATCATCGAGTGGCAGTGTCAATTGACTTGCAAATATTGCCAATTGCTCTTGGCCAGATTGCTTTGAACCGTAGTAGTATTGGCAAGTGAAAGATGTAGGTGGCAAGACTGTGGTAGCTCAAGGGTGCAGTGGGCTTAGTTATAAGGTTTAAGTGAGAGAAAGCCATTGGTAAACATTTTTTAATTCAAGAAAATTAAGCAAGCTTAGCCATTTGGCTACTTTTATACTTTAATTGAAGCTCAAAGTTTAGTTGTTTTTTTTATGTTTATAAAACTTAAACCATTATATTTATTTCAAACTAAACCTTAACAATATATTATTTCAATTCAACATTTTTTTAATTAAATGAATAATTTAGTATTATATATTAAAAAAAGTAGTTAAGCCATACATACCTTTTATTGTACTTTCTTTATCTTACCTAAATTTTAATGTAGCTTATATGCCCCAAGTTTCTTAAAATAAAAGTCTATTTAAAATATTTGTGATAAAACCAAAATAAAATAAAATTATCTATTGACTGTGTCTAAATACAATAAAACATATTAAATACAATAAAACATACATTAAAACATATAATAAACAACATGAAAAAACCTTTAGATTTATGGTACCAAACGTCGACACTTGAATTACGCCAACGATTGTTTTGGAAATAAAAACAAATCTAGTTTTTCATTATAAATTATACACACATAAAGGAGTTTTAAAATTAGACAAGAACCGAATTTGCATAAAAAATCTCTTCACATTTATCTCCACGCTAATTTCGCATAACATATCAATTCTTAAGCACCTCATCTGTATTGATTTTCATATATTTATTACAACAAAAATGCCGATTCAAAAAAGAAACTGTGGCGTTTGTTATTAAAATGCTAATTGTGTTTCCCATGCACCATTTGGCATTTAAAGATTTCGCATTTCATAAACATATGAGTTCTACGCAAGCGAATCTCGTCACAATCGAGTCGAATCGGAGGCAAACTTTCGCATCAGCGGCTTTATCTCGCGATATATATTAGTTATATGTATAGATTGTGTTCGTATTTATAACATGGGTAGGTGCGTTCAATGCCCATCTTCTAGTTGCATAAATATTCAACAAATAAACGAAACAAGAAATCCAGTTTGAATAATATTTTTGCGATACGTTTGTGATACGTTTCTCTCCACTTTTGGGCTGCGCTTCTTGGCTTTGTTTTTTAAATTGGAATGCAGGTGACCTCAGAATACTAAATAAAATATTGAGTTAAAGAAAACACTGACGCAAATCAGAAAATACATTAAATATCATTATGCTAAAACGAATTATAGCTGAAAGAATTATGGGAGCTGGTGAACAAAATTCGAGTCTTTAACCTCGTGACATTTTGGCGAAAACAAAGCCGAAGAATCGAACACGTGCTGACAACTTTTTCCCAAACATGGCCAATAGATTTATGAGTCTAGAGGGCCAGCTGAGAGCTGAAAGCAAAAAACCGAAAAATAAGAGTTCAAACACCTCTCGACGAGCCTTTTTCAATAATTACTGGGTATTATGCCATCAAAGAATTTCGATTTGCATTGGAAATTTGATTCGCGTGATGATCAGAAATTAGCTGACAGTTGTCCAAAAATAAATCGAATGCTTACGAAATATGCAAAAATTTTTATTTATATGAGAGAAGAGCCATTGAACCTTTGTTTGTGTTGCGCCTACCACTTTAGAAGGCAATTTGTCAAGATAAGGAATTTATAAATATAAATTAGTTGTTTGAACACTCTAACTTTTACCTTTATACCTTTATATAATATTTTTCGACGCTGTCCATCAATCTTTTATTTCTATTTTATTTTTCCTTATATTATTGATATTTATTCGATTTAAAAGTGGTAACAATTTAAATAAAAGTAACTTATATAATGCTTTAAAATATTTGGAAAATTGATGAGATAATTTTTTAGTGAGAAAAAAAAAGTTATATAAAACAAAAAAATATTATGTTTTCAAATATTTGCTTAGCGATCAAAACTTGTTAATTATTTTTTTTTCACCAAAGACATTACAGTCAAGCCATAATTCATTGCTCTCTGCATTTTGTAAGAGTATTACCCTATGCCTATGAATATAATTACATATTTCAGCATTGAATAAATAAATCTTGTTAGTTTGACATTGAAACATGTCTGCCAACTTAAATTAATTATGATCTAATGTATCAAATTTGTATACAGATGGAAAAACCGATTCTTAGGCACCTTGAGATCGTAAATCAAAGAAGTTTGACCACAGCTTGAAATCTGAGGCTTGGCCTGCGTAACGTATACGCCGCATTGGCTGCTCATGTAATTACCCGAAACAAGAGATACAAGCGGATTGCGCAAGCGTTTGAAAAAGTATCTTTACGGAATGTGGATGCTGGTCCACAAACAGTTAAAAAAAAACAATCGTTTAGCGAGCGGAATTGCGAAATCCTTTGTCTCTGGGCAACTCCTCGCAGCTAATTGACCTCTTTTCAGCCAAGCGGCAATTGCACGGCCCTCAAAGTTGCAGTTGCAACTGCAGCCGCTTGTTGCTGCCGCAAATACACAAATACAGATACAGATGCAGATACAGATACAGATTCAGATGCAGAAACATTTTGAGACGGTTCTTAGCCGCAAATGCTGTGATGGTGGAAATGATTTAACGCTTTGATAGGTTCGTTTCGTTTTTCTCTCAAGGCAAAGCCAACATCCTCAGCGAGTTGTCATGATTTATGTGGCCTGTGCAAACGACAATTAGCCGGTCCAAGTATCAGCTATATAGTTGTTGCCCGATATAGATACACATCGCAATGGAGACACAACTGGGTCACCAAGTCGTGAAGTTATTGAATGCCCAGGCCGATCGACAACTGCACGGAGAAAAATTATCAAAAAGATTTAGCAATAAGGATTTATAACTAAAAGATGTGTTATACCAAATTGGAACGGGATAAAATTAAGTTTTTAGTTAAACAGAAATAATCTTAGATTAACTGTCTTAAAAATGCTTTTCTGATCAGGATCTCAAAGAATCACTTCAGGATTTAACGCCTTCGTCTTAACGTTAAACATTTATTATTTGCTGAAGTTAATGAGTTAAATACCTGAATTTTGTAATAAAACAAAAATATTCAAGACCTTTAATTTTTGTTGATTTTAAGCAGAGCATTAAAACTTAGAAACAAGGAAAGAAAATAAGACTTTGAGAGATGAAAGATATAAGTACTAAATTATCTTATCCTGTCCCACTTTTTGGTGTGCACTTTTGTGATCAGTGATCTTAGATCGTGTATCAGAACTCCCCCTCTTATTTTTCTACACTTCAAAAGCATTTAGGCCATCACGTTTCAGCTGTTGTCATATTTTCAATCCCAATTTCAACCGGTCAGCAAATGGCGCCCAACAATGGCACGTAAATTATCTCGCATAATGCTCGTTTAACAAGCCAAGGACTGCGAACTCTTGAAGAACAAAAAGTCAACAACGAATTCTGGCTTTTGTCTGGTTTGTTCAAGTGCGTTGAGCTGCCTTTTGTTCTCCTTTCGATGGTGGCCTCAAAGGCGAAGTCTAATTCCAGCTCAATTGGTAATTAATGCCGAAATTAAAGTCTTGTTCGATGACTTGCCATTCCGCTGGGGCTCAAAAGCACCTGAAGTTCTTTAAAAGTTGTTAGATAATGTTCACATCCGCCGGCTTGGATTAAAAAATTGCTTCAAATATTTGTGCCTTGAGTAACTGAATCGGATTAAGCAATTATAATTATCGAAACTCATTTTTTTTAAGACTTATATTTAGGTTCATTGTCCAATTATTTTTTGTTGTTTTATTGGAACCATAACAATGTTATATTTATTATACATTTTTTACTGCATTAAGTCACAATTATTTTGTGGTATATACAGATATAACACACAAAAATATTTTGTTCAAACCAGATATACATGAAAATGAAAGTACAATTTATTTCCAGTTTAGTTAAACTTTAAAACATGTGTTTATATATATAATTATTTTAACAGTTCAGGGACTTTAAGTTGTATCGAAAATAAAAGCCTTTGAAATTATATAAAAGCCTGCTAATCGATTTGCTTTCCCAATTCAGTTTTCCATTAAATTGCTTCCAAATTTTCACATAATTACTGAAGACACAAACTTTCCATTAATAGCCTCTGATCTGAAATGAAGATCTTTGTGGTCGATTTACGGCCAAGTGGTTCGCCCATTCAGAGAGTCCAATTTCATTAACCGAAGGCAATCAGATAAAGCGCCAAATTATCCGCCAACCAAAGTCAAGTGAGCAGAGGCCTTGTTTTCGGTAATCCGGCATTAATGTTTCACCTGACATAGCCCCATCGAAAGCCCCCAGAAAACTGCTCGTGTCCCCACTCAATCACAGACAAATGTCATGGCGGAATTTTCAACTCTTTTGCCGCGTAATGTTGCGCTCTTAACTGATAAACAAAAAGATATATTTAAAAATATATTAAAAGCATTACGCGTAATTGCGTAATAAATTTAAGTTTATTTTTTCTGTATTTCTGCCATTACACTCTGAAGATAAATTTAACCCGAAATGCCACTCAAATTAGGAGCTGAGGGCTGGGCGGGGCTAATGTATCACCGAGCAGTTAGCATCGGTTATGGCACAGCCAAAGAGCCCGGACATAAGCCACAATATTTATATCAATTATTTGGCAATTTTGGGCTCATCACAGGGAGTTTGGGAAACTGGAATGGGTCGTAAAGCGACTGCAATCCGCTTAACTGCGGGGCAGTAAAAAGTCTTTGCCGACCTTGACACACTTTGTTTAAAAGCAGATGAAATGGCAAGCGAAGACCGGGAAGTGAAGTACAAGGGCCCACGATCAAACACTTTATAAGGGCAACCCCGAATGCCTCAAGACTTTTGAGTGATGTCTGAGTGTCACTTCACAAGCTCGAACGATGTAATCAAAAATTCATCAAGTGACTCGCTCATCATGATGCCCTAACTGTGATATAAAAAATCACCACTCCATTGCCTAACTGTTGCCATTGCAAGGGTAACCATACTTCGTGGAGTTTTTTATTTTAAAGACTTTGTTTTAATTACATTATTTACAACACCTCAACGTGGGTTGTCTGTCCCGCACTTTATGTAATTACTCTTAAAAATCAAAATTTTAGTATTACATCATTTCGGGTGACCCACATGTGGAGCTATGGTACTTGTTCAGTGATTAATTGTGGTATCTTTTTAGGAGCCCAACTGGATCAGAGCGAGATAGCCCGCCAGAATCAAATAACTCAGCAGATATTTGCCAACTACTTGGAGCGACGGCTGTTTCCCAATCGCACGGCCAACCAGAAGATTCCCACCATTGCGGATATTCTGCCCAAGCCAAAACCATCGCCTAGGCCTCGTCCTCGAGGATTTGCGGCCCAAGATGGGGGACATTTCAAGAGGAGTGGTGGTGGAGCCCAGAGGAATCGCCTGGCAGCTGCCGCAACCAAAAGGCAAACCGGCTACAATCGCAAACGAGTTCAAAAGGTGGAGGAGGAGGAGGAGGATGACCAGGAGGAGGATCGGGATCAGCAGCCTCAAGCCAACCAGGAGGACTTCGACTACGATGTGCAGGAATCCCTGCAGAGCGTGGAGTCGGAGCAGCACGATCAGTACTATGGCAACATATTCCATCGCGATCCCAGCGAAAACGAAGTCGATGCTGGTGAGTTAAGACCCTTTTAAAAATAAATTTCAATTAACTATATATTAATAAATACACTTATATAGAAATGGAATAGTACAAAAATAGGTTATTTCATATGAAAATTAAATACAAATTTATGGTTTTAAATAGAATTCCTATTAAACTGCCGTGGTTTAAAAATAATGTGAAAAATATAGGGCTTGTGGATGATAATCAAAGCAAACAATATTTAAATTTAGTATAAAGGACTATGATTAAAAGTTTCACCGCCTTAAGTAAAAAAAAATTGAATATAAAATCACCAAAACATAAAATGTAAATTGATTTTCAAGTTAAATTAAGACTAATCAACAAAGGTAGATATTTATTTATAAATAAAAAAACTATGCTCGCTTTTTCTAACCACCATAAATCAATTCCCCATTTACCCACTCATTGATAAAGCGATCAAGCTTGGAATTTGTGTTAAACTTCACCTTACACATTACTTAGAGGTTATGCCATTAGCCACGCTGGCGGTGTCCATCCATCAATCCATTTTAATTTGTTTAGTTCCACTCGTTCGGCTTCCAACTGCATCACTACAATTACTATCTTATACCATTAAATTATGTCCGTTTTAACTTAACTTTTTTTTTGGGGAGGAATTCCACTGCCTCAAGCAGTTGCCACTTTCAATTCATTCCTTGAAGAGTTGTTTTATGTTTTTTCCTTTTTGAGTACGTAAAAACTTCCATATGGAACACGAAAATTACAATTGAGATTCCTCTGCGTTTTTCGTGTTTTCTTTTTAAGGGATTACAAACAATTATCTGGCAATTTCTATAAATACTTCACTTAAAGTTTTTCAGTTAATTGTTTAACTTCATTTTTACGAGCATTCTGGCCAGTATTTTTTGTATACATAAATGATTCTGAAAATTTCTTACAACTTATATAAATTTTAATTTTGTATAATTTCTTACTCTACTTATGTTTTGATTGTTTTTTTAGTTTTATTTCACTTATAGTGCTTAATTTATTTACACCTTATATTATTTTTACAATTTTTTTCCTCACAATATTTGTATTTAATAGATGGACTTTTGTATTGTCCCTTTTTATATTTATTGAACAATCTTGTTTCACACCATTTTCAATGGAAGTATTCCAACTCATTACCTGCACTTCTTAAGCGTTACCCTTTTTCATTATTTATTTGCATTTCGCAGCTTTTTGTTAGCACTGATCGCTTTGTCGCCTCCGGGACCACAGTGCGTATGATGAATGGCCTCGGGCTGCATATGTGTTTACATAACATATCAGACCGAGCCGAGCCGAGCCTCGTTTTGTCAGGCTATTTGCACACTTTAAAGGCGAAAAAATTGGCAAATTTATGAAACTTTTTATTTCACTTGGCCCAGGGTCGAAACTGGTTGCCAACCGTCACTCTTTTTCGCACCGATTTTAGCCCTGAGCAAAATCTTCCGAAAAATTCACGACCACGAATCGTACCGAATCGCATCGCAACGAATCGAATTGAATCAAGACAAGTCTAGAAGTAGTTCGATGACGGGATTTTATTTAGCTTAAACGTCAAACCATTAAAATTTATTACCCACACACGAGTCGCGAAGAATGTGAAACAAAAGAGCTGCCATAAAACTGAATTCGAGGAGACATTGCACCCACTTCCAGATGTAGAAAACTAGTTGAGGATACTTTGTTAGCGATTCTTTTGAATTCAATGCGACAGTCGTTTGAGATAAGAATTTGCATGGGTTTCGGAAAAGGAAGTTAATTATGGAACATTAAGGGGAATAAACTGCAGTGATTTATAAGCTTTTATCACAGTGTATTTAGAAATGTATATCTATTTTAAATTCAGTCTTTTATTGTTCCATGATTCATATAAATATAAACCTTTAACAGGATATATTAATGAGTATGAAACTAAATCAAAAGTTTTTTAATTGTTTGATAAAACCTACATAATAAATAAATATAAAATTTATAATTTAACCTATTTTTCTATAAAGTAAAATTAAGAAATAAGGAAAGTAAGTCAAATACCCTGCGAAGCTCAAATTGAAACGAGCTATCTAGTTCAACAAACCACCTTAATCACATTCCAAACACAAACAAAAATGAATTTAAAATTATCATACAATATCTGAATTCGAATTTCCATACCATTAGCGTCATACGAATCGTAAAAGCTTTGGTTTCAAGATCCATCAAAAGCCATGTATTGCGTAGAATATGAGGGTAAAATTTTGTTTGAGGAGATTCACCTGTGTCGAATCAAATGCGAGGGTCAAATCAGGGGAGTCTCTCGATTTTAAGAATGGTTTTACGAAATCTATTTTCGGAAAATGTATGCAAATCGCCGCGTGTCATTAGCCAATGGCTTATTATATCATTAAGATTATTAATATATTTATAAAAATTAACAGCAAGTTCATGACAATTAATGATTTTATAATTTATAGTAATTTAAGTTAATTGTTAACATAAGTAAATATTTAAATCACTTCCGATTAGCGGTGAATCTCCCGGACGGAAACCCTAAAGAATTTTTATGTACAACACACGTGGCCTTGGTTTTTGGTAGATAGCAATGAACTCGTCGCCTAAATAATTTTCTGAAACTGACTCTAATCTGGTTTTGTTTGCGTGCTGCATATAAAACTACTGAAAATCGGAATAAATACACATTAAATTTCAGCTGCTCTGAATCGTTTTTTGTTTCACCGATTGCTTGTTTCCAATTAATTAATTAGTCCAACTGCTGGGAGTGGAGAAGAACTGCGAAATTGAAGCGATGCCGCTTACAAGATACCAGAAAATCAACAAAAAAAAATTAATTTAAGGCACGTAAGCAAGACAACTACATAAAGTTGATTTTCATGCAAAAAAGTACGAAAATAATGAAATATGTAAAGCGGTGGCTGCAGCAACAAGTGGTTGCCACTTGGCGACTTGGTTTTCGGATTTCTTCACAAATTGCGGCCATTGCAGATGGGTTTTCCTCTGGCACTTCGACTCTTGCATCTGCATTGGAATCTCTGCATGTTTTTCTGCTGCTGACATTTGCCACAAAAAGTTGTCAATAGTTTTTGTCCCCTTTGGCGGGATAATCAATTTTTATGGCCGAGACTTAATTGCCGACACAAGATTTTTTGTGAACTTAATGGTAAAGAACTTCAAAGGTTTTTTTATAAATGCTGGGTGTGAATGTGTTATTGAACAAAAAAATCTGGGTATTTTAAAATTAAAAAAATAATTAAAGACAACTAAATAATCAAAAGTTAAAATAACAAAGCTTGATTAACAAGTGTTGAGTGCTACAAGATAAATGAGTTTTAAGCATTTTTAAATTAACTAAAACTCCAATAAATTTCCTATCTACACACATGTCGAAAATAACCTGAATCTTCCCAACCTACATTGCTGACACCTGCAAATACATCTTATTATTATCCCACCATTTATCTTCCCATCACTTTTATCTGATCTCTGACAAGCATCACGTATACGCAATGTATGACCGTAAAATCAGCATACAGTTGAATGAAAAGGCAAACGCCAGCAGCTGGAAACGAACAATCTAAGCCAAAAACTAGTTCATCATCTGCATCTCAAGGTCGCCTTATTTAGAAATTCGGCCAGCAACAGCGCGAAGTGAAGTTTTCTGGTTCGGCCCAGTTTGTTCGTAGACCAAAATCAGTGCCCACGTTTGAAATGCATCCAACCTCCCGGGGGGTAATTGCGTAATCCGAGAACTTAGATCAGTTGAGAAGAGAACAAAACTGAGCGCAATCCGTAACCGCAGAAGCGAAACCAGAATTTTGAAATGTTTCCACTTTTAGGGTTGTACCCGGTAGTTGTAGAGTGTGTTAAATCAGTCTAGATTTATGCGAATTCTTTTATTTTCTATGTCTTGCATTTATATTTTATTTAATTTGCTCGTGAGTCACTGGTATTTCTTTAGTAAAGTCTTCCGGTTCCTCAGTCAAATTAACAAAATATTCGTTAAGAGAATAAAAGAAACGAATGTATATATTTACATTTAGCTTTTATTTTCTAAGTGAAAAAATAAATACAATATATTACTTAAAAGTAGAATAAACTTATAACTACTATTTTTTAATTTGAATACAAATTTTTGAACAATAAATTTAAAGAATAAATCAAATTTTCAAAAATAAATTTAATTCCCAAATGAATTGTATTTCTTGCTGTTTAATATAAAACTCATTTTAAAATTTCCATTTTCTTTTTTGGTCCCTTAATAATAGTTTAAAAATTAAATTTTTAAATTAAAAAACACATGAATAATCATTATTTGCAGTCCTTTTTTTTCTGCTTATTTGGTGGAAGGTAACTTTTATTCGAAACCAGAGCGTTCTTTTAGAGGCTTAGTGTTCGCTTTTCACCTTGGTGAGGCTTCGGATTCAGCTTCAGCTTGAGATTCAGCTTCAGATGCGACTTGAGCTCTCGATCTCCAGCTGAGGCTGCGTCAAGTGTTTGACAAACAACCGCAAGTGTCCGCCGACCGTTGGCCATATATCCATCCATGTATGGCCGATCTCGGGCGATGTTAATCTTTCGGGTTTCGTTTCGCCTTTTTTTCGCCTCTTGTGCTGGCCGCGGCAAACAAGTTCGTCTTCGAGTCGAAGATCTTGGACTCTCTCGAACCAGTTGGGTGACTCTGATCTCTCTGAGTGAATCTCTTTTTCTCTGGGAGAGAGATAGACCCCCCTCCAAAAATCTCTGGGGGAATTCTGCCTTGGTTGGAGCCGAGTTGAGTCGAATTGGTTAGTTCTTCGACAACCGACGGTCAGTTTGGGCGCACGCCTGCGCACACCATTTAATACGTTCGAAAACCGAAGTTTCCGTCTCCGCATTTCGCATAACTTTCGATTTCATACGATAAGCATCTATTTCTTATTAAAATAATTCATATTTCGAACAAAACAACCGACGACCGGGAAAAATATGCGTTGAAAACACAAAAGCGAAATCTTTTTGTCAATTTACATTTACAAATATTTTACGGAATTTTCAGGGTAAAAAGTGTGCGGAAGTGTGTAAACCAAACAAAAAATAAAAGCAAATTTAAAACGGAAAAAAATAACATTTGCATAAATATCTGAATACATAAAATATCTGAATAGCTGAACACGATTGGAAACATGCAAAAGTATTTCGTTTTGTCTGTGATAATCTCCATCCAACTGCTTTGCAGTCTGGACAGGACGATGGCATCGCCCAACAAAGGACCAGGTCCTGTAGCTGGTAGGTTTTTGTGAAAAAATAAGCGACAAATTAACCATTGCATAACCCATACAAATCCTGGCCATAAACAAAAAAATAAACAAGAAACCAAAAACAAAATATAAGCCCACTTTCACTTTCTCGAATTGGGTTGGTTGGCTGGGATGAATGTGTGAAGTTGGGAAGCTTAATTGGGGAGTTTAGAGCCAAAATAGATGATGTATAAACTATGTTCAGACAGCTACCGTTTTTCGTGACATTCCTTTTTAATTTATCGCGACTCTCTCTGTTTTTGGCCCGTTCCGATTTGTTTTACCTTTTCTAGTTTCGGCCATTTGGATCGAAATTAGTCAAATGCATTTTTGTTGCCTTTACTGTTGCCTGTTGAAATGTTTGTAATAAAACAAGCCATTTCGTTGACACAAGCAACTCATCAAGAGCAAAAATAAATTTATACAAAAGCCAATATAAATCACTGAAAAAGGAGACCAGGCGCAATTTAGGTTAAAATCAATATAAAGACAACAAAAAATCAACTGAAGGTCAGGACTAAATTTATAAACAAAAAGAATTGATAGGGCTTTAAAAAGAAAATTGAACAGTAAGAAGGAATAATTTAAAAATTGACGGAGTTGATTATTTTAAAAGTGTAAAGACTTACATTTTTTTTAAACCCACCTAACATCCCACCCATAAATCTTCTAAATCTAAATCTTATCTCAATCCAAGCAATTTTTCGCTACCCCATAAACAAATTGCAACCGTTAGAGAAGATAATAATTTATAACATTTATAAAAGTCAAAACCTAATCATAAACATTAATATAACAGAAAAAATCCATTTGAATATTAAAAATTCTTTTGTTCGCTTGCAAGTCCAAGCTAATTAACATAAAACGCGAAAATATTCTTCTACTAAATATATATGTATTTAGCAGGAAGCCACAGCGATAAATGTGGTTGAATGTCAGCTTGATAATTGGAGTTAAAATATAAGTAAAGCTGTGCGTTTCTGGACATATTTTAGGTGCCGTTCCAACGAAGGTTAAATAATTAAATAATACTTTTGGGAGAGAAGGGAAGTAATGCTCAACAGGGTTACTAAATTGACATTGACTTTTCGCCATTCTGACAAAACGCCTCTTGTGTCAAAACTGGTTTAAAACTCTTATGATAAGTCGCCACTACACACAAGAAACCATAATCGAGTAGTGTTTGCCTTAAAAATTAATAAATAATCAATGCATAAATATATATATGAATTTACGGTTATCTTTGAAGTTGATTGGCGAAGGAAAGCTGCATGCAAATTTTATGTTTGTTCGGATCTTAATCAATTTGGCACCTTTAATTTGTTTCAAGTCTTTGTTGATTATTTAGAGGGGTGTGGAAAAGATGACTTCGAGGAGCAGGAAGAGGACAGCTGGTCAGAAATCCAACCGGTCTTTAATATTGCTTATATAGCAATGAAATTAATTAACAAAGAAGACTTAATTCCGTGATGCAACACGTGCAGAAAATTTGCCAAAATGCAGATTGCAATGAAGTCGGGAATTCACCAAGCAATCAATTAGCAACATTAATAGGTGCTAAATAAAAAAAAACCGTAACAATGTTAGTTGCTTGAAATACAGATAGAAATGAACTGTAAGGGGAGCAAATTATAGTTAAATAAAGATCTTTCCAATGTATTTACACAAACATATTTACACAAATCATAAATCATAACGTCTTAAACGATATGTTTTACGACTGTGTAAATCATGAATGAAATAAAAATTCACATCTTATTAACATGGGTAATAAATAAATATATTAAATGTATGCATAAATATACGTGGTCCAACAAAATTATGGGCATACTTCACGAAACCAAGCAAACAAATAAAGAAATAAGCATAGTCTTAAAATATATTCATTTAAAAGACAACTGTAAAATTAATAAACACAAATACAATCATTTAGATCTCTTAAATATAATGTTTTTGGCATTTAATCCATTCTCTTAGCTTAACAAAAAAATTAAGAAAGACGTTAATTACATTAACTATCCGAACTTAATGAAATTCCAAGAAAACTAAGTAAAAAGTCTATTTAAAACGAATTTGTTCGTAATTAGCCAAATTCACAGACACCTAAAACTGTTGCCTAATCTTCGCATTGTTAAATCGTTGCATTAAACCGCCTTTTGTATTGTTTACGATGGAGTCAAAATGTTAACTGCTTTTTGTTCATGTTTTCGCACGGACTTGGCCTGTTGTTCAAAGTAAATTTATTTCTTTTTGGAGTAAACCCCATGTCACTACGCCCCCTTCATATATCAACAGCATTCGACAATCGCCATCACCATCGCCATCGCTATCGCCATCAACAGCATTTGGCAAAGGCCTTCGCAGAATGTTTGCAGATGGGCAGACATGGCGTATGATTAATTAATAAACATTAGCGGAAAGACAGTTACGAAACAAAAGGGAAACTGTTTCGCTTTTTTCTTTGTTTTTAGAAAGAATATAACGTAAGTGACCTTCACATACTTCAGATCAGACAATAGATTGACCAGACCTTGATTTAGATATCCAAAAAGAGTTCTAGTTTAAGCTGGATTGGAGTTAGCGCGTCACTGCGGATTATGCTTAAGTCACTTGGACAAGTAGAACTGGTTGTCGTAGAAATTCTAAAGGCAACCAGTTCCAAACTCGAATTTGTTTCCTTTTGACATCTCGACAGACTTTCATAACTCAATCTGTGGGTACAACAAACATTTCGCGCATCGTTTGCAATTAGTCTTGAAGTCTTTTGTCTAATCTGCAGCCAAAACGCCGTTAAAGGTGGGTATGGCATTAAAAATCACAAATTAAGATTGGTTTTATGCGGTAATTAATTAGTCAGAGGGAACTTTAAAGATGAGTCAATCTAGAAGTAAAAGAAATCTGGTAAAAGCGAATTTAAATTATATGCCCCTATAAAATGTATAGTTTAATGTTTTTCTTTTTTGGCAATTCAACATTTATAGATTTATATTAGGCGTGCATCAAGCACGAGGCAACCCAGCTTATAAATTTTTATGGACCAAAAGAAGCGCGAATTGACTGCATATTAACTATTTTGGGCGTTTAAAATGTTCAAACAAACCAGTTCATAATCCTTTTAACCAAACATGTTTATAAGTTTATTTTAAAAGTCACAGAAACTAGATTTTTAATATTTAATTTTTATTTGTTAGAGATTTTGTATTGAGTATTTTATATACAATTTTAACAAAAAATATAAAATAATAGTGTTGTCCAAAAACTACTTTTGGATCTTATTAAGAAATTGTTATATTCAAAAAATATGTTTTAATTTAATTCTCAGATCGGCTTGATCAGCCTTTAATTTTGTTGTGTGTATCGTAAGGAAGAAATCCTCAAGTCGAAACCAGCCCATATTTTCCACGTTTTTCGCTTTAATTCTTATAACTTTGTTGGTTTTTGCAAGACGCTTATCCTCCATCCTTTTCGATCTTTATTTATAGACTGCCCTAACTGCGTGGACGAGTCGCAGTACACGCCGAACAAATGGACGATGCCGCTGCTGAAACTGGGGGAGAAGCGTTACTACCTCGGCATCTTCTTCAAGGTGAGTGGCATTCCACGCCCCACAAAACGGTCCATAAACTTACCGGCCGAATGCAACTGACCCGGCCAACGGTTTCAACCAAGTCCGGTTTGATGGGTCTCGGGTTTCTCAACAGCCGCTGAATGCAAAAAGATGGCATATGGAATATTACAGCAGGGGCGGTTAAAGAAGCTTAATTTCATAAATTACACATATCAGCAGGTTTCTGGTTTAGTATGGGGTGTAGGAGGTAAGAGAATAAATAATTAACAGTTAAAGTATTTCCGTTTAGCTTCGATTTGTAATGTATGTATTTGTAACAATCGGAGTCGCCTATCACAGTATTTAAATAATTAAACAATTAAAAGTATTCAACATAAGCAGTGCTTCATTTTAGGGCATTTACATCTTATTAATAAAACGTAGTCTTGCATTTCAATTTTATTTATCTATTTTGGGCACAAAATCGTGCTCTGTTTTTTTATTAGTCATGACAAATTAATTTAACTGTCATCGTTTCTTTGTTAAATGACATATGATAAGATAAAATTAGCCACACCAAGTATTAATTTATAAATTATGCACGAATCAAAAACGTTTTTTTAATTAACTTAGTCATTTATAAAAAAAATTTGAATTCGATTGATGCAGCGAAATCAAATTGACCTAGTGCAATAAATATTTTAAGCCCTTAAGCACATTTAATTACAGTAAAACAGCTTCAAAGTAATTTGAATTCCTTGTAAATAATGAATAGAGACAGTACATAGTACATATCCAATTGCAAAAACCTTTAAAAACTATAGAGCAATATGTGAACTGATATAGCAACAAACGGCCTTAGAACTGAGATCAAAGGGAATTTTAAAATCAAAGCTGATGACAGAAACAAAATACCAAGCAAAACAAAAACCAATTCCCATCAAGTCGACCATGAATTGAAATATCTAGGGTATCAAAAAGAGGCGCGTGCTTGGCCACGCATCGGTGGATATAGTAAAATGAATAACAATGCCGCTATTCATATTAAAAATGAATTAGTCAAAGCATCAAAAAGGCGTTCATTGGTCGTATGATTATCAGAAAGAGTAGGCGACACTCCGAGGAAGTGAGACGGAAGGTGTGGCTATACTAAAATTAGCTACTTAACTGGTTTCATGTCAAACTGAATTATATTTTCATATTCATAAAATGCATAGCATTGCCTCCTTGAACTTTAAAGGTAGGGTCATAAATCTGAAACTGCTTCAACATTGTAAAATTAATAGGATGCATATGGTTAGTATTAAACAAATCGGCAAACATTTCAGGAAGAGGTTAAATGGTGGATTTATGGTTGGATTGGTGGGTTAATAGATTTGTGAACTGAACGGAACCTTGTCTTCTTAAATGGCAAACTATAAATTTGCGGTGAGCCAGGTAGAAAAAAATGCGGCTGATCACCTATTTTTTATTATTTAGTGAGCTAGTTAATGTTTTAGTTATTAAAGATAAATTTTGAAAAAATTGTAAATCGAAAAAAGGGTAAATCGAATTTAAAAATGCAAGTAAATTCCGAATAAGCCAATCCTGCAATAAATATATCATTAAAAAAACCAGAATGGAATCTCACCTAACAAATACCGTTTAATCCCAAACACAATCTCTGAATTGCTTGGCAAAATAAAAATGTTTTCGTTAATTTTTTATACACAAGCGATGACAAATAAATCTCCACAGTTTTAATTCGACATTTGAACGGTTTAATTGCACCAAACAGCAGAAAAAGCAAATACATAAATTTTTAATCAACTTTCGTTGCATATTTGGCTTTATAAACGTTCCTGAGTGAGCGTGTAAAACTCAGCAATTCTATTTGGAATATGCCGCCGGATAAACAAAAAGAAATGAATTAATTATTAGCTCGTTAATTAAGAACAACAAAAATCCATCTCCCTCTAACCAGTCGGCTGATTAGGCAGCAGATGCAGTGAGCCACCCAGAAATCAAGACCGAAAATAAATCCATAAATATTCCCAAATTTGTTATTTCGCCAACGGTACCTCGCTCTCTGTCTAAAGCATGCCATCCCGCTCCCTCTAACGCCACCCACAATTGCCCAACCAATTGTCAAAGCGATTAAAATTTTAAGCATCTGAAGGTTGGCATTTTAATTTGAATTTAATTTTTAATTCGTTTTATTTGATCTTACCCTAACTGAAATAGGGATGCAACGATTTGATATTCACTTAAAAACGATATTTATCAGTTCCATTAACATTTGCATATTCATTGTTATTGTGGCTATCTTTACGACTCTGCTATTAATTAATTTGAATTTAATTATAAAATTGATTTTACTCTAATTGAAATGCAAAATAAAGTAAGGCTGCAAAAGCATAAATGCTACGATGCAAAAGCATGAATGCTACGATGTAAGTTCACAAAGTCTGTTTATATTTATTAATATTAATATTTAATAAATTAATATTTATCAATGGTGCCTATTGAACTTCTATTTTCGTTACCTAGATCTAGAACTTTAAATTTCAGTTCAAAATTCTTATATATCAATAAAGATTTGAATATTCATTGTTATTGTGATTATCTTTACGACTCTAAAAATTATCATAATTTCCCTATATACTGAGACTTAACAATTTATGACCTAACGGTTTTTTCCGCCACAATTAAAAATGTAATCCCCAATATAAAATTTTAAGAGCATTCCTAAGTTTGTTAAACAAATCAGAAATTTTTAATATATAATTTTGATGTTTCTGTTTTCGTTTATTTGGTTTTCTTTCTCTTTTCATATTGGCGAGTTAATTAACCACGCATATCAATTCCAAAGTGTTTTCCGATTATTTATGGGTATCTCTAATTAAGAATTCTTACCTCAGACTTTATAAGTATCTCAAAGTCAGTTCAGTATTTGGCTTTTTGTTTCTCTTATTAAGCAGTGGCACAATGTTATGCAATACCTATGAGCAATTTAATGCAAATTCATTTCGCGTGTAAATATGCAAATGAAGCAATTAAATTTTTTTGGAGGTAAATAAGACTTGACAACCGCACAGCCGGTAGTCGAAGGCATAATGTCATTTTGGGCTTCACGCAGGCGCAAATCAAATCAAAGCTAATTGATAGAAGCCTGTGGTGAAAAGGGGATGAGGTGGAGGAAGAGGGGAGGGGGAACAGGGTGGCTATGTGTTAAGGCGGCTGTGCTAATGACATTAACAGCATGGCCAATATTTTGTTGCCACTCAATTGAGTTTTGTGTAAACTTCAGTCGCCTAATTGGTCGACTTTGCCTATTGCAAATGACAGAATTTTGTGGGTTACAATTTGATTAGCACAAAATTGTTGCCTAATGTAAGAGATAAAAATAATCGTGTTACATTTTATGTACGGTGATAAAATAATAGTTTAAAAACTTGGTAGCAAAGTCATGATTTCTATAAAAAAACATCGATCAAATGATTGCACCTATAGTTTTAGTTAAAAAAATAAATTTAAACGGCCCTTTCTAATACATAAAAATATGTTTGCCTAATGAGATAGTAATATGAATACTAGATCTTCCTTTAATATCTGAACATTTTATTTAAATTTAAACCATATTTATCTTAGAACATCAAGTAAATAAGCTTACAGATTTAATTTATTTATTTAGATACAGCTTCTTATAGTTGTACAACTACTGGTAAATAAATTCATGGAATATTTAATATACAAATTAATTACAAATTTATTAGCATTCTTGAGAATTTCCCAGGGTTCTTTAACCATAATATAACAAAGGCTTTTTTGGAAAGTTATCCTGGCTAAATGCACAACAAAGACTTCGCACAACCATGACAACCATACGAATGGCTTTTCGTTTTCTTTATTCTCCTCAAACAAAATCAAAGTACGAGTCAGACAAGGCATTAACCTTCTGCAGTTTCCCCGGGCAGAAACTCGGGGCCATTAAAGGCAACTGACTGTTGGTTGTTGGTTATTATGAACCAGAGTCCTTGTTTCACCTCGGCACACCAAACTAATTGACTTCTCGAGGCGGTGAGATGAACCTTTTACAGCCCAATAAACACTTTCAGGGCGCAAGCCAAGTGAAGGCATTAAACACCTTCCATCTGCCACCCCTCTGGTGGATGCCACGTGTGTGGCTTGTCAGGATACCGCATCTCCCGCTTTATTCGCGCACAATTACGGCTAATACAATTAAAGCCAAGTTAAGAGGCGGAGCAGAAACAGGATGCAGGATGGATAGTTGCGTAATCGATTTATGTGCACATCAGCTCACAGCAGGAGATATGGCCCCTAAAGCCATTCGATTTTTTGCTAACCATCCATTTCTGCTAATGACCCGGCCAAAGTCCATTAGAGTTAATTGAATATGTAGTTTGAAACAGGGACAGGATACAATCTACCGACCATATAGGACAAAACCAATTCAGATTTCGATGCCAATTTCGATGTTGATAACATTTAGATAGGCTAACCGCATCAGATACAGAACAGCAACACTAATTGGCAACAAACCCACGCAGATCCAAAGATAAACTCAATTTCCATGCGAATGCGTGACCAATGCCGCCCCTTTCACACATATCTCCACATATGGACGCAAAAAAAAAGAAAGGAAAAAACAGGAGCAAACAAATCTCTGGCACTTTTATTGACAAGTGTCGGGGTTGAGGAAACCGAGTTTGAATGGCACCTTTCGGCTCGCTTGGCTGCCGATGGATTTGGATCTAGTCTCTCGGAAACTGGGTCAACCGATTTGCGCAAACACAATTATATAATCTTTAACTTGGCATGCATCTTAAATTCAATTCAATTCAACTCAATTCCATTTGTGTGTTTGTTTTTTTTTTATTTTATTACAGGCAAACTGGTTCAAAGCCACACAATATTGCCGATACCATGGCATGCATTTGGCCAGCATTTCATCACAGGAAGAGAACGATAGACTGGAGAAGCACATACGTGACTTTGGTAAGTTCGCAAAGGAGTTGCAAAAAACCTTCCTTCGCAGAGTGAAACTGATTAAAGGAAGAAACGAGCCTGGTTGGAATTAAAAGTTAGAGGCAAACAAGTTTTTTTAAGGAAACATTTTTCTCGGAAATCTATTTTTCACAGCTAAATAAAGTCTTTAGTAAACTTAAAACCATTTAAAAAGGTATTTATAAGTATGTCTTACAAAAGAGAAATTCAATTTTGTCAAAATATCTTTATTCTCCAATTTTATAACAACTTAACACGCTATAAATCTTAAAGTATATTAAAAATAAAAAGTCAGACGTCAATTTAGACATTTTTTAGACACTGACAAACAAAGTGCAATTTAATTTTATAAATATCATTTATATAAAATATTAAATAAACTTGCTAACACCTTAAAGGTTATTCAAATAATAAAATAAAATAAATAAAAAAACTAATACGATTTAAATTAAATATAATATATCTTTAAGAATAATATGAAAATTTTTACAATATTTTACAACTTTACACTTTAATAAGAGATCTTTAAAATGTCAAAAGACTTCATAGGCATTCCTGCTTAAAAAATTACATTAACTTTTAGGTACTTTGTAAGATTATTTATATATACAAAATCATATAAGTCATAATGAATTTTTAATTTCCGTTACAGCAATTGCAGCAGATTTACTACTGAGTATTTGCTGGTCTAAAAACTATTTTACCCTGCCAAGCTCTAATTGTTATTATTCACCCACTTCTCTGTGAGTGGGCGTGGCTTTTGCCCATGGCCCTGCGGCGGTCAGCTTTCAACAAAAATGTGCAACATTCACTTTTTCCGTTTGTCTGCGTCTATTGCCATGTGTGTTTTTATGGAGATTTATGCAATGGAAAGTGCAGCGGAGTTCGTTACTCCAGCTCCCAATCCGACCCCCTTTGTTGGGTTTTCGGTTACCAACTTCCGTGTATTATGGCACTGCTAGAAAGTCCAGTCCCCTGACCACTCAACAGTTCACAAAGTCCCCTGGTTCCATTCCTGGGGCATTCGCAATTGCTTTTGTTTGCTGGCCGGCTCTATTGTCATATTGATCGGCTTTTCCACTGATTTCAGTTGTTGCATGCCACGTTGTCTACAGTCTATGGTCTAGATGACAATATGAATCAGGGTAAAAATGTTTTGATTGGGTACGTCAGACAATTGAAAGATTTATTTTAATACTTTTTACCAGTCGGTAACTTAGTAAATTTAGGCTTCGATTATCTTGGCGTATTGAAATAGAATAGGTTAAGGTTCTCGTTTACAGAAAGTTTGGCAACTTGTTTTAAAAATTCAATATAAAATAATTGGATTACTTACGTTTTTTGTATCAGTTGATAAATAAATTATAGGAAAATTAAGAAATAACTTAGAGAAATTCAAGTAACGTAAATATCTACAAAAACAATATACCTCACATTCACACTCAAACCCATAGAACAAATTTTATATTTTTCTCAAGTCGAAAGCATAATCCGAACGCTTTTCATTTAATTTCCAGGCCTGGGCCACGAACATTTCTGGATTTCCGGCACGGACCTGGCCGACGAGGGCAACTTCTTCTGGATGGCCACCGGGCGGCCCATCACATTCACCAACTGGAACGCCGGCGAGCCCAACAATTTCCGGTACGAGAACGGCGAGGAGGAGAACTGTTTGGAGCTGTGGAACCGCGATGGCAAGGGCCTCAAGTGGAACGACTCGCCCTGCAGCTTCGAGACCTACTTCGTCTGCGAGGTGCAGCCCAATTAAGGGGATTACGATACGATAGCTCAGCATCTGTACTCCATATCCGTACATTCGTACATCCGTACATCCGTAGATCCGTAGTCCATATGCGATAGTGATTAACTAGTTGGGCTTTCACCCCAGTGAAGGTGAATTTGAATGTGAATGTCGAACATTGACAGCTGAACGATATAAATTCGCGTATTCTTAGCTTAGTTGCGTAAGTGTAAAAAAAATTCTTGTTGATAATTAGCTAGTAACCTAATTAAATTATGCCTAGGATTGCCTTATTTTCTCATGTAAAATATAAATAAAATATATCTTAAAATTGATATCTATTAATTGTTTTACTTTTCTTTAATTCTTAAGAAAAAGAATCTGTCAATTTGAATTTGTTTTGACATCACCTATTTCAAAATAAAATTTAATGATATTTAACATGCTAACAGTATATGCCTTTAAATAGCCTTAAGATCATATAAGACCACAAATGTTTAATATTATCTTTTATTAGCTTTATCAAGTACATTTAGTTCTGAAATTAACTGTCATCGAAATATTATTAAGAAATATTTCCACGTGAGCTTAGTGTTTCCATCAAAATTTACATTTCCCTGCACAAACTAGTATTTTGGATTTCGTCCCCACATTTTTTAATTAGCTTCGTAATTTTCCGACGCAAAAATTGATATCCATCAATTGTGTGGCGTACGAAATTTGCAGCTTGTTGAGTTGGTGGGAAATAAGCTCATCATTTTATTGCTAATTCCCATGGGGTGCAACGGTGCGTATGAGCAATCCATTTTGAACATCACACCCATTCCGCCTTGATAATTTCCGGCTTGATAATCATGTTTTGCCATAATGCGCGCAAATAAAATTGAAAGTGCCTGTCAGCAGTTTCCCCTTCTCTTCCCCTTTTCCACAGATATTTTCACTGGGGATGCAGCCACCTGTCTGTGCGGCAACTAAACAAAACTAATGGCGATAAAATAATCAGCTGGAGAGGTGGAGGCAAAAAAGGACTCGGCACTTCGAGATTTCCATCCTTGATTTACTTTGTTCTGCTCCAGTGATGAGAGAAGAGCTTTTCGCGACCATGGTTGCCAGCGATTCGCGACTTAGGCGTCTGTCGCATTGTCCTCATCCCAGGGCTGTCCGTCCGTCCCGCTTATCTGTCCTCGTGTCCAGCTGTTCGCCAGGATTCCCCGCCAAGCCCCGCCCCTCCCCGAATCTGTCGCCGCCGGCAAGGGCTAGTCAGAAATCAGGACCCGGGGGAGCAGACAGGACGCAGAACATGTTTGAGAGACAGGATAAAGGTAGCGCATGCGCTGAAAAAGCTGGAAGAGAAGCTATACTCAAGAGAAATCAGCTGGTGCTGCCAGGACAATAAACTATGATTAGCACTTCAATTTGAAAACAATAAACGAAGAGGGGACCATTGTATCAGTGCCCATTAAAAAGATATAGTTATTACTTAAAAAAATGTATTCTTTAAATCAGAATATGTAACGTTGAGTATTACCTGAAATAATATAACGTTGAGAAATAACACAAATTCTAAAATCAAGTCATTCAAAAATGTACCAAATGAATTATTTGAAATCTTAGGATCTTAAATTGAATTCATTTTAAATTACACTGTGCATCATTTAATATAAGTGGGTAGTATAAATAATAATTGTATTTATTTATAGTCTTCACCAAATCACTCTTTTGTCAAATTTAAGTACCACATTTTCTGGGAATAAACACATTCAATTTTCCCAGAAAATAAGGCCAATTAATCAATCACTTATCACCCAACATAGCCAAAACATTTAAATTCCCATCACTCAATTTTCGTTCAGCTTCAGCTACTTCAATCTTTCCAAAGAGAAAGTGCTTTGAAGAAATCCATTCTCTTTACCTTTTTCTCTTACCGATTAAAAAAGGTAATTGAATTTAGCTGATGGCCAACGAAAAAACACGGCCAAGAGCACGAAGAACAATTTGTCCGACGACGCATTCCGTGGTGCGTTCTCCGTGCTCGATGCTCATTCTCAGATTCACCGATTCTCAATCTCCTTTGGACTCCCAGTTCTCGCTGTGAAACTGAGCATTTTCCGGCGCAGGGCGAAGCGTCTCTGTCAGTTGGCTGTAGACATTTTCCCGGTACGGACGTGCGTTGAGCGGTGGAAATTCTCGAACACATTGCGAACACACGAACCGAATAAAAAGAATAAAAATATCATAATAGTTGCGTTCGTTGTAACACTCGGTTCCTGTGGTTTTTCGGTTTTTGCACTTTGATTTCATTAGCCGGAAAAGCAGGAGCGAGCGGGGATCGGAAAATGTCCACCGGGCAGGGCAAATAATCCGGAGGCAGATGAAGAAGTGCGTAAATTATGACATCGGCATGGCTTAGAAAATAAAAAGAGAGAGCGTTTTGTGTGTGAGTGGTCGTTGTCTCTTCGGCTGGCTCCTTTTAGCCTCAAAAGTGTGTGTGTCCTGATAACATCGCATCGCAGAAAGTAAAATTAGGGCAAAATGCTTGGCGCGAGTGTGTCTGTGTGTGAGTGTGCGTGTGAGTGCCACTCCCACCACTTGACCGCCCTCGCTTAAAGTGCTCAGCTCGTCGTTGTCGCAGCCTAATTAATTCAATGGGCCCACTCTGCTGCACCTAAATTTAGGGCTCCCAAAAAGGGTACCACGTTTTTAAATTCCCATCGAATGTAGGGGCTCCAAAATGGCCAAACAATTCGTAAATTCCCAACAAAGTAGCTTGACATTCTTATTGGGACACAAATATGTTGAAGTCCCAAGGGGGTGAGCTTTATGAGTTATTAAAATCCCTCTGAATTTTTTATAATAATTATATTTCAATAGTTAATTACTTGATATTTTCATTCTTTTGTCCTTGCTTTTACTTAATATTTTTATATTCACCCACAACATATTAATATTGCATTCCTGCATTTACATGTTATTCTTTGAAACAAACAACATTTTCGTTGGGTTAATTATTTTTAAATTGCAAAAACATTTCATACGCAAAAGACCCGCAGAGCAAACGCAAAAATGTATAAATAAATGTTCCGTTTTTCATGGCCACACAAAATGAGCGACAAAAAATCGGCATCGTCGATTGTAGGGCAAAAACCTCCGCAAATAAAACGAAAAAACAACCAAAAATCCCACCAGAGAGAAAAGTGAATCAAGCGATGGAATGAAAAAGTGTTCAAAACTGAGTGACAAGTGCGATTCGGCGGAATCTTTTTTTCGGGTGGCAGACCCTCAGCTAGTTGAAATGTGCGAGAATTTATGATGCATTTAATTAAAACGAATTTCGGATGGTTCGCGATGGGACGACAGCACGGGAAATTTGCTCGCAAATTTGATGGTCAACAAAAAAGGGACTAAAAGGGACCCTTAATGCGTGTAACAACTACGCCTAACACCGTGCTACAAAATTTAATTAATAGCTGGCAATTTAAAAGCCATAAATCAGGATTTAAATTAGATATTTAACTTAATTGAATGCTAAGAATTATAATTAAATACTTCTTCACTTACAAAATATCATTATTTGTTTATTATTTAGTAAACTCTATGTAACTTCTAAGGTACGTGAAAAATCAAGTAATTAAGGAGCATAGATCCTTTGTGTATTCCAAATAAATTTGCATGACGATCCTCGTTGAAGTCATTAAATATATATCTTCACATTAAATGTATATGTATATAGCTTTTAAAGGTAAATGAAAAATCGATTAAATAAGAAGCATAGGAGCTTTGTTTATCGCATCTCCCTTTGCATGACTAACTCAACTCGACTCGTGTTGCGACTTTATTAAAAAATCCTTACCGCCGTCGAAATTTTCTTGTGGTTCTCCGGTTTCCACGCTGCGTGCCTAGTGTAATTTGGCTATGTGTCGACACACAGCCACCTATTAGCCCACCCACCTATTGTTTCCGACCTTTTGGCAAATGCGTGAGTCACATGTCGGCCAACTGTGGGAGTCGTCACCCTGCTATACTTACTATGCCATATATTCCATCTCGACCACTTCACGTCATGTTTCGGCCCACAACAAACATGACGTTTTACGGTTCTTTTATGCTTGCCACATGTCACGACACAGTTAACTGCCGCATAACGCAAAGCAGCTCGTCGCAAAAAAAAAAAAAAAACAGGAAAACCCAAACATAACATAACGCAACTCAACTCAACCCAACTGAACTGAACCGCACCAAACCGCAGCCGACACACGAACATTTGAGGCTGTGACAGGCACAGTTGGCAGCCAGGGGTTAAGAGCCTCTTCCTGGCGAGATCTATGACATGACCGCTCTGGAAAAACATATATTTATATGCACATTGGAATAGCATACCAAAAATATTGCCCAGCCAGGTATGCAATTATGCAAAAAGAGGGGCGTACTTTCGGTCTGGATACGGGCTGTCAATCATGGGGAAATTGAAATTGCTGTCGACAATCGTGAGCTTTTAAGGTTAAAGTTGGGATAACACTAAAGGGACATCAATTGCTGAAAGGCCAGGTGACGTGATGGGTTTGCATTAAATATAGGATTGAGACTGGAAGGCACCCTGTTCCGGAATTATAAAAAAATATTTCATAGTTAAGAGTTAGCTTCCAAATAAAAGAGTTATACATTTATAACTTCGGGTGGTATGGTGGTATCATCTTATAAAAATATATTTAATACGCATTTGAAGTATTTTAATGCAATATATGTTTTTATTATTGGAGGTGCCAAAATAAAGGTTTTAAAAACGCCTTAAACGGTATCCAAAAGTGACGTAAAAAAATAAATATTTCATAGCTATTTCATAGTTCCAAAAACCAATCAAATCTTAAATGATTTAAATTCTTACTTATAGATATGCAACATTTTACGACAAACTTTTAGTAGCTTAAGAAATTTTGTTATTTCCTCCTATAAAAGCAGCATACACTTGAGGCATTAAATATACCCAATATCGTCTCGATACCAGGTACTTAATAAAAAGGATAACCCTCAGGTGCTCGAGGGCTTTTGGCAAGGACAGACAACTTTCCGGGGTTGACTCTTTTATTGCCGTCACTTGAGCCAATATTTGCACATTTCAACAATGTTGCCATTTTTTCCACATGGGCGTTACCCTATCTAAGCCACCTCCACCCAGTCAAACCCAAACCCAAGCCCAAACCACCCACCAAATCCTCCCGTTCAGTCATGCATGCTTAAATGTAATGAAATATCCTGTTCCGTCTCCAGCCCCATCCATCGTCAGTCTGGTCCTGGTCGCATAAAAAGGCTCAATTCAATTTTTCCACGCCCCCAGCCGCGAGTGCCCCCGCCTCCGACGATTCGGTCTGCTGCCAATTCAAGTTTCCATTTTCATTAGAGAGTCCAGACCCCGGAGGTCCTTCAGGTCCTTCAGTCCACAGTCCTTCAGGTGCTCACATGCTCGTGCTTTCTCTCCGCTCGCTCTACACAATGCTCAACTCGTTGAGCTTTGTTGGAGTTAACCAAGTGGGAGAGGGTCCTTCATCAAGGGGGGAGCCAAAGGATGTGGGTGCTCGGTGCTCAGTGTTCGGTGCTCGGAGCTCGATGCATATAATTAAGTCATCCGGTGGGCGGGGCACTAGCCATGCATCATGCATGCTCGGAAATGCTGCAGAAAGTTGAGCAAATTATGATGTAGCGAACTAGTTGCAGCAGCCCTCATGGTTTGATAAATAAATTATTTGATTTAATTATCCAAGCCCTGCTGTAGAATTTTTATGCTATCCTGTGCCACGTTCTCGAATCTCAGGTTTCCGTATTTTATTTCTCTGTATTTTAATCCTGGAAAAGGCTCTCAATTTTTTCCTTTCTTGCTCCTGGCCTTTTTGTAAATTTTAATGAAGCTGGGCTTAAGTTTCCTATTCTTTGCCATTATTCCAATTAATGGCTTCTGCTTTCAGCCCACTTGAATGTTTTTTTTTCATCTAAGATATTTATAGAGACTTTGCTGGTTTGTTAAGGTGGCGGGTATTTATCATTATATTTATTTTTAGTAGTTCAAAAGTTGTTTAAGTTATATATTTTTGGTAAGCCAGATTTTATAAAATTCTGTGATTTGATTGTTATTTAAAATGTTATAATTTAAAAAATAATGTGATTATCTAATGTTACTTTATTGAATAGGCCATAAAGTTTTTTTTTAATCCTTAAATTATATTTACATCTATTTTTGGTGTACCTACTTACTTAAAATAAAATGAAAATTTAAAAAACAATATAAGTAAAGAAGGTCACAACATTAAATTGTCCACAAAAATTTTTAAATTATGAAAAATTACTCAAATTTATTTTCCAGGTATTAAAATTCTACTCTGTGATTTGATTGTTATTTATATTATTAAATTTAAAAAATAACCAAAATATTAATCGTATCAAAGTTCACCTTAAAGATATTTAAAACACAAAGTGTTATTTGCAATTTCAAATATTCCAGTGTTATATCGAGTAAAAACTATATACCGCTATCATTTCTTTCTTTCTCTTATCGCCACAGAAAATTTCATACTTTTCAATTCTAAAGGTATCTCGTTTAGTTTGCCATCTTTTCTGGATCTTCTACATTTTCTTGATCTTTTTCATTTTCATTTTCCTTTTTTTTCATTTTCATTTCATGTCGCAATGGTCTTTTGAGCCTCTGCGCAATCTTTCATTCGTTCGTGCTTCCTTCACTTCAATTTCATTTGATGGGCCACAAGATATCCCTACCCGATTTGTGGCCGTGCCGGCGTTTCAATCGCCTTCCACCCATTTTGCGCTGCAACTTTTTCCACGTGTAATGTGAGAGGCCCGTATAAACCGTACAAATGTTGACCAATTCCTTGCACTTGCCTGCACTCAGACCCCAGAACCCAAACCAGTTAGGCGGTTGCTTTTGCCTAACTTTTCCGCTGCCATTGCTCTTGGCTTGGTCTTGGTCTTGTTCTTTTGTTATTCTTGGCTGCGCACTTGAGTTGTTCGGCTCGCCCTTTATATTGTCCGCCCCTCCGACTTTGGACCTCAGCCCCATTTGGGCCCCGACACGTGAACGTGAGCAAGTGGCCCGCCCGAGCGCCCCTGGCTTCCTCCCCGGGCACGCGATGCACTAGGCCAAGATACCCCAGCCCGAGCATCTCATTTTTTGCCTTCTTTACCCGTTTTTTGTACCCGCCAACAGCTGCAACTGTTGTCAATTTTTGTATCCCTTACTGGGTGATTGCAGGGGTATATTGAGCTTTTGATCATTTATAACCGCTAGTTAACACCGCGAACTCTTTAGCATAACTCTATCTTATATAACGTTTCATTAAACAATAATTCATTTACACAAAAACTAAATTGTATTTTGATTTACTTTAAAGTTTAAGCCGCATGTTAAAACCGGAAGTTTTTCAGCGTATAAAATATATAGGTTTTAAAAATATTTCAATAACACCTTCCTTAACATTAGAAGAATTCTCTTAAATCTTTAATATCATAGCTGAACAAAATCCGTTAAAGTTGTTTTCAAGTATTAAAACTTATTTTTGTACAAGATAACCAACAAGTCTACACTCTCTACAAGAGCATTTCGTCTTGCTTTGTTGTGCACAATAGAAAGAAAAAAGTTTTGGAGGCCAGGGAAAATAATTTTCATGCTCATGGACGGCGACGAAGTCGGCACTCGAGGGCATTTTTTATGAGATGCCTGGGCAGAGATGTGTAGACGAGAGTTAGAGCCCAGCCTGGTTAACTTTGCGATTTGATGAATAATTTAATGGAAAAACACATGTTTCTGGCTGGAATTCGCCAGCAAGGCAAACAAATCGGTCGTTGAAATTGTCTGACATGAAATTGCCTATTTCCGGCTCAGTCTGTCTGCCGAGGAAGTTGTCATGGGAATGGGATGAAGGTAACCAAAAAGTTGCCGGATAACCAAATTGAAAGAGCTTTTGCTCCTACGTTTCGAGGCAACTGAGACAACAATCAGCAAAAAATATGCGTATTCTTAGTTTCAAATTGCATGCGATAAACATCACGCTTAAACCTCCAATTTGGATAAACTTAATTAGCTTAGTATCGGAGTTTGGAAGTTTGGAAGCTAAGCGCTATCAAGTAGGCAATATAAATCGTTAATGAATGAAACTGAGAACCTTTTCTGGTCACCAGGCAACGACGGAATCTAAACAAAATATTTTAATTAATTTTTCACAATCATAAAGTCAGACTTGAAGAGGAAATTAATTGAATTTATGGCCTTGAGACCGGGTCAAAAACAAAAAAGAGGCCCAAAAGGAAATGCGGCCGGCCTGTGGCATTAAATTGAAATATGAACATGAAAGCTTTTCCATTCATCAACAGGCCACGACGACCTTAAACATTAACACATTCACACGCCATGTTTTATGTATAAACGCCCCCTATATATCTACTATATAGTATTTATCAAAACAAGTGAAGGGGGGTGGGTAGGGATGAAGGGGAAGACGTAAAAAAAACAGAACGTGTCGGGGTCACCAACTTATCTTCATCTGGGAGGAATGGAAAGGAAAAGCGAACCAACCCTCGTTTGTCTGCCATTGACGGCCCTTTGGTCCTCCGCTTCTCCCTATTTTTCCTGCCATTTTTGGACTTGGGCCAGACAACGATAATTTAGGGCACACGTAGTGGGCTCACTTTAGCAGATAGCCAGAAAGTCCCTTCCCCACTGATTTCCTTCTCGCGGAAGTCCTTTCTTCGCCCGCCCAGGAACATTAGGGATAATCATTACGATGATAAGCACGAACGATTTGATTTCTCCCGTTTACGAGGCCGTTGTCATCGACAGTTTCGTTTGGTTTGGTTTTGGTTTTGGTTGGGTTGGGAAAGATCGGAAATACCAGGCTTATGTCTTTGTCTTTGTTGGCAACTGTTTGTTTGGCCTGGCTTTTGTTTCGATAAGTGACTCAAGTGGCTTTTGTAGCTTTATTTTTATGGCGTACTTTTCGGTGGTCTCTAAAATAGTTCACAGCTCATTCCGTTTATTATTATTTCAGTTTAGCGAAGCACCGAAACTTTAGCCTTAATTCTACTTTATGGTAGTTTTCGCAGTTTTCAATTAGAAACTTGTTAAATGCATTTGGTCTTTGTGGTCGCCTAAGTTGGCCAAAAAATAATGCTCATTATGTTTCGGCTTTGCCATTGTTAATCCACTGAAATTCCACTTCCTGCCCCCATACCACTTTATCCAGTGCACAAATGTGTTTTGGTTGAGCTTTTAAAAAGTTTCCGCTTCCCGTTTTATATATTTCTCATTCTTTGTGCACTCATTCTTGGCACTTTATTCACAATTCGTTTTTTGCGTGAACTTTGGCGATGACCTAGTTTCCTCCCTTAACTCCCACAGTTGTTTTTTTACACTTTTTGGTTTCATTCGCTGTATACTCAGACAACACGGCGTATGAGTAATGTGCCAAAGTTAAGGAACCATTTGGAAACGCTCGTCTGTATTTGTGCGGGATGGAAACTAACAAGCAAATTTGCTTTTAATTTCGAAAAGCCAAAGCCGAAAATCCGCAGACTTCATAGAACATTTCAAATTCATGAACACAAATATTTGTCAAGCGAAAAGAGAGTAATTGGGCGGGGCGCACACTTAATGACAAAGTAAGTCAAAATGTAGCGACAACATTTGCCCATACATCATGGGATGAAACGGGGATGCGATTGGGACTCCAAGGATGGCAGGGGAAAACGGAAGCGGTTTAAGGACTTTGCTAACAAATGGCATCATCACTTTCACTTGCCAGGCTGCAGCAGACGAACAGTGCGGTTAGCAACTATAAGTCAGCGTCACTTTAGTCCAGATATAAAGTTGGTTAAGCTCTAAATTGGAGAACAATAGAGACGTTTCTAGAGAGGAAATGTTTCTAAGCTGTCTTCTCACCACTTGAAACTAAGATGGATCATTATTAGAATTTTTGTAATATAATTTTAAAATAATATCACTAGTAAGCTACCAAATGTGTAAAAACTAAAAGTATAAAGAAGATTAAACGATTGTCTCTTTTGATAAACGACATTCAATTCTTATCGATCATTTTAAATATATTTTTGAAAAATTGTTTTAAAAGTCAATAGTGAACTCGTATGAATAATAAGTAATTTTGTTTTATTATAAACCAAGTGTTAGTGCTGGCAAGCAATCAATATACACAAAATCGATTGAAATTGGTAGTTCAATAAAAAATCGATATAATCGATACATATAGCGCTTACTAAGTTTAAAGCTTTTATACAAGTCAATGTGAAAGTAAGCAGATTTTAAAGACTGCGATACTGATGTTTTATGTTTTTAAGTACAAACATGATCCGTAATGTGCCACCAAATTGTTAAAGTTATATAATTATTGGACAGAATGATTGATTATCTCAATTTTCCATAATGTTGCGGATTGTAGTGTAACAACCACCCACACCATCCACCTCTTGGCTCACTTAGGTTAACCCACATTGACAATGAGGCAAACAAGAGACAGACATTGTGGGGGGAAAACAGACATGTTCCCTTTGCCAGGCCATCCTTAAAAATCCGCACGGAGAACTCTTTCATCAGAAGCAGCAGCGGCAGCACTTTTCTGTTTCTTGCCTCGCTTCCATTGTGCCAACAGCAAGCGAGGTCACCCAAAAGTGGCTGGAAAAGCGTGGTGGGGGTGGCATTAACTGCAGCACATTAATGTTATTGTAGGCGTGGGCTTTGCAGGCGACTGACTGACTGACTTTCCACTTTCCCTCTCGTTTTTTTCGCCATGAAGGAAAGGAGCTTTTGTTGTTCGGGCGATTAAAAGTTGTCGTCGTCGTTATAGTTGTTGTTGTTGTTCTTGTTGTTGCTGTCTTCCTTTCGCTTTTGGCCCCATTCGCCTGACATCGTGGCGGTGCTTCCCCCATTTCTGGTTTCACTTCGTTGTTGTTGTGGCTGACCCGCTAACCTCAGGACACACAAACACACATAGAAAAGACGGCTACACAAAGGGAAAATCATAAGAATGGCGGCAATTCATGTATTTTCACCCACTAGTCTTTCATGTATTTAAAATAATTTCATTGAATCCTGAAATATATTATTATTGGTTTTAGTTTAAAGACTAAAAAAAAAAGCGGCCTATTTTCAAGTGTAGCCTTTCTTTTATTTATTTTCACTATTTCCTATATTATTACAAAATACTTAGTTAAGTTTTGATCATTAAATTCAAATTTGTGTTACAATTTAACAACACTAAACTGACTTTTATTAGTTCCTGACTACTTTAAATATATATAATGCCACACAAATCACCAGATTAAGAGATTAACTACGAGATTATAGTATAGTTTAGGTCGCTTAAGAATCATTAAAAAATTAAATAAATCACCTTTTAAGTAACCTGTACTTTAGGTTCAGTAAGTTGTTAAAATTTTGACAACAAAACAAATTTGACCTATTTCTTTTTGGAAAAAAACATCCATTTTCAGGCACAATTAAGGTACTATTTTTTTCTCAGCATAGGAAGCAACACACAACCGCGGCTGTAAAGCTCGCTCGGTAAAAATCGGCCACTTGGCACAGTTTCGTTGCACAATTACGGGGCAATCAATTGCCCAAGCTGTCAATAGTTGCCAATAAATTTATTGAGAGCACGGCAATCGAACTTGGCACAGCGCTGAAATGCCACTTTTGCCGTGGGCGCTGCAGTCCGAGCCAACAAAAAATCAAATAACATAAATAAAAGTAAAAACGTATAGCAATTTTTGTATATATTTTTTTTGTTTTGCCTGCCAGGAAAAAGCCAATGAACTTGGGAACAACTTGAGACGACCACAAGGAGGAGGAGGAGGAGGAGGAGGACCAGGAGGAGGAGAAGCCCCTTGGGCGGTCAAGGAATCATGGGCGACCTGCAGGCCACCATCGAATTCTCCGTCGAGCTGCACAAGTTCTTCAATGTGGATTTGTTTCAGCGCGGGTGAGTTTGTCGCCACGTTTTAAAAGCACTCAAACTCAGTGATGTATTCATCCAAAGAAACGTAAAGTAATAAAGTAAATACCGAGAAAGTTTTATTTGCACGCCATGGAAATTGATGGATTAGCAGGGCAAATGCGTTAGTCAGAGTTGAAGCCCTAAAAGAGACAAGTCAAAGAAAACAAATTGACAGTTTGGACAAATTTCCCCAGACTTTGCTAGGAAAAATATAATAAAATTATTTAATATATAGGTTTAGTGGGTGCTTTTATGTCAGAAAAAAAAACTAATATACAAACAGTTTCCTAACAAATCGCATTTTAATGCTTGAGATAATATCCTGAACATTTTCTTGGCCCAGTTCTTAGAGCATAAAACGAATTGTTCTTGTACTTCTCTTGTTTGCAATAAATTCTTGAGTGCCACATAAAAATAGTCTCATCAACATGTACTGCCTGTTTCCTGTGTTTTAACATTTATGCTGTCGTAAACTTTGAGTTTATTGAAGTTTTTAAATTATAGTTTCTGCAATTAGTACCAGGCAAACGATGATGAGTTGCAGTTCTTAATTATGTGCAAACATTGAAGAAATCCGGGTCAATAGCGACATCGCACACAGAGCTATTGGTACAAAATATTTGAAATAAAATTGTAAATTTTCCACCCACTCACACACAGAGACCTTTGAAGTGTTGGGCAAACAAAATGGGAATGCAGTGCAATAAGCAAATAAAGAGTGCACAACCAATCAACGGCAGAAATGGGAAAAATAGGGGAAAAAGTGGGTGTAGTGACCGAAGCACTTACTAATTGTCAGCCAAGTGTTTATGGGATTTCAATTTGTTGTTGCTGCTCTTGAAGAAAACGAAAAAACGCCGGGCAAACAGCTCGTGTTTTAAAAATACATATAGGAACAAATAACAAAAAACACCAAACGAAGCTCGCATAAAATGTTCGCAAATACACGAATCGTGTGCGAGTGCCAGTTGAATGAAAAGGAAAAAATAAAGCAATGGCTTGGGCTGATTTTTATGTGTTTTTCTCCGATGATTTTCCTTTGTTTGGCTGTCACTGCGAATGAAGCTGCTGACGACCGAGATGTCAGTGGCCGACACTACTACTGGGAACTGAGGATTTCTGATCTTTAAATGTTTTGACAGCAAGTGGATTATGGGGGAAATACGATACCCCATACAGGGAATATATATATTAATCAATATTAAAAGCATTATATTATCTATTATTTAATAGAATAATAAGTTTGTTGTCAAGGGTCTGCAAATTAAAATAGTCTTTAAATATTTTAAAGTAAACATTATTTCTAGTGTGCCAATTGAACACTTTACGCTTACGACCTGTTTCTGACTTTGTAAAAATATATGTTAAAGATATCGTCATATCATTCTTTTATTTCTTAGTAAACAGAATACTTATGTTGTTGTCCATGGTGTGCAAATTAAAGTATTCTTTAAATATTTTTAAAACTTTTTTAAATTCTTAAGCGAAAGCGTATCAAATCGTAGATTGACATTGCGAATACCTTTAAGCACTGGATAAAATATGTTAAGTTAAATGGATTTGTGCAATATTTTTTCCGCCCATTCAACCAGACTCTACCAGGTGCGCTGTGGCCTGCGTGTTTCGCCCCGTTTGCCCGTGCAGGTGGAGACGAGCATTCCGGAAGCGAGCGGAAGCGGCAAACAGAACGGACACGCGAACGGGGGCACCGCCGCCGACCTCCATGCAAATGGCAGCAGCGACAGCGAGCGGGGGGAGCAGTTGTCGCCGGGGGAAGTGCCACGCCTTCACGAGGCGCCCACGGGTGGCAGCTGCACTTCCGCCTCGGTTATCAACGGCAGCGGCGCCTCACGCATCTTCCAGATACTCTACCGCAACGAGGAGGTTCCGCTGCGCGACATCATCCACTTTCGAAGCCATTTGCTAGGTGAGTATATCTAGAAAAATGATTTTTCAAATTTTTAAAATTTTTCTTTCTTAAGAAAATATTTAAAATTGATTATAAAAGGCCTCTCTAGAACGAAAATTTCGTTTTTACTTAGTAAGAATTTCTTAATTTGAATAGCCTTTAAATAAACCACATTTCTTGTTAGAAGGCAAATTTGTTTATTTCAAATTTAAATTTCAATTGAATCTTTAAGAAAAAAAATTATTGAAATAATCCTCATTAAAAAGTTTATTTCGTTTTGCTTAAACATAGTGAAAAACACAAGAGGCTACTTTTTTAAATAAATAAAAATAATATCTAAATTAAAAAACACAATTTATTTAGGAAAAGGTGACTAACCTTTGCCGGCAAAGGAAAAGGTTTTTGTTTTTTTTTTTTAAATCAAAAATTTGTGTTTTTTTAATAGTACGGCCAAGTAGGCTAGAGCATAAATTGCATTTTCTATCACCAGAGCCGCTTGCCAAGAATGCGAAAAGGCATCACGTTCTTCCGCATTGTTGGCATTGCAGTGTTCGTTTTTCATTCAAAAACAACCGTGTCGACAAACATTTCAATCTCTAGCTGGAACTGCCTAAATCAAGTTTTACTTATTCATAACCAGAGTAATCTGAATTTTATTGGCTTCAAAAACAAAGAATTAGAATTGGTAATTGTATTTAAAAAATCAAACAAAACACCAACAATTAGCAAATATTTAACAATAATAAAATTTTTGTAATTTTTATTTTTTGATTCTACGTTTATTTTTTCATTTAAAACACATTAGTTCGCTAAAACAAATTACATACATATATCAAGCACCATTTAAATGCAAAAGATTAAAATAAACTCAGGCCTTTGACCCTTAATATTTATATTTTGACTAAATTAATAAAATAAAATTAATTTAATATAAGCAAAGCAATGCTGAAAATCACTTTCAAAAATGTCTGACAATTAGTTAAGCAATTAAAAAATCGTAAATTAAATTTTAACAGTGTCAAGATAATTTGCCAAGTAGGCTGAGCTAGAAATGTGCACTTTGGCGAGGGCCAAGAATGCCGAGAATTCCCCATTGCCGCATTGGTGGCATTTTAATGGCCAACCGGGCAAAAGGCGACCCAGAGCGGGTAACCAGACACCAAATCACTCGCCCAGTCAGCGGGCAGCGAAACTTTCAGAGCCGAAATGAGTTTATTGTTCGATTGTTCGAAATATAAATCAAATTGTCAGGGACCGAACAAAGTTCTTGCTCTCTTCTGGCCAGTAAAAAAAACTTTAGAGCTTTGGGGAATGGATGGAATGCTGAATGGAATCAGGAGTGGAGTGGAGTTGATGACCACACGGGACAGATGCCGAAGACGTGGACACAAAGTTCAGATTGGAAATTTTCACCTAATTGCATTTATTGCTGACTGCAGCTAAAAGGATTTTTGCTGCCCTGGCTGCAATGCAATTACGGCAAGTTGGGAACTCCTTTTTGGAAACTCTTTGCCAAGCAAACTAAAAACTTGGCCCGCACATTGACCCAGTTTTTTTATTAACAAAAACCCAAGACGTTTCACACAAGACAGAAGGCCAAGTATATGGTGGAATTTAAAGAAAACAATTTCGGAAAGAATCTTGCTAGATGTTCGAACTAAAAGTGACCTAAAAAAGATAAAAAGAAATTTTATTGTTATACAAAAAAATATGATTTTATAAAACAAAACATTACTTTACATTAAAATTTATTTTCCATTTTATTTTAATTTAAATTAAAGGTAACCTTCAAATGATGGATAGAAATTTGTGGTTATAAAAAATACAATTATAAGAAATATATTAAAACCAAAAATTATTTTCTAGCAACTATAAATATTTACAAAACATTAAACAATATTATCTAAATAAATCAGACTTCAAATTGAATATTTTACAGGGTAAAAAAAAACACAAATTATATAAATTTATAATAAAATTTTATAAGGCATATAAAAATCTTATGCAAACATATTCAGTCAAATATGATATCTTTCATAAACGTTTATAAAACCATCTTATTATATTTAAAAATATTCTGTACACACGGTAAACACGCCATAAAAAGCATCATAAACATTTAAGATGGCAAAAAAACAAAGGCGAGGTAAAAAGCAAATTGAAAGTTAATTTTCACAACAACACGAGGTGGAGAATGAGATGCTGGCGAAATGCAGAAAACCCCAGGAAAATATGTACACACGCGCCGGCAAGAAATGGAAATACTGGATATAAATATAAAGAGATATTTTTATTCGAATATTTATGGGTATTGTGTAAAGAAATAAAAGAGCTCAAGGTGCTGGAAAATACGCTCTCGGAAAAGTGCGAGAATTATGAGCACTTGATGGACGCCTAAAACCCTCGATGTTGTTGGCTATTGCCAAGTCCCTTATTCTTATTGTGTATCCCTTTGTTTTCTTTTTTTTTGGTTTTCTCGCCTTCGCATCCTTCAACAACAATGGAAACATCACCCACTTGGCTGCTGAGTAAAGTGATTAATTCATTTGGACAAGTTTCCCCAAGCATGTGTGTGCGGTGGCGGGAAATGTATATAGAAAAAGCCGCAAACAAAAGTAACTTTTCAGTTGACAGCTCTCAGTCTGTTGTTGATGTCTCGCATGTGTGTGATTGTACGGGTTTTCCCTTTCCGCCCACTTTCCCACATTTTCCGCCTTTTCCTAACTGTGCAATTTATCTTTCGCACACGCTGAATACTCGTATAGTTCGCAGAGTGGGTTACTGCACCGCAGACAATAAAATAAACTGTGTCGAGCAGCGGAGGAGACCCTTGTGAAATCCTCAGCTCGCCGTTTAAATTATTCCAGCCAAAAGCAATTGTCACCATGGACCACATGGCGGATGAGTGATGAGTGATGCGGCGGACCCAAGCAAATCTCAACAAGCAAAAGAGAAGCCTGTGGCCTCTCATGCTCTGATCCTTTTTTTTATTACCTTCTGCAATGGATAAATCCTTCTTTTATGAAAACAAATGAATTTTATGACCCCCATGCACACACACACACACACACGCACACAGATGAATCCTAAGTAGCTGCCCCATAAACCACCATCGACATGTGGAGCAAATTGAATTTGATTAACATTTTCAGCTCGGAAACGAGACGGGTGGGCATTATGAAGCTTTAGAAAGCCATAGGTAGAAAGGGAAAAACATTGGTAAACTCTGATGGTTATTGTTATGGAGTGGCAGGTGGAATAATCGCTGGTATTGATGAAATACCTAAAATGTGGGCGGCACCGATTAGGTTCAGCTCACTTGTTGAATATGCAATAAGTAAATCAGCATCCAGAAGGCCAGATAAATCTTTGTAGTTCTTATAAGCACCCATTTTTAAAGAGCTACTTACGAAATTTTACATCAACTTTATGACTTCATAAAAGCAAATTCTCAAACATAAAAAAAAGAGAAACGATTTTTTATGAAATCGCTTTTAAAATGTTTATAGCGAACATAAAGTTAAATATTTTTAGAGCATGCTTTTTATATATTTAATAACAAACTAGAGAGGCATGTTATGACTTTAAATAATATAATATAAAATACATTTGGTGTCATTCAAAGAAAATTGATATTTTATTCATAAAATGTAGCTACTTTAAGTTTAATTTATAAGAATATTTAAGAGGTTTTTTGAAACAACAAGATGATGGGATTGAATTAAAAAAAAATATTTGCAGTTTAAATAAAAAAAAAAAATAAACAGTTTTTTTGTATTTTTAAATGCATGCAATCAGTTACCTTCCTCTTCAGCACTTATTAAATATAGCTTTAACTATCTTAGACGCCTCAAAATATAACAAATTCTCAAAGCCTCAACCTTAATTTGCCCCATATATTTTGTAAGCCAACTTGTAACATAAACATATAAATATTTGATACTTGAACATCTGCTTTGAATGGACAATGAGACCTAATTGATTGAGTTCCCGAACACAAGTGTTCGCAACTAGGACAACATTTTCCTGAGTCATCGACTTGCTTGCTTTCCGGCCAACGATTTGCGGTCTTCGCAGAATTTTGATTTGTCTTTGTCGCATGCACAACTACATGGACATTAACCCATTTCGGTTTGGGGGGTTTAACGGGGGCGGACCTATCCAGTACCACCCACTTGCCTCTATTCCATTCCGAACTAAACGAAAATCAATAGAAAAACAAATAAGCCAAAGACCGAATTGAAATCGACTTCTGGGGGGGTTTTTTGTGGTATGGTATGGAATGGCATGGTATGGTATGGTATGTTTGCATGCTGGATTTTCTGCCGCATTTATCCCGGGAATTTGCAGTTCACTCAACCTCAAGACGGATATTCATTCTTGTTCTCCTCCCCCCTTTTTTTTTTTGCAGTTGACAGTCGTCACCTGAAGGAGTCCATTGAACGGGCCGAGTTTTCGCTGCAGTTGGAGCTCTGGTTTGGCGAGCAGAACGGCTCGAGCGGCATGAATGGCAATGGAAATGGGCTGGGCAGTGGGATGGGCAGCTTCGCCGGATCCGGCGGCTCCACATTGACACTGGCCTCCACCAGGAACCTGCAGCTGAACTTCCATCCGGGACGTGGCCTTCATTACCATCTGCCGGTGCTGTTCGACTACTTCCACTTGGCGGCCATCAGTGTGGGCATCCATGCCAGCCTCGTGGCCCTCCATCAGCCGTACATCAAGTGAGTAGTGGAGGTGTGCCTAGATGCACTGAGAAAAAATACACTCCTATATACATATACTGTGATTTGTAGAAAATGGTCATTTTATCTATAGAATTTAGGCACTTAAAGTTTGAATTAGAACTATCTTAACGCACTGTGTTCTTTTCGGAACGATAATGTGATTAATATAATAGAGGCATTTTTAAGCAACAAGCATTTAGGGGTTTAAAAAACATATTATCTTAAAATATCAATATCAAAAAAACAAAAGTACCTGATGATAAGAAAAAAACAAATTCGCTTTAATTATATGCAACCTTTTAATGTATACGATAACTATTAAAAACAGCAGGGTATATTTAATATATTTAAAATTTTAAAATAATATATAACTTTTTGCAAAAACTTTATTGGCTAGTAGATAAATTGACTAGCGAGTAGTTAAAATTTTATAAATGATATAGAAATAATTAAAATCAAAATAATATTTAATCATTCACATAAACACAAGATCTAAAAGAAATTGTGTATTAACTTACAAATTTTCTATTCATGGCTTTTAAATAAATTTGTTCTTACACAATAATTAATATTTTGGAAGTAATAATTAAGACTGGCAGAAACTTTGTAAAATATTTATTACTGGACAGTTAGAAATGTATATATTGTAGAAACATATTTAAAAACAACCAAAATTAAATTTGATCAAGGCACGATATGTAAAAAAAATATGTATATATTTACAGACTAGATTATCAATCGAAGGTTGTTATCTAAAAAGGCTAAAGGCTAGCACTATTTTTGCAGAGTGTAGGCGGTTCAAATGACAGGCATTGCAGCAGATGCAAAGTGAAGATGACAACATGATCTCTAATGTCAACGTTGATATAGTCATATTTTTCACAGTAAATTGAACCCGCTGCGTGGGCGGGGCCGTGGAATGGGGCGGGAAGCGGTGTTGTCGGGGGCGTGGCAGGGCCCCCTATTTTTATCGTGTCTTGTTGCGTGGGGACTGCAGCATCAGCAGGGCAGGGGATGCAGCATCGTAGGCAACTGGCGGCCAGTTACCCGCACAAATCATTTCCAACTCATTAAAATTGCACACAGGCTGCTCCTCCCCCTCATTGCCCTTTATTTAACCCACTGTGCATACAAAATGCAGAGATTACATAAAAAAAAAATGTCGAGGCATAAATTTTAATGACTCTCTCTAGCAATGCAATTGTCCTGCTCCTGCCGGGAAAAGTAGGAGTATAACAAAAAAAAGTACACAACACACAGAAACTTGCACGGTTAACAAGACGGCAGAGGCGTTTCAGTATCCAAAGGGGGCGTGGCTGGATGCTTTGGCGAAGCGCTACAACTTCATACTGCAGAGTCACTTTTTACGCCGTTTGATTCCGCACAAGTTGTTCATACCCTCCATCTCCTTGACGAAAGTTTACCAGTAGTTCTTTAATCTGTTTTGTATTGCCAAAAGTTGTCGGCAATTTTCGAGTGCAAATCCTCAGCTATTTCTCGAAGCCCAATCTCCAGTTGGAGTAGCAATTTGAGGTCCTCATGCGGCGAAATCCTTTGGCACACAAAATAAGAAACAGAATTTGAAATTGACTCAGCTCGCGCGTAGTGCTGTCTCTGTCGTATGAATAAAATATCATCTCATTGGGCTTCGCAATTCCTTGTTGACCTTGGCCCCACCGCCCCAAAAGGTAGATACTTATCCCGATTACAGCCCACCAATCCCAATCCCCGCATCCTTCGTCCTCATGAGCGAAGTCGTAAATTGCCTGATTATCTCGGCAGGCTGAGGTCCAATCATGCTTAAAGTCGGATTCTCGGTGGATAAACTTTAAGGTGTCCGGGATTAAATCTTTTCAGGAAGATTTTCTTGCGTTTTTCCAATGAAAACTTTTCACGTTTACGGGCATGGAATAATAAAACATCCCCTCTTCTTTTAGTCACCTTTCTTCAAGAGTTCCCTTATAAAGTTTAATAGTTAAAATGCCCTTTATTATTACATTTGTTAAGGATTTTTGGCCTGCAATTATCAAACATTTTTTTAGTGCATTTGTTTTAGTTTTTATTTGGATTCCATTTAAGGCAAACTAAAAAAAATTCTAATTCTATTCTTATTTAAGTTAGTTTTTAATAATTATATAATGCATTCATGTATATTTAAGATTTACTAGCTTAGACATTTTTTCTATGAATTAAATAAATATCTTTGTTGGTTAGTTTTTTTACAAAAAAATTGTAGCAAAAGACACCTATGTTTTTAAATTGCTTAACAAAATTTTTAATTGTTGTGCTCAACAATTTTGCATTAATTTGATATATGGTTTGAAGACGCTGATTATTAGTAATCTTTTCATCACCTCAGAAAATGTAGACACCACACACTCCATTTTTTTCTTGCAGTTTTAAGTCAACCATTTATCGTTTTCTATAACCTGCGATTCATTTATCTCATTTTTTGCGCTCCAACGATAACGAAATAAACCCAAATATATAATCCCTATCAAAATCACTTAATAATGGATCAAACTTGACACTGAAAACTGGTTGCGGTTGCAGGAAAAGCATGTTCTCGTATATGAAATTCTGGTAAGATCGCCCATGATAACTCCATATAACTCTTCGTAAAATCCGTAAAACTGTGTAAATTCCGTACTCCACTTAGTGTAGTTGCTGTGGCCAGGATAGCCTGCTCTATGTATCTGTATCTATATCTGTATCCGTCCGTCTGCGATTTCATCTCCTTTCATTATGTGTATTTTTAAATGGTAGATTTATGAACATGGCTGTCTTTTTATCTATTAAAAAAAAATTAAAATCTCTCTCTTTTTCAGCGCCCCGCGCAGTTCGAAACCTTGGAGTGCGGGAAAGTTGAGCTGCAGGGGGAACACCTCGCCGGGACCCTTGGAAGCGGTGTTCTTTGGACCCCAGATAGGTGGCACCACCAAGTGCAGTGGTGGTCCCGCCGGCAGACTCCTCCAATCGCGGGCAATTCATCGCGAGATTTGCTGTTTGCTACTGGGCGCCATTGAGCAGCTGAAGGCCACTCTGAACGAGTTCAGTACAGTGTTACCTCCGAGCATAAACTCGCAGATTGGCTCGCCTCCCCTGAGGGAAAATGACACGGGGGAGAGGCTGCAACTGCTCCTGGAGCAGGCCAAGCAACTGGAGGCGGAGGAGGACTTTGCCATAAGGGCCAATTCGGACATAGCCCAACTGTGTGCGGAGAGCATTTTCTGGTGGCGTCGTGTGCTCCTGGCCTCCAGATCCTCCACAGCGGTGCACACTCTCCTGGCCCGGAAGCATCATATACTCAGGGTACGTCGCTTTGCCGAGGGCTTCTTTGTGCTGGAGCAACCGCGTCATGCGGCAGCGGCAGCGGCGACGGCGACGGCAACTGGTGGTGGTCAGCAGGATCATCAGGGATCAGCCTCGTTGGGTCAGGGCTGCCAGGGATATGTGGCCATAGCGGAGCTGGCCAGGAGGAGTCGCTATCTGCAGTCCCTGCCGCCGCTTCCCGTGCACTGCACACCCATCGATGGCGATGCCTCCTCCTTGCCCTTGATCTTCGAGGATCGCTATGTGACCCCGGGCAGTGGTTATGTCCGTCGCCGATCTGGCAGTGATCCGCAGCTGGATGAGACCATAACAGCAGTGTCTGGTGCTGGAGGTGGTGGTCAGAAGAAGAAGGTGGACAAGACGCACTCGAGCAGCAGCTTGAATGGCATTAAGGACTGCTTGGCCTGCCACTTTGACTACGACTATCCGCAGATTACCAATGGCTCGGGACCGGCTCATCCGCATGCCAAGTGTGTGATCACGCCGCGCTTTGCCCTGGGCGGTGAGGTGCTCCAGGCCAGTCTGACCATTGCGCCCAGCAAGGAACCCCTTGCCACGCCTGCACCCGCACTGCGTCACAACTTGTCCAGGCATTCGGTCACCGGTTTGCTGGAGGATCTCGATCTGGATGCCAGTGTGCCGGCGCGACATAGTAAGTCCCTGGATCAGCTAGATGGTTGCGAGGCTTTGATCACCAGCTCGACTACAACGAGTAATAACCATACTCTGCCGCGACTCCAGGCGGATGATCTGATGCGGAACATTTGCGAGTTCCGCCAGCGATATGGCAAATTCGATTACCTGCATGAGATCAAGTTGCTGAATCCGCCAAAGCCACAGCAACAGGTGGTCCAGCAGACGGCGCAGGATAAGCCCTGCACCAATGGCTACAATTCTCTGCCCAAGTCGATGGTGCCGCCGAGGAACTCGTATCCACCGCCGCCGCCCAGTCAGCATACCACCATGCCGAGGAGCAGCTCCTCGCAGATTCCACGTGCCGTGGAGATTGCTCGGGTGCGAGTGTCCGACATCAAGGAGATGCTGCGACAGGGTCAGTTGAGAAAGGAGTCGAGTAGTTCCGAGAGCGACATGGTGCAGAAGCTGCAGATGCTCAGCTCCACAAGTGTGCCCTTTCGTCTGGAGGGTGCCGGCAATGGAACGAGCAACAACAACACCACCAGCAGTGATCCCAACACCAGTGGCTTCAGTGAATCCCTACCCAATCTAGCTCCGCCGCCGGAATTCGATTCCGATCCGCAATTGAGACGTCAGCGGAGCAACTCCACCTCGTCGTTGAGCGAGGAGAGTGGCTGGGTGAGCAGCCGGAGGAGCTCGCTGGCCATCTCCAGTCCGGATACCATCACCAGTACGGGTCTGACCAATCGACAACGGCACACGCAACTCAATCTGGGCATGGGCATGGCCATGGAGACGCGCCTGAATGGTGAGCAATTGCGTTTGCGCCTCCAAAAGGTCCTGGAACAGCAGCAACTCCAGCAGCAGCAGCAGCATCCTCACAAGACCCGGAAGAGGCAGGCAGCCGGATCCTCCAGTCAAAGTCGTACACCCGCTCGCCAGCAAACGGATGTGCACAAGAAGATCTCATCGGTGACGGTCAGTGTTAAGCGGGAGCGGTCCCGCTTCCAGTTGGACAGACTGCGTCACCTGCCCAACGGCGAGTCCACGGAGGTGGAGGAGATGGAGCCACCGCCGCGTAGGAATCGCCACAAGACTGCCGCCTCGGCCGAGAAATCCAAATCGGATTTCGATATAGCCAGTTTGAAGGGCATGCAGCCATTGGATGCTGTGTGCCTGCCACCTCCTCAGCAGTTTCAGGATCAGGAGCTGGATCAGGAGCAGGAGCAGGATGAGCAGGCTCCGCCGCCGCCCGATGAGTTCCGTGATCCGCCACCAGAACCAGCGCCCACAGCTCCAGCTCCTGCTCCTGCTCCTGCGGGAAAAGCTGGAAAATTGGTCACCTGTCATCTGGCACCACCACCGCCGCCGCTGAAGGAACGCCAGCCAGTGGGAGCCATCGACAATCCCGTGTACCACATCTATGAGTCACTGCGTCCCATCTCCACGCCGGCCATTTTCAGCAATAAGCCCGTACTGAAATCTCATAGTCTGGCGGAGCTAAAAAGGCCACAGAATCTGCCAAATCCCCTGAACCACCAATGCAAATCGCATGCCCTCAATGGCAACGATGTGGACCACGAACAGGACGAGAACAAGGAGAACTCCAATGGCCAGGTGAGAGGATCCGCCAAGCAGGGACATGCTTCGAATACCCTCGCCAAGCACAAACGAAAGGGGCATGTTCCATCCACTGCCATCCAGGAGGCTCCTCCCAGCATTTCCCTTCTGGAATTCGAGAAGTACCGCGAGGAGTTCCGCAAGCAGATCAAATACCAGGGCAGCATATACTCCGACTACGTGCAGCTGGCCTCGGAACTGCCCTACTTCTACATCAGCGACGAGTACCGTGCGTTCTCGCCCAACGGCATGCACCTGGTCATCTGCGTCCACGGATTGGATGGCAATTCGGCGGATCTGCGACTGGTACGCACCTATCTGGAACTGGGACTGCCCGGTGTGAATCTCGAGTTTCTCATGTCCGAGAGGAATCAGGGCGACACCTTCTCCGACTTCGACACCATGACTGATCGGTAAGCTGAATGATATTTGTTTTATACCTTTCTCAAAGTTTAACAATATCTTAAAAATATGAAACATTTTAAAAAATATTATTGGGTGATTTAATCTGTTTATATTGATCAGAGTTCTGCCTAATGAATTACATTTCATTATTAATAAAGCAAAGTAATGCTAGTGAAATTAGTATTCACTATCATTCAAATTATAAATAAATTATTTCAATGTGTAAATTTAAAAAATAAATGTAATGATGGAGAAGAAAATCATTATAAAAAAAAAGAAAAAACAATTCAAATAATTCAAAATAGTTATGCTAACGACAAAACAATTCATTGATTTTTTTTAAATTTTATTTCATTAATTGCAAATCAAATTCAATCAAAAACTTTTAATTATTTTAGATAAAAGTTGTGCTGGTGATTATATTTTAGATAAAAGTTGTACTGGTGATTATTTTTTTGTCATTAAAATTCCAATAGTGATGAAATTTGTATAATTAAATCAATAAAATATAAATAACGTATTTAATATTTAATCAATACCTAGTATCTGAATTAGACAATGCTTAACTCTTCTTTCTCCTCTAATATTTTGTATTGTTTTAACTGTATGTCACTTAGGCTGGTAACCGAGATACTCTACCATATCGATAGCTGCGCCTTGAACCCCGCTCGAATCTCATTTGTGGCCCATTCCTTGGGCACGATCATAGTGAGGAGTGCGTTGGCCAGGCCCCAGATGAGACCCCTGCTCCCGCGGCTGCACACCTTCCTCTCGCTGTCGGGACCTCATCTGGGCACTCTCTACAACACCAGTGGATTGGTCAACATGGGTAAGTCTATATAAGCTAAAAACAATACTGAAATTACTCACAGTGTATTTCTTTGGACCGTAGGAATGTGGTTCATGCAAAAGTGGAAAAAGTCCGGATCTCTGCTGCAGCTTTGCATGCGTGACACCACCGACATGCGGAATTGTTTCCTCTACAGGCTGAGCCAAAGGAGCACCCTGCATCATTTCAAGAACATCCTGCTTTGCGGTTCTAGCCAGGATCGCTATGTTCCAGCGCATTCGGCCCGATTGGAACTGTGCAAGGCGGCCATGAGGGATAGCTCTTCGTTGGGCACCATTTACAGGTGATTATGGCAGCAGTAACTTTTTAAAAACTCTCTACACACAAACCAAAAGTGGATTAGTAGAAATAAATAAATAACTATTAAATATAAAATTTTATATTTGTAAATATTTTTGGAACTGATTATAATATCTGAAAATTAAATTTGAATTTAAAATGCATTTAAATCAAAAAGAAATTATTTCAAATCTAATCTTTTCCACATGCAATTTAACTTGCATTGTATTGATTATTATGATTTAATATTGAGTTTAAATATTTAATATATAAATTCAATATTATATAGTCAATAGTCAGATATTTAATTTTACTATGCCATTTTTCTATCCGCCTACGTTATTCTTTTACCAATGTATAATCATATTTTTTCCAGAGAAATGGTGCACAATATAATCGCTCCGATTTTGGCCAGGCCGGAACTGACTTTAGCCCGGTTTGATGTCCATCATGCCCTGCCTCATACGGCCAACACTTTAATTGGTCGTGCGGCTCACATTGCAGTCCTGGATTCGGAGTTATTTATCGAGAAATTCATGCTGATCGCGGGACTCAAGTACTTTAGTTAACCAGATCGCTGAACCATCTGTCTGGCAGAAGGAACCAAACAAAACTGCTGGCTTTCTAAGGGTCTTTAGTTGAGTCCCAATGAGTTGGTCCAGTACAGTACCTAGTTAAAAAATTTATTATAAAAGAAAGACATGGATTTTCTTATGAAATTAAAACTACAGGTCGTTATGAAATAAGTAAAATATATTTAAATGATTGGTTTTTATAAAGAAATTAGGACTCTATTACTGAAATTATAGTTCTTCATTAATTAAACTTTTTTTTTGTATTTTACGTTTAAATGTAAATATTCTAAATTATGTTGTACTTCAGACATACAGTTTTATTAACTTGAGCCTCTTTAACGTGTACTGTAATTCTTTTAAATATAAAAACTACTGAAAAACACAGGGTACTCATAAATCGAATACAAAACAAGAACCAGAAACATCAGATCAGCCAACTGATTCCAATTGATCTGCGATTGGAACAAGGAATTTATTGAAACAAATCGTTAGACTTGAATTTTTTACAAATGCAACTCTTTTGTAGCGAATTGATATTCACACTCACATACGAAAAAATCAAAAAACCAAAGGATGTTTAATCAAAAAAACTATAACCAAAACCAAAGGCAGCATAACTGTTGAAAACATGTTAACGATAATTACATTTTTTAGCTGTAAGAGTTGAACGCATACAAAGCAAACAAAAACAGAAGCCAAAGACATCATAAGTAGTGTTAAATTCGAGTTCAAATCTATATACGAAACTTTTTCGAAACGGTTGAATTGAATTGCAAACGGAAAGTGAACGAAAACAAGAACGATCATGTTAAGTATACGTAAACTATCGATAGTAGTTGAGCACGGGCAAGGCAAGGTTGCATTTTGATGAAAGTAGCGAAATAGTATTAGCAATTTTTAAGACTAATCAAACACAAACAGAGACAAAATGGTTTTTTCCAAATCTTTTTACTGCTAGACAAGAGAACAAATTTAGAAGAACTAGAGGTAGAGTAGAGGTAGCGTTGAATTAGTCGAGTTGTTGGTAGCTGAGTGCATTATTGAAGCGCGTCAATTAAGTAAAAAGATCGACGACGAAGAGGTTTGCTTGCAGATTTAGATTTTTCATTGGGAACAAGATCGATAGCGTAGCGCATGTAAAGCAGTTAGGACGAAAAAAAATTGAAAACTCGTAGTCTAGTCCTAGCCATAACTCTATGTTTTCTGAGCTTTTTCCAATCGCTGTTGTGAACTACTAATATTTGTGACCCTACCAGAATTGCATTCTTCATATGTGTATAACCGTCCTAAATGTAACTACTTTATCAACTTGCTAAAGCGAAAACTAAATGTGTAACTGGTTTTTAAAATGTTTGTGTGCATCCCAAACTTGAATGTGTGTTGAAACGTTTCGACGATTTTACTAAATGTATTCCATCAAAATTTACCGAATTCCCCTCAGTTGCAGTTTAAAATGTTTTCTTTTTGAATAAAATATGCTAAAATTCAATTTTAGTGGAACATACTCACAGCATTCTTTTATTTAATGGGAGTTTACAGCTATTGAACAAAATTATTTTTATTTTTATATTTGTAATTTATTTTTAAAAAGTTACAGTTTAAACTAACTTTATTTAGATTTATTCAAATTGTATTATTCAAAAAGAGCTCTCATTATTTATTTGATAAATTTACAAATTCTTGTTGATTTTTTATAGTAAGTTAAGTGTATATTTGGGAAAATGAAAAACTACCTGCACTTTAAGCCAAATCAACTTGTTCAATTAATGGGATTCCCCTTTAATGTAAACCGAACTGGTTCCATTTGATGGGCGGGTACTGTGAACCGGTGAGCCAGTTCACCTCGACCGGTAAACTTTGCGATGTGCCATCACTAGCAAATCGACGATCTGGCAGCACTGTCAGCCGTGGAATAATCATATACAATTATTATGTACAATTGAGACACAAAAACAAAAGATAAGCTTTCGTACAACCCAAAATCCGAGATGTCGAGGGCGGCGGGACCTTCCTTGCGCCTGGGCCAGCAGGACCTGAAGTGCCGCATGGGATGCGGATTCTACGGGACACCCCAGAACCACGGACTTTGTTCGATGTGTCAACGGAAATTGAAGCGTAAGTCCCCTTCTTGGGGTTTATTATGCTCAATCCGCAAACAGAGGCTTCAGTTATGAAGTGGTATCTTACAGAAAGGGCCGGTGAAACGGGTCCCGGATCCTCCACATCCTCACAGACCGCGGGTGGAACCCATGAGCGGAAATCCCCACAACATGGACATGGTCATGGACACCAGGTCAAGAAACCGGATAACCAGGATAACTCATCCGGCACCCTACAAAAGAAGAAGTTCACCGCGGTTTTGCAGAAAACCCTTCAAGCTGGAGCCCAAAAAAGTTGTGTTACATAGCACTTGTGACTTCCCAAACTTATAACTTATTTATTATGTAGTCACCCAACAGCGTGGTCATGTGCCCGATCCCACGGAGGGCCAGTTCCTGCTGCAACTGCGCCAACTCCGCATTCCCGATGACGGCAAACGCAAACTTAAGCTGGAAATCCAACGTTTGGACGGCGATATACGAAAGTATATGAACGGAAGTGGTGGCAAAAATATCAATGAACTTTCGGATTTAGTGCAAAATGCCTACACCAAGGTCTCAGACATCGTGCACAACGATCCCAGCTTTGAGATAGCCACCAACGAGGATCGCGACAGTGCCATTGACTTCTTCGAGAAGGTGGTGATGACGCAGAACCACAAGTGAGTCATGCAGTAGTATCACTGCCCTAGAATGTTTATCTCTAAGGCGGGGGACTATTCCTCTTGCAGATTTCTCTTTAGTCCCTACTTCACGACGGATGAGGACAGCGATGTGAAGGTTCAGAAGCGCATACGCCAGCTGAGCTGGATTACGGCCAAGCATCTGGACTGCAGCATCGACGAGGTCAACTCGGAGGCCAGGGATTTGGTTTACAATGCCATATCCGAGCTGGTGGGCATCGATTCGTACTACTCGCCTCAGGAGAAGCTGCAGTGCACGTGGCGCTGCTGCCGGCACATCTTCGAGCTACTGAAACGGGCAACTGGCGGACCGGCCAGTGCGGATGACTTCCTGCCCGCCCTCATATTCGTCGTCCTGAAGGCCAATCCTGTGCGCCTGCACAGCAACATCAACTTCGTGACGCGCTTCACAAATGCGCAGCGCGTGATGAGCGGTGAGAGCGGCTACTACTTCACCAATCTCTGCTCGGCCATTGCCTTCATCGAGAATCTGAATGGCGAGAGTCTGGGCATCAGTAGCGAGGAGTTCGACGCCCTCATGTCCGGACAGCAGCCCTACAGTTCGCCCTGGGAAAGTGCCCTGTTGGCCTGCGAAAGTCTTCATTTGATTTCCGAGAACATGAAGCGAATGGAGATGTTGCAGAAGAGAAACGCGTTGATAAGCTCCGGCATCGCTTCGTTCGAAAAGGAGCTTATTGATTTCCAGAGAGAGGTGACCGAACGAGTGGACACCGTGCTGGCCAAGGCGCCACTCAACCTGCTGCCCATCAAAACACCCCCTTTCCTGATCGGCCAGGCAAGAGCTCACCTCCAGAACGAAAACGAAGCTGGTCATTATCAGGCGAATATGCTGAGTGGCAGCGGTGGCACATTGACCTCCCAATCGCTGTCTGCAGTGAGTGGCTTGACGAAGCCCCCAGCAGCTACGGAGGATTCGGGATTAGCATTCAAGGACACCAGTATGGGCTCGATGGGTCGTCTGTCGCCACTGCAGCAGAATCTTCAGCCAGCCGACAACCTATTCGCCTCGCCACTCTTCAGTTACACCGCCTTCGATGCCGTGTCCCTGCTGGAGGAGCAGGAGCCCTCATCCGAGGGAAACACCGATGTGCTCATGCTGGGCTCCGAGTTTCACGGAGGACTGACCAACATAAACTATGACTTTGATTTGTCGGACCAGAGTGGTGAGAACAGCACTGCGGATGAGTCCAAACTGAACCTTGACGAGTTCGATCCCTTGGCGCAAGCGGGCTCAGTTACCCAGCCACCTGCCCTTCGGCCGGAGGCCAGTCTGCTGGACAGCACCACGGATAGCCTGATAGACAGTGAAGTTCCCGGCACAGCTGTCCTGCTGCCATCTCCGTTAAAGCCCGAGGTGGCCAACTACCGTGGCTTCTCGAATTTCGATATTCCCAGCATCTCCTGCAACACGGGGGACTTTAGTTCACTCGGTCAGGAGAGCAGCGAGGCACCTAAATAGCTCCTAAATAGCTCTTTCCCCCGCACTTACACGAATGTAAATAGAGATAAGTAATATATTGTAGTTAGCCCATCGCTTAAACTCAGAAGTGTGCACATATTTATTTGTACAATATTTAACTAGCTTTACAGAAAGGACGTTTAATAAATGCAATCAAAAATCATTGATGTTTGTGGTACGTACGATACGGCTGAGTCGTTATTTGTTTGAACTGATAAATCTTTTATCTCCTAAATTTGTCAGTAAACTGTTGTCCAAATGGGACAAATATGACCTGGCCATAGATCTAATCAAATAATTTATTTTTACTGATATTCGCTTTAAATGAGTAAGTTATACAGAAAAGACTATTAGAAAATCAATTTATTTCAGCTGGGAAGGTTACAAATTATTAATTTTAAATGTTTTTGAAGACTGATCTAGTGAAATCAACGCATGGAGCCTATGAACCAATTTGAAAATTTGAATTTTTCCAAGTAATTTGGTTTTTTTAAAACCACAGCGCTGCTACCAGAAAACGGTTACACTACATCATTTCAAAACACGGTATATTTTTTTGTTCCATACGCGGTCACACTGGCTGCTGCTCCCACAACTGTCACCACTCTCAATTTGCTTTTTGAACGAAACGGACGGACTTTAAATCGACTATGGCGAGGGCCGGAATTCAGATGCTGCTACTTGTTGCGGCGGTGGTGATAAGTGCGGCCAGTGGCTCCAGCATTCCGGAAGAGGTGGCCTACAATCCCCTCGAGCACGACTCCCTCCATGGCAAGCACTTCGATGGGGGCGAGCACAATGCCCAGTTCGACCACGAAGCCTTCCTGGGTCCCGATGAGTCCAAGAAGTTCGACAACCTGACGCCGGAGGAGAGCAGGCGGAGATTGGGCCTGATTGTGGACCGCATCGATGAGAACAAGGACGGATTCGTCACCTTGCCGGAGCTAAAGAACTGGATTGCCTACACCCAGAGGCGCTACATCGACGAGGACGTGGGCCGCCTATGGAAGGAGCACAATCCGGAGAAGAATGAAAGCATCAGTTGGGAGTCCTACAGGAAGACTGTCTACGGATTCATGGATGACTTGAGCAACGAGGAGAAGGAAAAGGAGGAAAATGGTGGGTAGATACCTATGTTTAAATAAGTACTATTTTAAAATTGCATACATACATGCCTGTTTTAAATTTACGTTTACATTTAAAAATTTATCAAAATCAGTTCTATTATTTTTCATTATTTCCTCTAAAACATGAGATTATTATTTTATTATTAAAAAATACTTTTGATTTACCTTAAAAGACAAAATGGCATCATCTTGCAAAAGGAAATTTTTATTTTGGTTAATTTACTTGAATGCCTATTTTTTTATATTAAAATACACTACCTATATACATTTAAAAATCTCTTAGCACGACCCAAAAATATGTGATTATATATTTGAATATAATGGCATCAAGGAATAGCTGTTTATTATTTATTATTTATTTATTTAATTATAATATTTATTTAATCTTTATTTTCTCCTCACAGGAATCAGCTACAAGAGTCTGCTAAAGCGTGATCGTAACCGCTGGGCGGCAGCCGATCTGGATTTGGATGACAAGCTGACCCGGGAAGAGTTCACCGCCTTCCTGCATCCCGAGGACCATCCGAAAATGAAATATGTGGTGCTGACCGAGACCATCAACGATCTGGACAAGGACAAGGATGGTAAGATCTCGGTGGACGAGTACATTGGTGACATGTACCGCGCTGCGGAGCCCGGAGACGAGGAACCCGAGTGGGTGGCCAACGAAAGGGAGGCGTTCTCAAATCATCGCGACCTGGACAAGGATGGCTACCTGAACGTGGAGGAAGTTAAGCAGTGGATTGCGCCCCACGACTTCGATCACTCGGAGAGCGAGGCCAAGCACCTGATGTTCGAGGCCGATGTGGACCACGATGATCAGTTGACCAAGGCGGAGATATTGGACAAGTACGATGTTTTCGTTGGCTCTCAGGCCACCGATTTCGGCGAGGCCCTCGCACGCCACGATGAGTTCTAGAGTCTAAGAGCCAAGGATCAAATGCCCAGCATCCCAGAGATTAAGAATGAATCTTTAACGAATCTCCCATTTCGCATGCCAAATAACTTGTAAAACCTGCCTAGATCTTAAGACCATTGAAAGTTCATTATAAAGCGACTCGAATGAAGGGGCCATAAACTATGGCACCACGACTAATTGATTTGAGGTGATTTGTTTAATTGAAAGGCGTCCACGTCAGCTTTTGGAGCATCAATGGCCACGTCACTTCAACGAACGCCCCATCCGCACACACATGAGACCACTTGACCCCTCCTCTTTGCCCCGAACCACAGATACGCCGCATTTGCCTGGGTAACATATAAACATAAATGATTTTCGCTGTAGCCCGATTTATTTCCAGCTGCGAGAACATTCCAGCAAACGCACACACAAACGGAGAAACTAAAAGAGAGTATACACTTAGAAAAAATGCAAGGCCTTTCCAGTTGGCATACAGCAAGAATCTACATACTTCCATTAAATTTGTACAATGTTTATTAATTTTAAGAAATTAAATTGATTTTATCTATGTTCTAACATACTAACGAATGATTGAATAAAAAGCATTACGTTTGCTAATAGAAAATATTTTTTTTTTAATTTTTTGCTTTAATAACTCACAAACCTCACCTTTCAAAGTATGAAGGCAGTGCACTGAAAACTTTTGAGTACAAATTTAAATTTAAGATATTTCCAATTATGTCTACATAGTTAAAGTTAAATTGCTCCAATGTTGAAAAGGGGTAAAAATTTATGTATTTATTTATTCAATAAGCCAACATTGAAATATCTCTAAACGAAATGGGTGTTTTGTTTTGTTATTATTGCTTGTGTAAAACCAGAACTGGGGGACAAGAAAATCTTTTACTTTGTTTCAGCTGATTAAGATTTTTTTGGGTTTCGACTTTCGCCGAGATAAGCAAATAATTGGTATTTGGGCGCTGATAAGTCTGTCTCTGCCTTTGTGTACAGTGAGCACTCGCTGGTGATGCAAGCCATTGACCATATGGGGTTTGATAAACGATTTCCAGACTCCATACCCCCATGAATTGAGTGGGCTTGTGTGTGTACGATTGTTTATGTGCTCGTCAGAATGTTACCAACGGAAACTAGTTTTATGTTCTTTTCCATTTATAATCTATTCTAGTGGATAGAATATATAATTAAGATTATAAAAATCCGAAATAATTACTTATAAACATATTACAAAAAATTAAATTTGTAGGCAAAAATTAGTAGTTCTTTTTTAATAATGCTTTATTGATTTCCATTGAAATAGACACATTTATATAATTATCTTGGTTTTCGTTCTTGTTTTTGTTGTTGCTGGTTTTTGTTGAATATCTGTTGTTTTAAAATACAAAGTATTCAAAGTTGCTCAGTTTGATGCCTTTAATTTCAGTACATAGTATACGAAGGACTTTTCATCTTATACATACATGTATATATATATATGTATATATATATAAATTGATAGTTCCTGGATCTAGCAAAAGTTTAAAAAGTTGTTACCTGCTCGCGTCGTCCCTTCGATATCCAACAACATCTAAATACAAGTATGTATGTAATAATTTTAGTGTAATTGCAATGGAACGTTTACTTTACTGACTCAATATCCTGATCCCGTTTAAAGGACCTACGATCAACAGGCGACATCTATGCTTTATGCTCTTTATGCGGCTATTCTCGACCTCTCTCACATTTTTTCAGTTTTTGTTGTTTTTTTTTTTTTTTTTGGTTTTACCTCAGTTTTACAACATTAATTTTAATTACAAAAGTTACTAAATAATACAAAATACAGTTAGAGTTTACAGTTACAGATCGCCCATCGGGTTTTCCATTTTATCTAGAAACATCTCGCTTTTAACTTTTAGTTGAAATTAATGCACGGGTAAACAGAATTGGATTATGAATTACAGAACACACACGAAACGAACTCGGAAACGAAGAAAGCAAGAGTTTGAATGGGGGATTCAGTGCATCCCCCCCTTTCTTTTGTAGCTGAAGAAATTAGTGGCAAAGTGTAACAAAGAAACTACGGATCAGCCAAATGCCTGGCCAACGCTTAGGTTACATAATGGTTTATCGTTAATAATATTACGTTTAAATAGAATCCATTGTGTGGGATATCTCATTCTCTCCTCTATCTCTTTTAGAGCAGGGCGCACTTGCGCTTGGACTTGGGCTGCAGCACTGGGCACAGAACCGACCGGATGGCCTCGTCGAAGACGGTCTTTAGACCCTTCTGCGTCAACGCCGAGCACTCCAGATACTTGACGGCCCCGATCTCCTTGGCCATGGCCAGTCCCTGGGGATAGGTGATGGGCGCCAGCTTCTTGTCCCGCAGCTTCTCGATCGTGTTCTTGTCGTCGCGCAAGTCCAGCTTGGTGCCCACCAGGATGATGGGCGTGCTGGGGCAGTGGTGGCGCACCTCCGGATACCACTTGGCCCGCACGTTCTCGAACGAGGCCGGATTGACCAGCGAGAAGCAGATGAGGAAGACATCGGTCTGCGGATAGGACAGAGGCCTCAGCCGGTCGTAATCCTCCTGCCCGGCCGTATCCCAGAGGCCCAAATTGATCGGCTTGGCATCGACCATCACATTGGCCGAGTAGTTGTCGAAAACGGTGGGTATATACTCGCCGGGAAAGGCATTGGTCGTATAGCTGATCAGCAGGCATGTTTTTCCCACGGCTCCGTCGCCCACGACGACGCACTTGATCGCCTGCATGGTGTTCTATATGTCGATTCCTAGACCTTTTTGAGTGCTTCAAATGTTCCCAGAGATTGGTAATTGGTGATTGCCGATTGTGGGGGGTGCTGGTGCTTCTTCTTATGGCTGGTTGGCAGTCCTCAGTCGTTTGGTCTTTTTTGGGCGGCGGCGGCGGAGGGCTGTTGCTTTCTGCGGCCCTTGTCCTTGTTATCCTCGTCTCTCCGCACTCTTTTCCAGTGCCTCTTGGTCCTCGGGGCGACTGATGATCGCTCCTTGTGTTTTGGGCCTCTTTATTTCGCTTTTTGTGCGTTTAATTCCCTAATTTTCTCAACAAATGTAAATTTTCTGTGTACTGCAGTGTGACCGCGGCTGGACTGTTTAAATATACCATCCGGCGTGTAGAAATATACTAAACTACTGAATTACAGTTCTGAGAGACACGGTCACACCTCACATGCAATTATCTTTAAGTTTTAGGAATTAAAATTAATTTGCTAGGTGCTTTGCTTAAAAATCAAAAATCAATAGTTCCAGAGCTGGTGGCACTAGGTGGACAGACGTTATTTGTCTTTTTATTAAAGCGTGCATAAAAATATATAAGATTTATTAAAGAAAAGCTAAGTTTGTATATATTTTTGTGGTTTATTTCTCAAATTACTTATAACTTAAAACTCTGTTTATCTTTTAAAAGAGTTTATAAAATTGTATATATACACACTTAATTATTTTATTAATTTATTTTTACCAATATCTTCTTAAAATTTTTTGGTGAGAATACCGTTATTTTTTTGGTGGGTATGGGCCGCACATGTTTGGTATCAGGGCTCTGACTTCGCCTGGTCACACTGCCGGCAGCCAATAACAATTTCGAAAATTAAACTTTATTTGCTGTCCATTAGCTAAGCAATAAACACTGCGCCACCTGTCCATCGGCCATTGCAATATGTCTGACGTGTTCATCGTGTCCGCCGCCCGTACCCCCATAGGTAAACAATATATCAAAGATAAACAATAGTTTGATATCCAAATTCAAATTGGAAACTTTCTCTTTCTGTTGGCTTGATGGAAATCAACAGGTAGCTTTAATGGAACGCTTTCTAAACTAAAGGCCTCCGATCTGGGCAGCGTGGTGGTCCAGGAGGTGCTCCGCCGGGCGAATGTAGAGGGCCAGCAGGTCAACGAGGTGATTTTGGGCCAGGTAGGAACACAATTAGCATTCCCATTCGTTTGGGTTCTTTGCCTATCTTACCCATCTGTTTTGTTATGTAAATCTTTGCTAGTCCCTCACCGCCGGCCAGGGTCAGAATCCCGCTCGACAGGCTTCCCTCAAGGCGGGTGTGCCCATCCAAGTGCCGGCCTACAACATCAATATGCTCTGCGGTTCCGGTTTGAAGTGGGTTTGCCAAAGATTCACACCGACTTCTTCTATTTATGCCGGCTTTAATCCTTTCCAGAACTGTGGCCCTGGGTTACCAGGCCATCCGATCGGGAGATGCCCAGGTTGTGGTGGCCGGTGGTCAGGAGAGCATGTCCCTGGCTCCACACGTCATGCACCTGCGGCAGGGCGTCAAAATGGGACCCGGCACCCTGGTGGACTCCATGCTCCATGATGGTCTCACCGATGCCATGGAAAACATACACATGGGCATCACCGCCGAGAATCTGGCCGAGCAGTACAAGATTAGTCGCGAGGCCCAGGATGCCTATGCCGTGCAGTCACAAAATCGAGCAGAAGAAGCGCAGAAGAAAGGGTATTTCGACAAAGAGATTGTGCCCGTGGAGATCAAGGATCGCAAGGGCACGCAGATTTTCTCCAAGGACGAGTACATCAAGGCGGGCAGCACCGTTGAGGGCATTCAGAAGCTGAGGGCAGCCTTCAAAGAAGTGGGTTTTGGAAACTTAGACCAACTAAAAGCTATTGAGGTGGTAACCCACTTTCTCCTGTTTATTTAGGGCGGCACTATAACCGCTGGCAATGCGTCTGGTGTCAACGATTCCGCAGCTGCTGTGCTGCTCATGTCTGGCGAGGAGGTGGCCAAGAAGGGCGTTAAACCGCTGGCCAGGATTGTGGGCTGGACGCAGAGTGGCATTGAACCCAGGGTGATGGGCCTGGGACCAGTCACAGCAGTGGAAGCTTTGGTAATGATGAACAACTTTATCGGCACATGTGGCTTACTAACTATCCCTACTCTGTTAGCTAACAAAAATCGGGTGGAAACGCGAGGAAGTGGATCTGTACGAGCTTAATGAAGCCTTCGCCGCCCAATCCTTGGCTGTGTTACAGGACTTAAAGCTGGATGCCAGCAAAGTGAATGTGAATGGCGGTGCCATTGCCCTGGGTCATCCGATTGGAGCTTCAGGTGCCCGTGTCCTGGTCACGCTGCTCTATGCCCTGGAACGCACTGGCGGAAAACGAGGAATTGCCTCTCTTTGCATCGGTGGCGGCATGGGAATCGCCCTGGCCGTGGAGCGCCTCAACTAATCGCCACTCATTGTCATTCAATCTATTTATTGCCTTTCCTGTTTCTCGCTTAAGTGTGGAGATGATATTCTGTGTATTCTATCCTCTAAACAAGTAGTATTCCCATGTACTTAGGGGCAGAACCCACGTTACAAACTCAGTCACAAAGTCAACTCAATTTCAATTAAAACTAATTTGAAAAGACCTGTGTTTTAGTTGGATTTTAAATTGGAATTGATTTGCGACACTTTATCCAGCGTCTTATATGGATAAAGTAAGGCGCAATTTGCTGTCTTGTTCTCGGAAAATTCAATTTATCCAGGAAAGCGAAATTTTACACTTGTTTGCTATTTATAAAACTGCATTTGTTATGATGATGCACAACCCATTTTATTTGCTTTTAGTTTTTTTGTTGCTACGTACAGATGCAGTATTTTGTACACTGTGAATTAAATAACCGTTTACATGGGGCTTACAACGTGCAAATCCTTAAATATTTATTCAAATAAGGCAATTAAATTAAGGCCTGGCATCAATATAAAATACGTACAATTGAAAGGTTAGTAACTTTGAATTATAGTTATATAGACTAAATTGGGCTAGCGTATATTAAATTGTATAATTCGTTAATTAAACTATTTATTTTCTTAGCAACTAAAAAAGTATTTGTTTAATCAACAAAATGAACTTAAAAATCAGTTATTTGTGCAAATACTTATATCGGTTATTATTTTGGACTTTGGAATAAGACCTCGAAATCATAAACCAAAAGATAAGGATTGAAAACAATAATTGGCAAATTGGTAAATACTTGAATCATGTCCAACATTATATAATGAATTAATTGTGTTATATCGATATTTAATATGGTTATAGGTTATTATGGTTAAAAGGATTCCAAACAGATATTTAATTTGTGTTTTATACCAATCAAATGGCATTATTAATCCCAGTTTTAGAGAATTCTTATAGCTATGGCATGCACTGTATATGCTAATTGAACAGTTCAGAAGTTTGCATTGTTTATTGCTATTATTAAATACCTACAATTGTTTGTACGTAAGAATTTTGGAGAGGTTTCGACTGAAAGAAGCGTTATCGGATTAACTGCGCCTCGGGGTCGCAGGTCGTTTATTGTCTCCAGGAAGATGATAGCAGGGGTGCTGCCCTCATCCCCGCCAGCAGCTCTAGAGCTGCACCGTCTCCAGTTCCTTGGGCAGGCGCGGACTGAAGCCATACGGATTGGAGCAGATGATACGCTTATCTGGCGAAGTCTGCGCCACTTGCTCCACCGAGGGCACACACAACTGTGCGTAGCTGCTGATGAAACTGGCCCACAGAGTGGGTGTGCAGTCCAGGGCAAAGTAGGAGCCCCACAGCTGGGAATCCAACTCTGCGGCATACGGGTACTTACCGTCCTCCAGGAGCAGCTCCTCAGCTATGGCCACCGCATCGAAGTCGCGGTGTTTGACCGGTGTATAAACATCCTGGATTATGTTGTCACCGAAATACAGTGCCTTGGCTTTGGATGGCTCCTTTTGGAGCATCTTAGCCATGGCCTCGTGCAACTGGTGCCAGTTTCCCTGGGAGTAGACCTCGCCAGCCTTTATTTCCTGCGTCTCCTGCGGCAGCTCCACCAGTTTCTCCACATCCACCTGCATAAAAGGTCGCTGTAGGGTAAAGAAACCGGGTTTCTTGGCGTAGGTCACCACGAAATCAAAGTACTTCCGCCAATCCTTGCCCAGTGCTTGCGTGGCCGTTAAATTGGCAAAGTCCACATTGGAGCCGGTGAGCAGGAACAGCTTTTTGCCCGACTTCCGCAGATCGCCCAGCCAGTTCATCACGCTGGCGTCCGTTTGGAGCACAAATCTGGCCGGATCCGCTCGCATGCCCTTGAAGTACATGCTTATGTCGTTGCCAAAGTGATCGCGGCTGAAGATGTGCATCAGACCCGCCTGTAAATCCTGCCACACCTGGTATTCCTCCCCTGCCGTTGGCTTCTTTTCCCGATCCACCTGATCCACCGCCTGCGCAAACACCAAGGCACTGGGCATATCGAAGTAATCCAATAGGGATCGCATTTGTGTGGACGCGGCTCCATTCCAAGTGGAAAGGGGATCCTTGTAGAAGGCGGTGGTGATGTCCCACTGTCGCTCGGCTCCATAAATACCCTGGATTTCGGCGTCGTTTAGCAGACGAGTGCCGTGGGTGGCGCGCAGGATTTGGGCCCCGTTGCTCAGCTTCAGGACATTGCCACGTGGTCCGTCCAGGAACAAACCCTTCTGCAGGAAGTCCACATTGAGCGGCTGATCCAGGAGGTCCTTGCCGTAGCCCTTTTGCTCCACGAGGAACTGCTTGAGGACCTTATAGATCAGCGCAGACATCTCGCGTATGTTGTAGCGCAGCAGAGTCCCGTCCAGATCGAATCCCACTATATCGTAGTCCTTGAGGAGCAGCTCCTTGTGGTAGGATGTCATTATGGTGCTGGCCGAATACCTTGATTTTCCCACTGACGAACTGTGAAAGTGCCTAGCAGTCTGCTGCGATTGTGGACTTAATTCACGTGTTGCTATTCCCACGGCTCCCGGCGCTGCTCTAACCAGCGTCATTGAATTTTGCGCCAATTTAGCGTGCTTGCATAACAGCAGAGAAACATCTGTTTGCCTTTGCCCATTTGTTTTTGTTTTCGTCGAGGTGGCAAAGCGAAGGACGCTGGGGGCGGGGGGAGCGCAGGTGAAAAAGGCGCCCAAGGAGGCCGTTCTGCCCAGGGCCAGCATCTTATCTTATCCGCTAGCACATCTCACTTGTCCGCAGCGTGATTAAAGTATAAAATTAAGCCGAATTTCACTATCTTTCAGGTGGTTTTGACAACATCATTTTCTATCTATAAAAATTTATTTGTCTACGACTGCTAGAGTTGCCAACCATTCAAGTTTGAAAAGTACTGGGCTATCGGCTCTAGCCGGAAATAGCTAGAATAATTTAATTGAAAAATGGCTTAGTTTACTCGTACAAAAAATTATTGAATCAAAAAACGATTACAAAACAAAAAAAATCTGAAAATAAGCTTTAACAATAATTGTACAATTGTACAAATAGAAAATAATTGTACAAGTTCAATTAAAAAAAAAATATGATTAAAAAGAGACTTGAGACTTGAAACAAGCTAAATTGACATCACTGTCATAGCCAAATTTGGCTATCGACACTCGATAGCAGGTAAAGTATCGCTGGTGCAATCGATTCTTCTGCCATCTCTAACAAGCGTACCGGAATGGAAAAAGTTGTTGGCCAAATTAGCTGATTTTTAAATATTTTCAAGCGTTTCGTGGACAGTAAAGCGTTTTTTTCCGCGCAGTTTGTTGGCTCCAGGGCGCCGCAATCATGTCCAACTGCATAGAAATTCCCTTGCAGGACACCGATGAGGTAAGCTTTGATATTGGGGTCCCCAATACAATTTGGTTTTACCTCTGCATTTTTTTTTTTCCAATTTAGGTGATCGAGGTGGACCCGGATCAACTGCCCGACTGTCCGGAGGTGCTGAGCATTCTCAAGCAGGAGCGTGCTCCTCTGCATGTTTGGGTCAATGTGGCGGTACGTGCAAAGGCTACTTGAAATTTGAGAGGTGTTCCACATGTTTTTTTTCTGCCCCCAGCTCGCCTACTACAAGCAAAAGAAGACGGAGGACTTTGTCACGCTGCTGGAGGAGTCGCGCAGCGATGACGCCACCAAGGAGTACCGTGACTCCGACAAGGACCTCATGCGCGCCCTGGACATGCTGGCCGCCCACTATGTCCAGGAGGCGTACCGCGAGAAGTCCAAGGACAAGAAGCGGGAGCTCTTTATGAAGGCCACCAACTTGTACACCAGTGCCGACAAGATCATCATGTACGACCAAAGCCATCTGCTGGGCAGGGCCTACTTTTGCCTGCTGGAAGGCGACAAGATGGACCAGGCGGATGCCCAGTTCAATTTTGTGCTGAATCAATCCCCCTCGAATATTCCCTCGCTGCTGGGCAAGGCGTGCATCGCCTTTAATCGAAAAGATTACCGCGGAGCGATGGCCTTCTACAAGAAAGCCCTGCGCACCAATCCAAACTGCCCGGCAAACGTGCGAATTGGCATGGCCCACTGCTTCCTGAAGATGGGTAATCCCGAGAAGGCCAAACTCGCGTTCGAGCGCGCCCTCCAGCTGGATCAGCAGTGTGTGGGCGCGTTGATTGGCCTGGCTGTGCTCAAACTCAATCAACTGGAGCCGGAGTCCAACAAGCTGGGCGTTCAGATGCTCTCCAAGGCGTACACCATCGACAATGCCAATCCCATGGTGCTTAATCATCTGGCCAATCACTTCTTCTTCAAGAAGGACTATCAAAAGGTTCACCATCTGGCGCTGCACGCCTTCCACAACACCGAGAACGAGGCGATGCGAGCCGAGAGCTGTTACCAACTGGCCAGGAGCTTTCACGCCCAGAGCGACTACGATCAGGCCTTCCAGTACTATTATCAATCCACCCAGATTGCGCCGGCCAACTTTGTGCTGCCCCACTACGGACTAGGCCAGATGTACATCTATCGGGGGGATACGGAGAACGTTAGTTGCAAGTGTTGATCATTCTATGAATTACTAACTCGATTATATATATATTGCAGGCCGCACAGTGCTTTGAAAAGGTTCTGAAGATCCAGCCGGGCAACTACGAGACCATGAAGATCCTCGGCTCGCTGTATGCGCACTCCAACTCGCAAACCAAGCGGGACATGGCCAAGACTCACCTGAAAAAGGTCACCGAACAGTTTCCCGAGGACATTGAGGCCTGGATCGAACTGGCCCAGATCCTGGAGCAGAACGATCTGCAGGCCTCGCTGAACGCCTACGGCACTGCCTCGAGTATTCTGCGGGACAAGGCCAAATATGAGATTCCTGCCGAGATTCAGAACAATGTGGCCTCGTTGCATTATCGCCTGGGCAACTTGAAGATGGCCAAGGACACGCTGGAGTCGGCGCTCAAGCACGCCACCTCTGAGATGGACAAGGATGTCAAGTACTACGAGTCCATTCAGGTCACCATGAAGTACAACCTGGCGCGCCTTAACGAGGCAATGAGTAGCTACGATGTGGCCGACAAGCTGTACAAGGAGATCCTCAAGGAGCATCCCAACTACATTGACTGCTACCTGCGTTTGGGTTGCATGGCCAGGGACAAGGGTTTGATTTTCGTGGCTTCCGATTTCTTCAAAGATGCGCTAAACATCAACAACGACAATCCGGACGCGAGATCTCTGCTGGGAAATCTCCATTTGGCCAAGATGCAGTTCGCTTTGGGTCAGAAGAACTTCGAAACGATCCTCAAGAATCCGGCCACATCTACGGATGCCTACTCACTGATTGCTCTGGGAAACTTTTCCCTGCAGACACTGCATCAGCCGAGTAGAGATAAGGAGAAGGAGAGGAAGCACCAGGAGAAGGCCTTGGCCATATTTAAACAGGTGGGTCCAGATAAGCTATAAGCCTCCTCCCATTCTATACTCTCAATATTTGTGTGCGCTGCTTTGCAGGTTCTCCGCAACGATCCTCGAAACATTTGGGCCACCAATGGCATTGGCGCCGTACTGGCCCACAAAGGATGTGTGATCGAGGCGCGGGATATTTTCGCACAGGTGCGCGAGGCCACCGCCGACTTCTGCGACGTGTGGCTGAACATCGCGCACGTGTACGTTGAACAGAAGCAGTACATCAGCGCCATCCAGATGTACGAGAACTGTATGAAGAAGTTCTACAAGCACAACAACGTCGAGGTGATGCAATATCTGGCCAGAGCGTATCTACGGGCCAACAAGCTGGTCGAAGCCAAGGCGGTGCTCCTCAAGGCCCGTCGAGTGGCCCCCCAGGACACTGTCCTGCTCTTCAACATAGCTGTGGTGCTCTCACGACTGGCCATGGCCATACTCAAGGATGAGAAGTCCACGCTTGAGATTGTGCTGCAGGCGGTCCACGAACTAGAGTTGGCTCAAAAGTAAGTTAAACTTTTTTTTTAAGTGATAGATTTGAGTTTAATTGGTATTATCTGATTGAGTTGAAGTGCAGATAAAAATTAGGTACTTAACCGAATCGCAAAACAGATTAATAACGCAGATAAATGCAAAATAATCACCATGATTGTGTAATTTAAAGATTGGATTAGATTTCAAAATGGTACACCTAAATAAAAAGAATTACAAACATAATTTTAAAAAATGTTGAATAAAATTATGATAGTTACCATTTTCTATTAATTTTTAATAAAATACTTTCTTGAATCTTTCACAGATATTTCCAATACCTGTCCGTGCACGGCGATAAGAACCGCTTCAACATCGAGGTGGCCGGCATTGAGGCGAACACCTGCCAGGATCTGCTCTCCCAGGCGCAGTACCATGTGGGCCGTGCGAGGCGCATTGACGAGGAGGAGCGCTCGCTGCGCCGCAAGCAGGAGGAGGAGCGCGAAGCGTTCAAGGTGAAGGTGGCCGAGCAGCGAAAGAGGCGCGAGGAGGAGGCCAAGACATCCAGGGACCAGTTGCTGGCCAAGCGGCAGGAGTACGTGGAGAAGACCAAGAACATGCTCATGATAGCCGATTCGGCGCCGGAAAAGGAGCGCAAGAAGGGAGGCGGTCGGGCGCGCAAGGATGACTACATATCCGGCACCGATAGCGACAACGAAGGACCTCGTCGCGAGGGTGAACGTCCCAGCAAGAAGAAGAGCAAGGCGGAGCGCAAGAAGGGCAGCGGACGCAAGCGCAAGACGGAGAAGTACGAGAGCGACAGCGAGGAGGAGCCGCAGGCCAGTGGCAAGTCGGGCAAGAAGAAGGGCAAGAAGCCCAAGCCGGTCAAGGAGCCCAAGGAGAAACTGACGGCCAAGCAGCGCCTTAAGGTGCTGTCCAAGGAGACGATCTCCACCAGCGAATCGGAGTCGGATGGCAAGCGCAGCAAGAGTAGGAGCAGGAGCAGGAGTAGAAGCCGCAATCGCAGTGGCAGCCGAAGTGGCAGTGGCTCTGGAAGCGGCAGTGATCGGGATGCCAGCCGCAAGCGCAGCAGGAGTCGCAGTGGCTCCGGATCTGGCAGTGACAGCGATGGCGCCACCAAGCGCAAGCGGGCCAAGAACCGCATCGAATCTGGCGGGGAATCGGATAGATCTGGCTCCCGGGCTCGCTCCAAGTCGGGCTCCCGCTCAAGATCCCGCTCTAAGTCGGGTTCCCGTTCCAGATCCCGATCCCGTTCTCGCTCCAAGTCGGGGTCTCGCTCTAGATCGCGCTCCAAGTCCGGCTCCCGCTCAAGATCACGCTCCCAGTCGGGATCCAGGTCCCGTTCCCGCTCTGGCAGCCGATCCAAGTCCGGATCTCGCAGCAGATCAGGAACTCCGGAAAAATAACACACTGCTTAAATCACTTTTGACTATATTTAGAGTTTCTTCCTTCGAGAGATGCAAAAAGATACTAATAAAAACAAACTAATTGCCACACAAAGGCAGTGGATTGGAATTGCTATGGGGTCGTTCAAGCCTTGTCCAGATGTTCATCTAGGAGCTGGACAGGGCTGATGGTCTGGGCTAGGGAGATCATCCCCGACGATGCTGCTGGATCATGTCCCTCACGACTGCCGCCATGGGCCTGGAATGGCGCAGGACGAAGGCGTGGGCGATCTTTTGGGTGTCCAGCTGGGCGTCCACCTTGGGGTAATCCTTTTTGAGCTGCTCGTAGTAGGAGACGGGCACCCAGCCATCGGTGGTGCCGTAGTAGAACTTCAGCAGATGGAGGTTCTGCTCCACAATCTCCCGCTGGATGCCGCGCACCCTGGCCATCTCGTCGTCGGCCAGGAACACCACCTTCTCCGCCACGGACGGCTTGGAGTACTTGAGCGCGGTGCCAAGGTACTGCCGTGGAATGGAGAAGATCAGGAAGTAGATCTGGATCAGCATCAGTCGCAGCCACACGGGCAGAAAGTTGAAGAAGCTGAAGAAGATGTAGCCGAACACCGAGTACAGGGGCATGGCCACCTTGGTGAAGACCCAGCCATTGGGCGACTCCATCATCCGCTCGACGGTGGGGAACAGCATGTAGCACTTTTGGACGCGCTCCCGTATCCGCTCGTTCTCCAGCAGCTGCAGGATCATCCACGCGCCGATGGAGTGGCCAATCAAGTGGATCTTCACATCGCTCGGCACATACTTCTCGATAAAGGCCACTTTGTGCCTGATTTGGCCATCCAAATTGAAGAGCTCCTCGTTGCCGCTGAGTTGCGGCACCTCCCGGATACTGGCCTCCGGGGGATCATCGTGGCCAGCGTGTCCTGGGAGTAGAACACCATGTACTAAAACTCATTGGGATTTGGCCAAGTTCGCTTACCTATCACCCAAACTGGAAGATCGCCCAGTTCCTTCTGCAAGGTGCCCGCAAACTCTGTGTAAAAGCCAGGTAGTCCGGGATTACCGGTTATGCAAATGACCAGCTCCTTCTCCGTTATGGTCTCCTCGATCCAACGGCCCCAGGTGAAGATGTGGGTGGGAATGGAGTTGATGTTCACGTAGGCCTCCTGCATATTTTCCGCTGCTGTTGGCGTGGCAATGTGATGATGGCGGTGGTGAAAATCAATCGGCACCTGTGCTGCTGATCCAGCTCTTTTCACACGCAATGCAATGTGTTTTCCGAGTCCCCGTGGCAACCGGTTTTTCCTTTGTTCAATCCACACTGGTGCAGCTCTTGGGACACTTTTAAATCAATTAGATTTGCGCGGTATATCCAGTGTTGATAGCCCCGATAAACACTACTATGGTACGGGCTAATCTTTCGAGCCAAAATGACCAAAGGTCAGAAGTTCAGCGAAGGCGGCTAGCAAGAAACGGCTGATGTGAAAACCAGGGCTGCAAAGCATGACCAAATCAGATGTTCAAAGGGTGCCGGAATTTTTTGAATTTGAACTATTAAATGGGACTTAACTTGTCCTCTCTTAGGTGACTAGCCAATCTTTCCATTATAAAGTTAAGGACGTCGCCCAAGTCAAATGGAAGTTTGCTTTTAATCATAGCATGTAGCATCGTGGCCTGGATTACTTCTTTCAAGTTAGGACCAAAAACAGTTAAACGTTATTGAGAACGAAACAATACGTTTGTTATTGGTTTAAGTCTAAATATTAAGTATTGCAAATATATTATTAATCCTGGTCTGTTATTAATAATTAAATATTTTAAAATGGTTAAAAACGCATACACAAAGAAATAAGATAAAAAGCGGATGCGGATCTTGAAAATCCGCAAGTAACGCAGCCCTAAAAAAAAGAAATTTACAGAGTTGCCAACCTACGAAAAGGAACTTATTCCGAATCAGTTGGCAGCGCCACCATTATTTGTTGGTTTTTTGTTGCTGGTTCTTGAGTTTTTATATTTTGTTTTTATTTGTAATTTAGAAAACTAGGGCAATGCATGCGTAAATTCTAGTTAAGGAGCATTTTACCGAGAATTCAGAAATTCGGACGAGAAGGCATGAGCAGAGAAATCCGGCACGACGAAAGCAAAAACAAAAAGGCGAGGGGGCAGAAGTGGACAAAGAATGTGGCTAACTGGGAATTTTCTGGAAAATTCTCGTACAACCGACAAGTAAATCAGTTTGTCCAAATACCAGAAAAATGAAAGGAGCTGAGAGCGCGGGATCCAGCGGAACGGCAGCCGGAAGAGAGCTGTTTTGCTGGGGAAGCACATCCCATGGACAACTGGGACTCGGTGGGATTGAGGACGAACAGGTAATCAAGTGAAATTTTGGGAACAGTTGACTGAGTTATGTACTTACTTATTAACCTTGTCCCACTTGATAGATCCTCACACCCAGTCAGATTCCCTTCACACCGGACTCCGCCGTACTGCAGGTGGCCTGTGGACACCGGCACACTCTCTTCCTGACCGCCAATGGAAAGGTCTACGCCTGCGGGAGCAACGACCACTCCCAACTGGGACACGAACTGCCCACCAAAAGGCCACGTATGTCGCCATTTCGTATGTAATCTTCATTTATCGTCTTGTCTCTCCACTATCCAACCTACTCCACCTCATCACCACCACATGCTCCACAAATGGGCCACCACTGCTGTAAGCCGAGGCTAAGTCCCGGACTCAACCGTCTGCCTAATCTTTGCAGTGCTCATCCCCGAACTGCAGGACTATGTGGTCATCCAGATTGCGTGCGGCAGCCGTCACTCGCTGGCCCTCTCCGATTGGGGACAAGTTCTGAGCTGGGGCGACAATGATTGCGGCCAGCTGGGCCACGCCACCGACCAGGAGATCGTCCAGTTGCCCAAGGTGGTGCGCCAGCTGGTGTCCAAGACGGTGGTCCAGATCGCATGCGGCAACAACCACAGCCTGGCGCTGACCAGTTGTAAGTGAGGAAACTGAAATCCCTGTGACCCATGAACGACCAATTGTTTTATTTAAATTCTACGTTGCTAAGCTACTCGAAATTTTAAGTTCGAAAGGAAAAATTAACATATAAATGAGAAAATATCATTCTAGACCAAAATTTTTAAATTCTCCAATTTATTTCCTAAGAAACTTATAATCTTGACTTAATGCCAGGATTGTGACTTAATCATATCATATTTTATATAATTGTATATATCATATCATGCTTGTCTTTGTTATCATTCCAACATTCTAACTAAATTTGATCTATATTACCTATATATTTAATACACTACATTGTATTTAGCAGTATGAAATTTTTCCATTGTTGTAATATCGCAAACTACTGAGTTATCTCTTAACTAAACATGATAAGATACAAGGTTTTAAAAAATTGTATTTGCTCAACATGACTAAAATTTTTATATTACTGAAAAGTTCTTATCATAAAGACCACAAATGTAATTTAGAGGAGTACAGAAATATAATACTATTTACAAAAATAACTTAGGTTTTGAAATTGATTAGAAAGACGATTAGCGATATACATGTTTTTTAAGAACGAATTATTCGGTTTTCCGGACTTGTAATGTATTGCTGCATATTTTAAGACTTTTTATATTCTTTCTATTCCTTGCGACTAATATTTCCCTTTGACTTTCCAGGTGGCGAGCTGTATTCGTGGGGCTCCAACATCTACGGCCAGCTGGGCGTAAACTCCCCCAAGGAACTGACGCACTGCAACCATCCCGTGCTGCTGACCACGCTGCTGGGAATTCCGTTGGCTGCGATTGCCTGCGGGGGCAACCACTCGTTTCTCATCTCCAAGTCCAGTGCTGTGTTCGGCTGGGGTAGGAACAACTGTGGGCAACTGGGCCTCAATGACGAAGAGAGCCGTGCCTATCCCACCCAGCTGAAGACGCTGCGCACCCTGGGTGTTCGATTCGTGGCCTGCGGCGATGAGTTTTCCGTTTTCCTGACCAACGAGGGCGGAGTGTTTACTTGTGGAGCAGGCGCCTATGGCCAACTGGGTCACGGCTTCGGCTCGAATGAGATGCTGCCGAGGATGGTGATGGAGCTAATGGGCAGCACCATTACTCAGGTGGCCTGTGGCAATCGCCATACTCTGGCCCTGGTTCCATCGCGTGGCAGGGTCTACGCCTTCGGCTTGGGCAGCTCCGGGCAGTTGGGCACAAGGAGTACAAAGAGTTTGATGCTGCCACAGGTTGTCATTGGTCCCTGGGTGTCACCCAGTGGATCGGCCCTGCTGCAGTCCAACGATGCGAAGGTCTCAGTGGTAATCCATCAGATTTTCTCGGGCGGAGACCAGTCAATTGTGACCACAACCTTATTTACGGACAAGCTACCACCCGAGGACTTTAGGAACTACAAGTAAATATAAGCACTTGCTTTCTTTTAATTAAGTCTTATTTATATAATTCACTTAACAGGCCCAAATCCCAGATCCTGGCCCTAACAGCAGAGGTGACCAAGCAATGTGCTCATTTCAAGCAAAGTGATCAGAGCGACATGGATCTCCTGAGCTCCATTGAGCTAATCTTTAAGAGTCAGGCCTGTTGGAATGGCTCCTTCCTGTTGGATCACGAGCGGCACTTTGGCTGCTCGGTACGAAACCATGGTTTGGATCTCAAGGCTGCCCAATTGGCATTTGACAATCTGCGCGGTGTGGAAAATGAAAGCATCAAGCAGGTGGTAAGTTTTCGCAATTCAACATTTTATAGGCATCTTTTAATCACATAATTCTTTAAGATCTGGGACAATATCACCAAAGAGTTAGTTGGTTCGCTGGTATCCTCGCCAGCGGATGTGGAGAGCATGCGTTTGTACCTTCTTCTGCCGCTTTACCATGAGTTTGTGAACTCCAAGCACTACAAGTCGCTGCAGGTTCCGTTCGCCAATGCCATATTCAAGCTGACTGAGAATCCACGCAAGGTGCTAATCAAGTGGCTGGCCCAAACGCCAGCGGAATACTTTGAGCATCTTGTCCAAAACTTTTTGCACGTCGTGGTGCACATTATAAGCTTCAAAATGGGATTGGCCGCCGTCAGTCCCAGTGCCGAAAGACGCCAGAGGGCAAGTGTTACTCTTGGATTTAATTTTCAATTTGTGCTGATCCTTTTCCATCCAGCTGCTGCCATATAACACCGAACTGGAGGTGATCCTAAAGTTGATGCAGACACTCTGCGTGATCAACAATCTGCGCGATGACCGCCTCAGCTATCAAAGCTTCTACTGGTCTGATCTTGCGGACTATGCGGATGTGCAGCAGGAGTACGTTAAGTGGATCATGGCCGACACTGCCAGCGAATTCAACATTTGCAACTTTTCATTCCTCTTCGATCCGTCTGCCAAGACGGCGCTGCTCCAGGCGGACCAGGCCCTGCAGATGCACTCTGCCATGGCCAACGCGACCAACAATGTGAGTTAATGTCATCTATGAGTGATATTGCTAATACATTATCTTCTAACCTGCAGGCATTTCACAATCTTCTCAACTACGGCATGCCCGTTTCCCATTTCATTGTGCTAAACGTGACGCGGGAGAATCTGGTGCAGGATTCCCTGAGAGAGTTGCAGCGCTACACGCAGAGCGATCTCAAGAAGCCGCTGAAGATCAAGTTCCATGGCGAGGAGGCGGAGGATGCAGGTGGCGTGCGCAAAGAGTTCTTCATGCTGCTCCTAAAGGATCTCCTCGATCCCAAGTACGGCATGTTCAAGGAGTTCGAGGAGTCGCGGCTCCTCTGGTTTGCTGATCACACCTTCGAAACGGAGAACATGTACTTCCTGATTGGTGTACTCTGTGGCCTAGCCATCTACAACTTTACGATCATCAACCTGCCATTTCCGCTGGCGCTGTACAAAAAGTTATTGAGCAAGCCAGTGGATCTGAGCGATCTCCGCCAGCTTTCGCCACCGGAGGCCAACTCCATGCAGTCGCTGCTCGACTACGAGGGCGAGGATTTCAAGGAAGTCTTTGATCTGACCTTTGAGATAACGCGCGATGTGTTTGGCGAGACGGAGACCAAGTGCCTTAAGCCCAATGGCAATGAAATAGCCGTAACGCTGGAAAACAAGTAAGTGTTTGATAGAACTTTTTAGATCTTAATGTCTTTAACAAATAATATAATATAACAAAGGCAGGAGTTTGTGGATCTCTATGTAGACTTTGTGCTCAACAAGTCCGTCGAGCTACATTATACTGCTTTCCACAAGGGCTTTATGAAGGTGTGCTCCGGTCGGGTGATTCACATTTTTCAGCCCGAGGAACTGATGGCTGTGGTGGTGGGAAATGAGGATTACGACTGGCAGGCACTGCAGGACAACTGCGAATACCGGGAGGGCTATACCTCAGGCGATGACACAGTAAGTTATTTGGAAAATACTTACTATCAATGGCTAACACTTTTCCTCACCTTAGATCAAATGGTTCTGGGAGATCATTCACGATCTCTCCGAGGCAGAAAAGAAGAGTTTCCTGCTCTATTTGACTGGCAGCGATCGTATACCCATTCAGGGAATGAAGGCCCTTAAAGTGAGTGGTAAAATATAACATAAATTTTAAAACTGATATTAAATTTAAAAAAATATATATAGCTCATCATTCAACCTACCCCGGATGAACGCTTTTTGCCCGTGGCCCACACATGCTTCAATCTGCTGGACTTGCCGCGTTATAAGACCAAGGAGCGCCTCAAGTTCAAACTACTGCAGGCCATCCAGCAAACTCAGGGTTTTAGTCTGGTTTGATTTTCCGCAAGGGGAAAGCAGCTTTTAACTACAGGTATTTTTTCAAAGTTCTCTCTACTGTTGCCCCGCATTTTTGGATTGAGGAATGACTGCTTTAAAGGACGAACATGGACGACACATGGAACACACATTTATCAGCGATCAAATCAACTAGTAAAATGTGTTATGGCTTTAAACCCTAGATTAGTTATGAAAACCACATTGTTATAGAAAGGAAGTGGAAGAATGATAATAAAATTGGTGTATAAGTATTAAGACGACAAAAAGGAGGCTTTCTACTTGCAACAGATTTATTTTGTGCCTTGGTTTTGATAAGAAAGAGTTCAAACAATTTTATTTAAATTTTTAGTCGGTTTTTAATAACTTGGTTGGATTTCAAATCAACAAGGCAGATAAAATAAATGGGCATGCCTTCTTCAGGAAAATGTTATACGAGATGTCTCAGATTCTAAATCCTGCCAAGTTCAATATTTGCTTATTATTACATTACATTAATTAACAATTTTTTTTTATAACCATGTCCTTAAGGATTACTATTACTAATACTATTCATGCAAAAACGGTTCGTTTGAATTCGATAACGATAACATCAAGAAATAGATTAGGCTTTTGGGGGGAAAAACGCCAACTTGGCACCACTGCCGGCTGCACAGCTGAGCGCGAAATGTGGCGGCAAATCGAAACCAGCGAAGTCAGTTGAACTTCAACATTGGCAAGGTGCGCGCTCGCGTGCGGAAATCGTTCGTTAATTTTGTTATTTCGCTGCCGAGAACTTTTTTGGGCGCTCATTTGCATGCGTTGGGCGTGCGGTGCTTGACATAAACCAACCGATTTCGAATACTATATGCCGCCTTAGCCTCGATTTTTATAATTATCCACAACGCAACAACAAGTGTTCGCGGTTAACGTTTTTGTTGCCGTCACCTTTACCGGGTCAAGCTAACGGTACCCGCATCGAAAAAAAGAAATTCAAACAGGTAGAGCACCCAACAACATTAAAAAAAAAGTAACGACTTTCAGGCGACAAGTTTGTGAAATTATGGGTACTTAGCCCCCAGTGCGATTACAAAAATGCTGTCGTTTGTCAAACGTGTGACGGCACAAACTTCTTTATCCGAATCGAAAGCACGCTGGCCTATAAAATCAATTACGATCGCAATTTTTGCATATCCTGACAGCCAACTAATGTCCGGGGCACCGGAGAAGACACCAAAAAGCAGCGATTCGATGCCGCGCACATGAGTTATAAAAAACTGAAGAAATGAATACGAAAAAAGCGGTTCTGCCGGTTTGCCCGTGGTCGTGATCTGCAGCGTCTTCCGCTGCTTTCTTTCCTTTGCACGATTTGAACTTGGACACCAAACGCAACAAAAGCAATAAAAGCACAAAAAGAGCCACAAAAGCAGGAGTACACTGGAAAAAATGTATCCCCTGTATTCTTTAATCTTGTTATTTGCCACATAATTTGAATAATAATTAAGCCCTTTAACAACTTAAATATGTTAAGTTTGAAAACGTTAAAACGTATTAAATATCAATTCAAGTTAATTTTAAATTCTTAAATTTCTCAAAAAAATCCATTAGGTTTCAAGATTTAGTTTGATTAAATACAATTAAAGAATCAATAATTTTAGGTGTAACTGGATTTCTCTCAGTGTATAAGCAACCGCAAATCAAAGAGGGGATCTGGTTTATGGTGATGCTCCTCTAATAAAGCGAGCGTTTAGGCACCTCAATTTCGCTTCCTCTCTCCCTCTTTCATTCGCTTCCTGGGGCTTCTTCCTTGGAGGCCACATATATGTGGATATGGGTGGTGAATGTAGTGGTTGGAGTCCACCCGTCTGTCTCCCTCACTCCACTGGGATAGGTTTGTTTGCCCAGGTTTTATAGCAGGAACAAATAGACACATACAAAGAGGGTCAACACAAGGCGCATGTGAGTGTGTGAGAGCTATGAGTAATCAGTTCGGATATGGGATATATCACCTCTCCTCTCTCCCTCTTGTTCTCCCACTCGTTGACCAATTGAAATTGTATCAAATTTCAATTTTATTTCCACACTTGTACGGCCCTCCATTAATTTGACCCAGTTTTCAAAACAGTGGATATAAGCCGCTTAAAATAACCAACTGCAATGGATTGAGAAACGAAACCAAATGATTCGCCAAATCTGGCAGCTGTTTAAATACAAACAAATAACAATATCCAACTCCGCACTCAGAAAAAATTTAGTTAAATACCAGCAGTCCCAATTGTTGTTTCTGAAAATATTAATTACATAAAGTATAAGCAGTTGTGATAACATTTAAACCAATTGATTTAGAAATATAATTTCAATTCAACTGATTATATCACGGTCAAACGTCATAGTTAATAAATCAAAATCTTTGAAAAATAGATCAAACTTTTTTTAGATCCCTTTCCCTTTACAACCAATCTATGCTTGATTATAATATTTAAAATTGTGTGGTTCAAAAGTAATATTTTAAATTAGTTAGGATCCTGAAAGCTTTTTTAAAATTGATCAATTAAAAATTTATTTAATTAATGTATTTTTGTGTATTTTTTATTTAAAGACCTCTTTTTTTGAGTGCATACTATAAAGCATTGCCCTCAATGTCATTGCCACACACTTGGCACCCAAATTAAACGAGTTGGAAAACCAAGGGAGAAAAAAGCTACTCCACAAAAGATTATTTTTTTGGTAATGATGTAATGCAAAGTTTTTGCCAACTAACAAGCTAAACAAACACAAAAGAACAAACGAAGAACCGAAGAAGGAAATAAAATTGCACGCCTTTTGGTTCGGGTAATTGCGATATTTATTATCGCCCCAGCCTTGTCATGTGAATGATTTGACTTTACCGCATATAACATAACGCATAATCTTGGGAACATAACGATCCAACAGTCCACACCCACCCGAAAAATGTTAAAATCGTTAAATTGATGACAAACTTGAACTTTCTCTTATCGGAATCGGTCGCGTTATCTTTTCGCTGGGTTCAACCAATTTTACTGATATGACTATTGATCGTGGACATTCAGGGTGCATTTTCCCTGGTAACTCCCTGGCCAGTTGCATTATGGCTTTTATTAAAACGCTGATTTGATAAGATACCAAAGTTAAGGGGAAATGCCAAGAACACAAGCAATTGTCATAAATATAACCATCGAAGCACATCGTTTTCCAAGAAAGATTAGCACAAGTCTGAAAAGATGTCTTGCTGACAATTGGTATGCCCTATTTTATGAATGGCCGATAATGACATTCATTATTTTTTCCAAAACTTTTAAAATAAAACTTAGGAATTAAAAAAAGATAATAAAGTGATGTGAAGAATATACATAAATTACATTTTTAAAAAATGTACTTGATCTTAACATCAGATACACAATCTATAAACGAGTATTTCCATTGCATAGTGTTGTTACCCCTTGTTTTTCTGTTCCCCCTCAGATTCAACTGATCCACCCTCATAAAGTGATAAACCGCAGTATGGCCATATACCCCACACAATTAAATGTACCCTAGCGACCACAGAATACACATGAAGCAAAAATCCCCACTTGTCATACAACTTCGATTGGCGAGCCCCAAGAAACCACAGTTAGCAGTTTCAATTCATTTCATTTCATTTCTTTGGACGGAGGAGTGAGTGTGAGCTCGTGTTGGGATCACAATTACATCGCACCTCGGATTTGTATTTGTTCATTTTGGAAAAGTGTCAAGTAAGGGCTTTTCGTGGAAGCCCTAAGCCACAAACTCTTATCCAACGTGAGTACGAGCAAAAAGTCTGTTTTCGAAAGACCAAAAATAAAAAAAAAGGTAAAAAACGAAACCTTTTTTTTTTTTGGTATAGAGGCAGGGGAACTGCTTTCAGCAGATTTTTTCTTTTTCACAATTGGCAGTAAATCGCGTTCAAGATCAGCCGCTGTTGACGCTTTTTATGGCTTGCAATGAGCTAAGAAAACAGCGGGCGAATGCCTTCGGTGATTGTTTAATACTTATGGGTTATCCGAGACCCAGAGACTTGGCATGCGTCACAAATACCGGCAAGATCTCCTCGAACCGGGCCTCGGAGCCTCGTCCCCAAAAGCTGGTGACTCAGCAGTCGCGAGTCCAGATTTTGTGTGTTTTGCATTGTGATCGCCTCGTTTGAATTTTAATTTCCAGTCTTTGCGAGTGCGAGAAATGGCGATGACGATCGTCTGAACGAATTCGATCATCGCCTCTTTCGGTCAGCGGCCTTTGTTAAGGTCTCTTCAGATCTAATGATCCGTTCATATTCTCATGACTTAAATTATCATTGGTCTGAGGTTAAATACAAAACAAAAACCTTTTTGCTTTCTTTCCGTTTCGGTGGAAAGATATAGTTTTAAAAATAAGTCTTCAAAAAGCATACAATATAAGTGTATGTAGATAGACTTTAACGCGAAACTCATAGAACTAGAATTTTATAATCTTATCTTTAAGATCTTAAAATTGAGGTTTGTTATTTTGGGGCTTTTTGGCTAATGTTTTACCACAAATATTTTAAAGTTTAAAAGCTCATTATATAAGTTCATAATGTAATTTGTATAAAAACAAGGTTTCACGAAGTAAATAAATTATTAGCTCTAATATTTTGAAGTTTTAAGGGTTCAAAATATATTGTAGTTTTAAAATTTATTTTAGTATAAAAACAACTAAAGCTCATAATATAAATTCATAATTTAAATTAATGTAGTACAAAAAAAGTCTTTAAGCGTTATAGAAAGTATATAATTTATTCAGTTTTTTAAGCATTCGTTCACAGTAATTTAAGCCCTGGCCATTTGGAGCAGGTGATATAATGGCACAATGTTGGCGTTGTTCCTGCCCTCGAGAAAGTTCTGTGAGAGCATGGTCCTGCCCTGAAACACACCCGGATTTGGCGAGGGCGTCAGTCCGTCGGGACCGGGCAGTTGGCTATCAACGTCCCCGCCCGCCGAGGAGCGATAGAAGGGATAGTAGGGATAGCCAGGGTAACCGCCAAAGCCGGGATAGCCATAGCCCCCATATCCATAGGCGCCATAACCGCCATACCCGCCGTAGCCGCCATAGTAGTTGAAGCCATTGTAGTAGGGATTGTAGAAGGGCGGCGGGGGCTGGGGTAACGGTCCTGGCGGAGGTCCTGGAGGAGGCGGTGGCCCCCAGGGACGCTGCGGGGGCGGTGGGTAAACGGGCGAGCCCGGCGACCAGGGCGGCGGAGGAGCATAGGGGCCATACTGGCGCGGATGCTGCTGATCCTCTGGTGGATAATAGTAATGATGTTGTACTGACGGTTTCGGGGTGGTCGTCGAGGCGCCGGAGGCCATCACCAGCTTGATGCCGCCCTTACCAATGGTCTTCAGCATGTGCTCGTCGATTCCGCGTCCACCGCCCAGCGGATCATCCAGCGCCTGTTGCTGCTTATCATTCCTGGCCTGTCCAGTGATCAGACTCGATTGCAACGGTGCCTTGTCCTGGAAACACAGGCCACTGCCCACCAGCCGCAGGACAACTGAAGGGATATATAAACGGTTATATACATATATATATATATGAGTAAACCGAAATTTATGCTCACCCAAACAAATCGCAGTCACTCTTCGATCCATGATCGCCAACGGAATAACCTGACCACTGCAACTGCATGCCCTTTTTATAGAGCATGTGGATGCATCTATTCCGGCATCTTTTTTCCCGGTTTTCTCATTATAATGAACCCATGCAGTGCCCCAAATTTTGACTGGCTTTCTTTCAACTTCTTTCATCTCGAACTCAATCTCGAATCGATCAAGCACCGTTCTAATAACCGCGATCATTAATTTGCATTTAATCATGGGCTCTTTGTGGGATCTTCCCACTTCTTGCCCTTCTCCATTCTCGATTTTTCAGTTCTTTAATCGATCTGCCAGCCCTGCATATTCGAAGAGTTCAATATATCGCCACTTGATATATGACGTCATTTGCATGCATGTCAAGAAAGCTTACTCCACTGAACAAAAACTGTTAATTTGTAAACAATACAATGAAGAATTTCTTAAATATTTGCTTTTTGAAATATTTTATCGTTGCCTGTACAATCATTTAGTTCCTTCTCTTTTTTTAATAACATTTTTACAACTAATCTTTCTTAGCAAATTTTGTCTTCTGTTTGTTTTTTAAAGAATTCAGATAATATTATTTGTTTTTTTCTGAGTGATATTAAAAGTTTAAGAACTTTTTCGTTTGGTTGGAACCCATGTTTTTGGGTTCCGTTATGGGTCGTGTGTCGTAGACATGTTTACGAGTTTCTTGATAGCACTGTAAGAGCCGGACTTCTCTGTTACATCACTTGGTGGAGCATTTGTGGATCGGAGAAACCAGTTCTGCACTCAATTACGGAGCTGAATGGGGATAAAAGAATGTGTAGAACAAAAGGCCGACAAAAACGACTCCCTCAGGGAAAGGAGAAAAAACTTCAAGAAAGTCAATGACTTTTGATACCCATCAATATATTGCAATCAATGTAAATGAGCATTATTTAAGGATCTAAGTCTACATGATGATGAAATAATTTATGTTATTAACAATATTAATTAACTGGAAAACGAAAGTCAACCCACACATATTTTTGTTTATGAAGCAACCCATTACTCAGATAAATACATTGTTTATCAATAAGCACTAATTAGTTTATCTAATCTATCTAATAATACGTTTGTTCCAACACACAATCAAATTTGTTATTAGGATTCCCCTCCTTTATCAAAAAATCTATCCATATATAACTATCTATAGGTTCTATATAACAGGTATCTGCGGGTTGAGAGCCTTATCAAATTCGTTCTCACTTGCTGATACCTTAAATAGACGTAGCATAATCTTGGGCGTCTGCCGATTTGTTTGAGGTGCTAAAAAGAAATAGGTAAAAAAGGTAAAAAGACTGCAAAAGGTAGGGCCCCCATTATGTCATACACTTATATATGGCTCTCGACTATCCACATCAATCTGTCCTACGTGCAATTAAACAATTATGTGACAAACATCGACTTGCAGTAAGCTCAACCTCCAAGACTCCAAGACGTGTCTGCTGGCCTCTTCGAGAATTCCTGGGAAGTCTTCTCGTCGGCAAACATTTCGTAATTAGTCAGGCATTCGATTTTTACCCCAACTCCCTCCCATCGAACCCAATTTCGAACTGAGCAAGAGCAGATGGAAACAATAGCGACATCAATTGAAAACGAGTGTGTTTGTGTACTTACAATGTTTGCCTGCCGGCAATGACTTATTTAGCGCACTGATAGCACATTATAACACAGTGCTAATGTGCACTGGAGTAGGTCTCTGAGTCGAGGCTCAAAATTTTAACTCAAGCTCAGCCTTATTTCAAAAGCAAGCCAGTCATCTAGAATTCTCCAAAGCATTAAGTTCTAATTACTGCACTGGGTGGAGAACTTTCAGCAATCGTGTTTCTCATAGTTAAAGTGAAAGTGATGAACTTAGTTTTGACCTGTGTTTACAAAAGAAGTATTTTATAAGCCAATGACTATGGAAATAAAATCTTTAGTCTATGGTCTAATGGAAGACAATACTCCGAGACGTTCAAATATGATTTATGGAGAGTAAGCAATATTTAATTATATTGATCATAACTACCTAACCATCAAGATCAGTTTTATGATTAATTCATAATAAATGTGTGAATGGTTATTCTGTTCTCTTCACACTATTATATATAAATTAATCATTAAATTGATCTTAACGAAAATATTTTTTTCATTTTATCTCTTAAAGCGGAATTAATAAATAATTTACCCATATGTCAGTAAATCCTGTTTTCATATTTAAAATCAACAACCTTTAAATATGTATGCAAATTATGATTCATATTCCAAAAAAAATGACTTACTTCTAAAAAATGTGTTATTTTGATTCTGATAAATTTTTTTTCCAATTCTTATCTACAAGAAAAAGGCTTGTACAAAAAAAATCTTTTACATGCATAAAGAGTATATAATTTAATATCTAAATTGCATTAAAGACTTCCAGATTGAAGTAGCTACATATTTTTCATTATATGGTGCACAATTGAATTTATCTAAATTGTAATTAAAAATATACTTGATTCACGACTGTGATTCATGGCAAATATCTCGAACCTTTCAAGTCGGAGATGAGAACATATAACTTCAGGACTGACGCATACGAGCCATATACCATACCAATCGTGATCTCAGATACTGAAGCCCCGGAATTCTTTGCTTTGCTGCGTTTTTGTCATGGTTTTCTAAATCGGGTCCCGAGTTTATTCGCAAAAGGCACTATCTAATCGGGGTGCTGACTGATTGGCGGCGGCCCATTGCTCTCCTCCTCATAGCCATAGGTATTATTATCGTTGATAAATGTGCCGACTAAAAAAACAACAACAGAAATATAGAAACAACAGAAACAGCGACATCGACAACGACGAGGCCAATTGATATGTAGAGTGGAGAAGTATTGATGGTTAAAACGCCTCAACTTCCAACGGATCGGTTTAGTTTGCCAACGAATATGAGCGAAATCTGACATCTCCTCCAGAGATTCCAGTCCCCAGTTCTTGTGTAAATAATCTTGATCGAAACGGAATAAGGATAATCGAATAACCATGACCAGGTAGAGATCGATGTAAACAGAACTTATGTTTTGAAATAGTTAAATGTGATTTAGTGACCTGATTGATTTATAATCAAAGTGCTCTTCGTAAATCGCTATCATGGTGCTTTTACTACGGAAATATCATAGAAAAGAAGATTTTAAAGTTCGGACATTCCATTTCGGGTATTTCTGACCGCAAAGTCTATTGCATAATCTTCTTTTTATGGATTTACCAGTCGCGTATCAGCAGAACTCGAGCAGTCATCCAATAAAGCCAACTCTATACCTCGTTCCCCATGAAATATGGCATTGATAAGGTGAATTGCACCTGCCCTCACCATTAGTTCTATACTTCTATAAATATCAAAGACTGGATTGCATTGACTCTGAGATAAAGCATTATTGGATATGTCTGATGAAGTCATGGTACTCGGAATGGACTATAATAAAGTTCATTCATGGGTCATTGTCATTCACTGCTGAAGTCTTCATTTCCGCAGGGTTCTCATAAATTATTGTTCGTGTACTATATAAACTTTACGTAAATCTTATCTATGGGTTTTCGGCTTTCTGTGGGGCTTTACTATGGTGCTTCTCAAGAGGTTTGTTCTAATCAAGGCGGTCAAACATGGCAACCTTTTCAGATTAGGTTCGTGAAAGATAAGGCTTTAACAAGAGGTTTTTCTTGAGAAGGTGGAAAAATCACATTTAACTTTTCTGGAAATTCCATATCATTTATAGGGGATCTGTTGGTTAAACTTTGCTTTACATATTTATGAGGAACCTTGATGCTAATCAATAAATTTGTGTTGCAAAACTTTTTGAACATCTATTGATCTTTCCAATCTATTTTATTATTTTAGTTATACTACATTACCCAACATGGAGACGGGTTTGCACGAACGAGATCGTGCTGGTGTCCAGGACTTTGTGCTCCTCGAGAACTACCAGAGCGAAGAAGCCTTCATCGAGAACTTGAAGAAGCGATTCCAGGAGAACCTAATTTATGTGAGTATATCACATATATTCCATACTTAAAATCAACTATTTAAATCCATTTCTTTTTATAGACCTACATTGGCCAGGTGCTGATCTCTGTGAATCCCTACAAGCAGCTGCCCATTTATTCCGATGCTCATGTCAAGGCCTACAGGAATAAACACTTTTACGAGATGCCTCCACATGTGTGAGTACCAAATTGGTAGTATTTAGTACCTTAGAACTATTGATTTATACCTAATCCGCTCCAGCTTCGCGGTGACGGACAATGCCTTCCGTTCGCTGATCGAGGAGAACCGTGGCCAGTGCGTCCTGATCTCCGGCGAGAGTGGTTCCGGCAAAACGGAGGCCTCCAAGAAGGTGCTGCAGTTCATTGCCGCCTGCTCCGGCAACCAAACCACCGTCGAGGGTGTCAAGGACAAGCTGCTGAAGAGTAACCCGGTGCTGGAGGCCTTTGGCAATGCCAAGACGAACCGCAACGACAACTCCTCCCGCTTCGGCAAGTACATGGACATCCAGTTCGACTTCAAGGGTGCCCCTATCGGAGGCAATATCCTCAACTACCTGCTGGAGAAGTCGCGTGTGGTGGCCCAAATGGGTGGCGAGCGCAACTTCCACATCTTTTACCAACTGCTGGCCGGAGCCGATCAGACTCTGCTGCAGGAACTGCGTCTGGAGCGGGCTCTGGACAAATATAGTTACCTGTCCGACGGGGTAAGTGGGTCTACGTTTAACAATTCATTATCGTCTAAACTCTAATCCAGGGAACGTAACTATCATAACTTTTATGAAGAAATGTCACAAATAATCTTTATTAGAGATTTTGTTTTTCTTTTTTTTATTATTAAACATATTTTTTTGAATCTGAAATAGTCAAGTAGTAGTATTACAATATATAGAACTCAATTCCTTCGTGACAGTGTTACAACTTAATAACCATATTTGTTGACCCTTCCTCTCATCACATCCACAGCTGAATGGCAGTGTGACGAGCATCAACGATGCGGAAAGCTTCAAGCAGGTGCAGCAGGCGCTCAGTGTGATCGATTTCAGCAAGGAGGAGCAGCGCGAAATCTTCGGGATTGTGGCGAGTATCCTGCACCTGGGCAACATCGCCTTCAACGAGGTGGAGGGCAATGCCAAGGTGAACAGTCGTGATCTGGTGGTGACCGCCGCCCGATTGCTGGGTGTGAATGCCAGTGAATTGGAGGCCGCCTTGACGCACCGCACCATCGATGCTCGCGGGGATGTGGTGACCTCACCGCTGAACCAGGAGCTGGCCATCTATGCCCGGGATGCCCTGGCCAAGGCCGTCTACGATCGTCTGTTCTCATGGCTGGTCCAAAGACTGAATATCTCGCTGCAGGCCAAGGAGACGCGGGGAGCCAGGAACAATGTCATGGGCATCCTGGACATCTATGGCTTCGAGATCTTCCAGAAGAACAGCTTCGAGCAGTTCTGCATCAATTTCTGCAACGAGAAGCTGCAGCAACTGTTCATCGAGTTGACCCTGAAATCGGAGCAGGATGAGTACCGAAGGGAGGGCATCGAATGGATACCCGTGGAGTATTTCGACAACAAGGTGATTTGCAACCTGATCGAGGAGAAGCACAAGGGCATCATATCCATACTGGACGAGGAGTGCCTGCGTCCGGGAGAGCCGACGGACAAGACCTTCCTGGAGAAGCTCACGCAGAAGTTGTCGCTGCACCATCACTATGTCTGCCACGAGAAGGCACCTGCCCACATCAAGAAGATCATGTTGCGCGATGAGTTCCGTTTGGTTCACTATGCCGGCGAGGTCACCTATTGCGTCAATGGCTTCCTGGACAAGAACAACGATCTGCTGTTCAGGGATCTGAAGGAGACGCTCAGCAAGGCGGGCAATGGCATTGTGAGGAGTTGTTTCCCCGAGCAGGAGCTGCGTAGCCTGAAGCGTCCGGATACGGCCATCACCCAGTTCCGTGCCTCGCTCAACAACCTCATGGACATCCTGATGTGCAAGGAGCCCAGCTACATTCGATGCATCAAGCCAAATGACCTCCAGACCGCCTCGGTGTTCAACGACGAGCTGGTGCTGCATCAGGTGAAGTATCTGGGACTGATGGAGAACTTGAGGGTGAGGCGAGCTGGTTTCGCCTACCGTCGCACCTATGACCTCTTCCTGGAGCGCTACAAGTCGCTAAGTAAGTCCACCTGGCCGAATTACAAGGGAGCCGGTGGCTCAAAGGCTGGTGTGCAGCAACTGGTCAAGGACTTGGGCTGGGACGAGGAGAAGTACCGGGTGGGTGAGACGAAACTCTTCATCCGCTGGCCCAGGACCCTGTTCGATACGGAAGATGCCTACCAGGCCAAGAAGCATGACATAGCGGCCATTATCCAGGCCCATTGGAAGGGATTGATGCAGCGGCGGAAGTATCTGAAGCTCAAGGCCCAGGTGATCGTTCTGCAGAGCTACTGCCGCCGGCGGTTGGCCCAACAGGCGGCCAAGCAGCGCAGGGAGGCGGCCGACAAGATTAGGGCCTTCATCAAGGGCTTCATCACACGGAACGATGCGCCCAACGGCTTCAACGAGGACTTCATTGCCAATGCCAAGCGGATGTGGCTGCTGCGGCTGGCCAAGGAGTTGCCCACCAAGGTGCTGGACAAGAGCTGGCCCCATGCCCCGGGACACTGTGAGGAGGCCTCCGTCATCCTGCACCGCCTGCATCGCCTCCATTTGGCCCGGATCTATCGCCTCAAGCTGACGCCCCAGCAGAAGAGGCAATTCGAGCTGAAGGTGCTCGCCGAGAAGGTCTTCAAGGGCAAGAAGAACAACTACGCGGCTAGTGTGTCCACCTGGTTCCAGGAGGATCGCATCCCCAAGGAGCACATCCAGCGGGTCAATGACTTTGTGGCCAGCACCTTTGGCAGCGAGCAGCTGAAGTACCAGTCCTTCTGCACCAAGTTCGACAGGCATGGCTACAAGTCGCGCGATCGCTTCATCCTGCTGAGCAACAAGGCTGTCTATGTCCTGGACGGCAAGACGTACAAGCAGAAGCACCGCCTGCCTCTGGAGAAGATCGACTTCACGCTGACCAACCACAACGATGACCTGATGGTCATCCGGATACCGCTGGAGCTGAAAAAGGACAAGGGTGACCTCATCCTCATCATTCCGCGCATCATCGAGTTCAGCACGTATATTATCGACACCGTGGGAACGGCTCAGATCATCTCCATTGTGGACAGAAATTCGTGAGTTCCCAAAATGTTATAATTTAATACATATATTATAATGGAATATGGTGCTTTCAGGCTGGAGCACAACGTGGTCAAGGGCAAAGGCGGCGTCATCGACATCCAAACGGGCGCCGAGCCGGGTGTGGTTCGTGATAAGGGCCATCTTGTTATTGTAAGTGACGTTTATTCCAGAGAGAAATGACGCCTCTTATCGCTGACCTCATTCCTAATTATTATTTCTCATTGCAGATTGGAACGCAATAAGGAATTTACTATGACTTTCAACAACAGAAAAAAGTGGCTTTAAATCAAACGACGTTTGTTTTGTTATATTCGTGTAATTTATACTGTACCTATGTATTTTTGTTACTGCAATTGAATTTTATATGACTAATGTTCCAACCTAATGTATATTGTTTATAAAGAAGTACTTATAAATATATGACAGTTTGTATATGAGTTGGGCTCTTCTCATTTTGAATTGGCCTGCTATCACACACGTGCATTTTTTTGCAATGCGTAAACGTGGCTCTTTAGCCGTATCTCTATTAATGTCTTATCTTGTAAAAATTTCAAAAAGTCCGCTTATTCGATTGGTGAAACAAGCAATCGATTAAAAATATCGATTTGACAGCTGCTTGCAGTGTTACCAATGTATATTGTTTATAAAGAAGTACTTATAAATATATGACAGTTTGTATATGAGTTGGGCTCTTCTCATTTTGAATTGGCCTGCTATCACACACGTGCATTTTTTTGCAATGCGTAAACGTGGCTCTTTAGCCGTATCTCTATTAATGTCTTATCTTGTAAAAATTTCAAAAAGTCCGCTTATTCGATTGGTGAAACAAGCAATCGATTAAAAATATCGATTTGACAGCTGCTTGCAGTGTTACCAGTCGATTTTCAGATTTAGTATTTTTTAAAATTTATTTGCCCCAATCATCAAGTATTTGGTTTCACACCGCCTCTGGTCACACTGTCACTTGCTGTCTTTCACTTGCTCCAGAACTTTTACATAATCTTGAAAAATCAGTGTAAATATTGCTCAATTTTCGTGCCCAGCATTTGTGCACCGCCTGGAAAGACGCGATACTGAACCGGGTGTATTTCCGTTGCAGGAGAACCGAGATGTCGTTCACACAGATCGCGCGCAGCTGCAGTCGACTGGCGGCGACTTTGGCCCCCCGAAGGATCGCCCCCGGCGTCCTCGTCCAGTCACAGGCCTCCAGGATGATGCACAGGATCGCCGTGCCCTCGATGGCCTGCCAATTGAGCCAAGTAAGCGAATGACCAAGGGGCGTTACTTCCATCAGGACACTTAATCGATCGATCCATCAATTCGCGACCTAACCTCATTGGCGTTTTGGGATCTGTATGGTTCCAAAACGTAACCCTCAGGTCTTCAGTCCTCCAAACTGCAGTAGAACCTCGCCATGTGGCAGTCGAACCACCCAAATTGATTGCATCACATTGTTTTGCATAAAACATGATTGTTTCAGTCTATCGCACACACACCTGCAACGCCGGTGCGTGCCTGTGTGTGTGTGTGTTTGATAGTGCTACAGTGGAAATTGGCTAGCAAAGAAAAAAAATGTTTTTAAAATCAACCAATTGATGTGATTCTAAGCAGCCCACGTTCTAGTAGTTGAGAGCAGTATAGCTAGTTCAAGTCTTGGTTTTTCTAATTTTTAATACCTAGCACTTGAACACTTAAAGATTGTAAAAGATATGATAGTATACTTATTATTGTTTAACGTTGATGCACTAAAAAAAATCAAAACAAGTGGCGAAACGAAAACAAGCACAAGCTTATTACGCGCTTGGCCTTTCAGCACTTTATTTTGTTTTAATTGTTTATCTTAAAAGTAAACAAATATTTATTTAGTAAAAAAAAAAATTATACTTTTCAGAAAATATCGATGTCATAATAATGCGGTGGGCTCATATTCTCTTTTAAACATGACAAGACCACATTTTTTTTATCTATAATTATTATTGTTTATTTAAGTCTAGTCTCCACTTTATACTACCTAAATTTGTTGGGAAAAATCTTATATGTATATACAAATCAACTAAGGACCATATTGATTCACATTTAAAGCAGCATAAACTGTCATTAAACTTGTAATTCGCAGAAGTTCGGTGTGCGCTGCTATTCGGCCAAAAGCACCATCGAGGACATTAAGTTCCGCGTGTTGAAGGTTGTGTCCGCCTACGACAAAGTCACCGCCGATAAGGTAAACTATCCACTTCCATGGCGCCACTAACTCGGTCTCTGTGTTTTGATCTTTTCTTTTGGGCCTACCTCCAACCGCAACCAAACCAGGAGTGCAGAGGTCGCTGGCAAACGCAATCGGTGCGCAGATACTCGGCGAAACCGCCGCTCTCGCTGAAGCTGATCAATGAGCGCGTCTTGCTTGTGCTTAAGCTCTACGACAAGATCGATCCCAGCAAGGTAAAAACGCCACAGCCACATATTGCCTTTGCCAGTGCAATGGTCGCCACCACAGAGAACTGAACAAAGCTCAGTGAAAGTGCAATGCATAATGCTAATCGCTTGACATTACAGCTCAACGTTGAGTCGCACTTCATCAACGACTTGGGACTGGACTCCTTGGACCACGTGGAGGTCATCATGGCCATGGAGGACGAGTTTGGATTCGAGATCCCCGACTCCGATGCCGAGAAGCTGCTTAAACCTGCCGACATTATTAAGTACGTCGCCGACAAGGAGGATGTGTATGAGTAAATTGTAATTGTAATGCAAATGCAAACCATTAAACGGATTACACTTTAATTTAAATAGAAAACAAGTCAAATACAATTTGAACAACTGAATAAACCAAACGTTAAAAAAACCTTTTTTGTAAAAAAGTGGTAAGAAGTGTTAAAGAATTGGCTTAGAAAAGACAGTTTGGAAATGCAACAATATAATTCTATTTAAAAGACAAAATTAATTTTTAGCGGTACAACTTAAATAAGCGTTAAGCAAATAATAAAAAACTAAACGTACATTAGGAATATTTTTAGAATTGTTACAAGTAATAAGTCTTATCTCGAAGTTCAACAAACATAATTAATTTAAATTTCGATAAATACGGAGCAACTTCGATAAGCATGGTATTTTAATAGCTCTGTTGCCACGGTCACTCTGTTTCTCTGGCAAAACAAAACAACAAATTCGAAATGGGCGACGCTGTTGACAAAATGTTGGCGGGAATGGGTAAACATTATCTAATTAATAACCAAAACTAAATACTAAGATGGCTATGCATTGCAGCTGCCAGTCGGCAGACCATGAACAGACAGTTGGCCAAGATAGACGAGATAATGGAGCGATCGAACAACACACTGCTCCACATCGAGTCCAACAGCAAGAACTTATGTCCCGCGGAGTCCCAAAAGGTGTACAACATATCGCCGAAGTGTGAGCTGGCCCTGTCCAAGATTCTGGAGAACTTCAAGCTGCTCATGCGCAGCAGCGACCAGCGGGAGGAGGCCTGCAGCGCCCTGGAGGGCTGTCTGGCCTATCGGCATCGCGTGGAACACCTCGGCAGCTCCGTCCGCAAGCTGGTGGCCCTCTACGAAACCGTTGGCCAGATGAGAAACCTCCAGGAGGATCAGGATGCTAGCGAGGATTCGCCTTAAGATGAAGATTAATAGTAGGATACGCATATAATTCCATAACTTCAGTTGGTTACATTTAATGTCTGTTAAATATTAAAGAATCCTGTTTCCCATGAGTTACTTTATTGCCCGGAATTGTTCAACAACCGTGCATACTTTGTAGTAATTCTATGATAAATATTGTAAGTCTCAATTTAGTCGGGAATTGTATGGTTAGTGGTAAGATCAACGAAATTATATAAATTTGTCGAAACGCTGAACTATTTACAAAACTCGTAGACCATTTTTAAAACATTTATTAGTAGTTTAAGAGTGTTTTAATAAACAATTCTTAAATGAACCAACTAAATAGCTTTTAAGTCTTAGATAATTGGCTAAGTAATTATATCAAGACCATGTTATAGCTGCTGATTTGGAGAAGAGCATAGTTGAGGACCTCGACGAACATTTCTAGGCGGGCGGCCAGACTCCCGTTGGCCAGGATCTCGCTGGGATTGGGCAGCTGAAGGCTGTTGGAGCGCAGGTAGTTCAGCTGCTCCATGTTGGCGGCGATGGTCAGTAGCTTCTCCTGCTGCTCAAGTGTAAATGGTTCCGGCGGGGATTCACCGTCGCTGGGCATCAACTTTTCCACCTGCTGTGCGAAGCCATGGAGCTGGCTCAACTTCTGTTTGTATATGGATTCGGTGGTGTCCAGGGCGGCGGCCTCGTCGTAGATCTTGGCCAGCTTTTGCTGGAAGGCCTTAAAGTCGTTGTACACATCCACGGCACTGCTCTGCTCCTCCAGACGCGTCAGGCTGAGCGAAGCATTGGATGTGTTGATGGCCACCGACTCATCCGCTCCTCGCAGCATCGTCGAGTTGGTGCGCTGCAGCTCCCGCTTCTTGGGCATCCGCTGCAAGTTGGCCGGGTACTCCTCCAGGGTCCTGAATAGCTCCGCATACTCAGACACCGAGCCCAGATCCTCGGCGGGCGTGCTGGTGGCCGCCTCCTCCTCCATCATCTGCTGCATACTGTCGAAGAAGGCACTCGGATTCATCACCGTCTTGGACACGCACAGCTCCTTCAGGCTCTTCACATGCTGAGCGTATTTCTGGTGCAGCTTCGATGATATCTTGCTAAAATCCACATTGACTTCCATTTTATGTGTGTTGCTGTTTACGCTTCCCTTTTTGATGACTTCTTTTGAATGTCTTCCGCCGAAATTATCGGAAATCGATAACATTAAAGATGGCGGTTAAATTTAAGAAATTATTTAAGTATGTTTGCAATCAGTCTTAATTTTATGACAAATTAGTTTATACAGGAAGTGAAGAACTACAAGTAAATTAAATCAAATTTAAGGCAAATGTCCACTGTTGTTATTATATTGACTGACTTTTAAATATCCTACAGGGGACTTAACAAAGTTTTCTAAACATACTTCGTACTGTTCTCTAAAAATTACTTAAGTAGATAAGGTTTTTTATTAATTTCCCAATCGTAAACTTTCAACAGGGCAATCATCCGTACTCGGACTGAACAGTTAGAGAGAACTGTCCCTTGGGAATGGTATTGGCATGGTACCAGATGCGTGTATCCACAAGGACAGCATCCCCGGGCTCCACATAGAAGGAGAAGGGCTGACACTGGTGATCACACTCGGGGGCGGGGGCCAAAAACCAGCTCTTGTTGCCCTTTAGCTGCGCCTGCCACATCAGGCGGGGGATGTAATCCAGCTAACAAAATCGGGAGATTAGTCTTGAATTGTTTGATATCGCAGGCCGTTAGACTTACATGCATCACAGCTCCCTGCTCGTAGCCCATTAATATGAAATCCGCGTGGGGCATTTCGGCGTCGACAGGCAGGAAATGAGGGCGGGGATATAGTTTCCTGAGCTCCGCCAGGACAGCCGGCTGGCAGACGCTCCAGCCCACGAACCAGGATACCCCCTGGCTCAGATTCGAACGGTCTGCCGACATGGCAAACACATCCTTCAGAGTCTTGAGATCGGAATTGAAGTGCGAGAACTGGCAGTCCGACTCCATGGCGCCCGGGACCCTCTCGTACAGATCCTTGATGTGGGCGTAGCTGAGGTGCTTTTGGGCTGGCCAATGTGCCACTGCCCGCTTGACAATTATGGGCAGCGAGGAGTAGGCGTGTGGGGCAAACTGCTCCATGGTGAGATTGTCCAAGATCAGTGGTGCCCGCACGCCCTTGCAGAACTCGCAGTCGCTGATGGGTCGAGTGGCCTCCCAAACCAGGTAGTTGTTGGGCAAGAAGCAGCGCACGCCGAGCAGAAACGAGATGGTCTCATAGAAAACCGGAGTCGCCACCATGATGAAAAACACTATGCCCAGCAGCCAGAGCAGATTCAACCGGTTCGGGTTATGGTCCATGTCGCGTGTCTTACGGAACGCTTCCTCCAGCTCTTGTGTGGACACCAGTCCGGTCCGCATCACATTCCGGTGCAGTGCGTCCAGTTGATCGGCTAAATCCGCGCCAAGACGCTCGCGAACCGCCTGCATGCGATTGCCCAGCGTCCGCGTGGGACGACTGATGAACTGGTGTAAGGCAGGATATAATAAATATTTTTTATTTGCCTAATTATTATAGCTACTTTCTCACCAAAAACATTTTTTAATCCGTTTGTTGTTAGTTAGGCATCCCCTTTGTTTTGCTTTGCTTCCGAACAGCTGATACCGATAGGTTGGGCGCGAGACCACTTGTTATCGACTTTAGAGTTGCATTTCTAAGTGGTATTTTTAGGTGTTCTTTTTTTAATTTCAATATGTTTTAAATTTATTATGCATTCTATTTTTAAATTTAGATCAACATGAAGTTTATCAGTATGGAATTTATCCAAGAAGACGGAAAGATATAAGTTACATACATTGTAAATTAAACCAAGTGCTAAGTGTAAATTGTTATTATTTGTTATATTAAGTTTATATCAGTTACAAATGTTATAATAATAATGTCGATTGCCTTAAACCTTTCGTATAAGTTATGGGTTTATAGGAAATATGTATAATTTTAAAACTATAACTTACTTTTAACATTTATTTCTTGACCACAGTATTTTAAGGAATGTGGCGCTACGTCTGGCCCCAAATAGTTGGCAATCACTTGGCAACCCTGGCCGCCGTGCTTTGTATATTTTAACGGTCCGCCCGCGGTCACACTTAGTCATTCACTTTTTTGCTCGGTCGTAGTATCGGCCAGCAGCATAAGATTTCGAAATATTGGGTTAAGCCACCGATTAGTACAAAGCCAACGTGACTAAAACTCAACTATGTGTCTTGATTAGTGCGTGCATTAACGTTTTCATTCATCGTTCATCACTTACCAAGGCTCCCCCGCTTCCCCTCTCTTTCGCACCCTCGTCTCTTGTGGCTGCCAACGTGACCCCGAAAGCTGTCCTTCTCGCGCACACTTTCACTTTGGCCCAGCAACAACAACGAACAAATAACCTAGCATAAACAATTATTGTGCAATACTGATTAGCGAAACTTTAAGGCGGATACAATGTCTTCGCAGGAAAAGGTTATACGCGTTGGATCGAGAAAGAGTGAGGTAAGTGGTCGTCTAGAATCAAAATATGCACATCCGCTTTGAATTAAAATGCTTTGGCTGCATTTGAATTTCCAATCACATTTGGTTGGTTGTCCCCTTCTCCTTCTCCTCAATTTCTTTAATTCAAGAGACTGATACTTGTTGCTCTCCGCGTGGCGTAGTTGTTGTACTTGCCCTGCTTTTTGATTACTGTTACACAATTCGCAATAGCAACAACACGCACTTTTGCACTGAAGAGAGAGGCAAAACTTATACAGTGCACACCCGAAATGGGAACTATTTGAAAAAAAAATTATTTCCTAAAAATGTCCAGTTTAAGTAATAAGAAACTACTTCTTTGCAGCGAAACCCAAATAATTCATATATGTAAAGAAATATTTTTACAAAAGTTCACATTGTCGTTGGTGCACTGTGCCCTTCATGTTTAAAAAATTTAAAACTGCTCGCTGCAGCAAAAACAAAATAAATAATGTATCTGGTTAATTTATTTCCTCGAAACTTCACATTATCGAGCCCGTACTTTACTTGTGTTTTTTTTTTTATGATTTTTATTAGGCCACCGCTCTCTTGATCTCCATTTCAAAACTTGATTTTAAGCTAAGCCTTTTAATAATTTTTGTGTTAATTGCGCTGAGCCACCTTTGATCGTGCTTAAAACGAAGGCCACCTGTGTGCTGTTGGCATTTTTATTTGAAATTACTTGACTTATTTGCGACTAAGTGCCCCACTCTCTCTCCTTTTCTCCCGGTTCATTTACATTTAGCATTTAAATAGGCACTCGTTTAATTGATTAAACTCTCCCCTCTTTGCAGCTGGCTCTGATTCAGACCAAACATGTCATCGGCCGACTGCAGAAGCTATATCCCAAGCAGAAATTCGAGATCCGTAAGTGAAAGTCGAGGCAAATATTGGGATACCGTCTGGAAGGGGAAACTCATGCCGCGTAAAGAGATATTGAAACTGGAAGGGGCTCGGGAATCGGAAGCTCTTCCAAGCGAACCACAAGCTCATGCGGCATGAAGAGCTATTGAAATTAAAAGCAAAGCATGACTCGTGGAAATTTCAGCCGGGGGAACCTTAGGCTTATCGCATATTTTGATAGTAGTTAAAACTAATTTTGCGATCGTTTTAATAAAATCGGTTGTTTTATTTCACCGGCTCTCTCGCTCTTTCGTCATCTCTTTCCCGCTCACGTGTCATTTTGGCAAAGTTTTCTCAATGTCAATGTCTGTTTGTTGGTTTTGTTAATGTCGAGATTAGGGCGAATGCCGAAAAATGTTATATCATACACAAACGTACATACAAACAGCGGGGGGTAGTGAAAAAGTACTCGGCATTTATATTTTTTCCATTAGTTACTGAACTGGTTAGTTTGGATATGAATCACAGACTATGATAAAAGGTAGTAATTTATTTGATATTATCCCGTAGTTGAGACCATTTTATTAATTTTAAATTTCAGAACAAATTCTTTCTTAAAACTTATTAATATTACTTTTTAAATACAGAATAGGTTTAGAGCCTATTGCATTTTTTAAAAAGTTATATTTTAAAATATATACTATGGATTTGAAATAAGTTTAGATACAAGCAAACAAAATGACTTTTTATTAAAATATTATGTTCTACATATTGAAAATAGGAACTAAATTAATTATTTAATTAAAGAAGTACAGGTACTATTGGTGTGCCGAGTGCTGTAGAAATATGCACTCCACCATTACGTGTCGATATTATGTTTGGATCATATCATACCCCTCCGGTTTATCTGATCGCTGCGTTTCTGCCACTGATAAAGTAGAAATTTTCGATTAGATTCACACTTTCTGTCGACACAACAGGAATATCTGTTGAAATTTTATTTAAACAGGCATGTTGAGTACCTTTGAACCCGATAAGATTGGCCAGCTATTGAAATATTTTTAGAAGCCTTTAGCATGAGTCAGTTTGATTTATGGTTTTTGCATAGCAAACACGAACAAATTTTATCATACTTGGATTAGTTGCCTCTAACTTTCCTTATCGAAATTCAATTAAAATGTATTTAAGCAAGTGCTTTTGTTCCAAACCTCACACGCAATATCCTCTTTTGATATGTATGTATGTATATTTATTCGAATCGAATTCCCGGTCAGATAAGCAAAACAATTGGAAAAAGACATTATCATTGCGTGTCTTAAAAGGAAGAAGGGGAAGTTGGAGCGATATGAATATCTAGTTTGCATGTCTTGTTTGATTGCCGTCATTAATTTTAGATTCTTGGTGTGCTACTGGGGGTCCCTTATCAGGCGGTGATGACATAACAGCCTGCAATTATAGAACACGTTCCCAAGATGATCATTTCAAGATGTTTTCCCATCTAAAGATGGGATTTGTTAAGCATATATTTTTAAATAGTTGATGGAAAATAAAAATACCTAATAATTTTGCTATCAACATTTATTTTTATTATTTACCTGGTAACAATAATATTTTACTCTTTTAATTTACAGACACGATGTCGACCTTTGGTGATCGTGTGCTGAACGTTTCTCTGCCCAAGATTGGTGAAAAGAGCCTGTTTACCCGTGATCTTGAGGATGCACTACGCAACGGCGGCGTTGACTTTGTGGTGCACTCGCTCAAGGATTTGCCCACGGCACTGCCAACAGGAATGGCCATTGGAGCCGTCCTAGAGCGAGAAGATGCCCGCGATGCGCTGGTCCTGCGGGAGAACTTTAAGGGTCACACGATAGCTTCACTTCCCCAAGGCAGTGTAATTGGTAAGTTTGCATACAAGTCTATACATTCTGATTGTGATAACTAATTAAAATTATAAATATTTACTTAGGAACCTCGTCTCTTCGCCGCACGGCTCAGATCCGGAGGATGTATCCCCATTTGATCGTGTGCGATATTCGTGGCAATCTAAACACTCGATTGGCCAAACTGGATGCCGCCGATTCAAAGTTCTCTGGCATCATTCTCGCCCAGGCAGGCCTGGTGAGAATGGGCTGGATGAGTCGCATCAGCCAGGTGCTGGAGCCGACCGATCTGCTCTATGCTGTGGGCCAAGGAGCCCTAGCCGTGGAATGTCGGGCTAATGATGATCAAGTGCTGGCCATGCTGCAGAAACTGATGTGCCTGAACACAACGTGCCGAATTCTGGCAGAGCGCAGCTTTCTGAAGACCCTGGGAGGCGGTTGCTCTGCCCCAGTGGCTGTTTGGAGTAACCTAAAGGGAGAACCCTTAAATGGAAATAGCCAGGAGGTTGGACTCTCCCTCACAGGCGCTGTTTGGAGTCTGGACGGGGCCATAGAGATACGAAATCACCTGGCTTGTGCCTTAAATGAGGCGAAATTGGAGGTGGAGCAGCGAAAACGTGGTGCCCAGGAAAGCGCTAGCCAGCAAGAGGAGGAGAACAGCAGCAGTTGCGATTCCCCGCCAGCTACGAAGCGTGCTAGAAATGGTAACGATAGCTCCGGATCGGATTCCAACTCGAGTAGCCCTCGGCAGCAGGGCAGTCCGCCGGTGATCTGCGAGGATATTGCCGCCTGCGAGGCTCTTTCCGGTTACAGTGTGGACCAGCTCTCCGATCTGGCCAGTCAGTGTCCAGTGCTCAACACCAGCAGTGCTCTGGGACCAGCCGCCACCGGTGGTGGCGATGCGGATACCAGCAATGCCAATACAACTGCCCGGCAGTGTCCGCTGCGTTTGGTGGCCGGTCAGGATGTCATGGGCCAGTGTCCAGTGGCGCACAATCAGCCAAAGGCACCCGCCAAGTGTCCAGTGGCTCATGCTGCCTCCGGGGATTCTTCCGACACAAACAATGGCAATGGAAATGAAGCCGTCACCACTGCCCACTGTCCGCTCCAGATGCCCGTGGGCCAGGACTTTATGGGCGAATGTCCGTACGTTAACAAGGAGACCAAGATATCCTATGCCCAGGCAGGCAAGTGTCCAGTGACGGGAGGTGTGGCCGCAGCACCGGCTTCCATTCTGCCCACGCCACCAAGCAGCAGAGCCAGTAATGCCAGCAGCGTTGGGGATGAAGTGGACAATGTGGCCACTTCCTCCAAGTGTCCATTTGCGGCGATGCACCAGGGCAGCGGTCTGGAGGCGAAGGCAAAAGATAATGGCAACACAACACAGGCCAAGTGCCCGTTCCTGCAGAAAACGGTTCAAATGTTCGACTACGCCGACGAAGAGCAACCGACGCCGCAGCACTCGGTGCTCATTGAGGACGTGCAGAACCTGTTCTGCGGTCTCTACCAGCACGCCTGCCACAGTAGGGGGATCTACGAGAGGGCCAACCAGCTGGGCAAGACGCTGGCCGAGGACCTGATCAAGCGGGGTGCCCTGGATGTTATGAAGGTGGCCCAGGCCGAGATTCACGGCAAGGTGGCGACGTCTTGAGTAGTAGACCAGCATCTTGAACCCAACTTGTCCCACCTCCGTTCGCCCTTCATCGATATATCATTGTTTACATTAAGTAGAAAAGTGTAACTAGACAATACTGTTTATATTTCCCCTCGTTGTTAAACTTGTGTGGAAAATCCATACCCATGCTTCCCCCGATCTATCATCTGTATTGTATTCAATCCTTGTGCTCTTCTAGCGAATGGCTCTCGCATATTGTTGGTTTCCGCGTACACGCTCTTTTAGTTTTGTTTATGTTTGGGGAATATGACAAATAAATGTATAAGAATACTTAACTAATGTTGGTGTTTTTTCCTTGAGCGAGTAAAAAAACTTTTTCGTATGTCGTAGTCATTTGACATTTTTTATTAACAGTTGAATTTTTAGTACAAAAATAGTCACTTAAGGTGAAAGGGATTTGCATACTCTTGGTGAGTACTTCATTTCCTATTAAAGGGTATGTCCAGTCTTCTCCTACTACTTCATTTCGTAGTTAAGATTATGTGTCAAAAGATAAAGATGTCTTTGTACATTGCAATTTAAAGTTGTTCTTATAAATCATAAAAGACAAGTAAAAACTTTACCAAAATTCAAACGTAAATCAATAACCTAACTATAAAACTAATTAGGTCAAAAAGTGATGAATTAAAAAAAACAAAAGCGGCCCTAAGCATACTGGTGGCGCTTGCGCAGATGCGAGCTTAGGTAGTTGGCATCGGAGAAACTCTTCTTGCAGTTTGCCACGCCGCAGGGAAGTGCGTCCACGGCACCGCACTCGGAAAAGTGGCCCACGTAATCGAGATGGCTGCTGAAAATGTTATAACAGTTTGGACACTTCAGAACCGAGGCGTGTTTCTTGTGGACATGTTCATGTAAACGCTGCACCGAGTAGAACGGCTTTGCGCACTGGTTGCAGCTGAGGCTGGACGTGGACTCGTCGGCGGTTGAGTCCGTAACGGACTCCAGGCGGGCCTTCTTGTGCGGCTTAACGTTATGGTTTATCTCTTCCATCCACTGGTCACTGGACAAGTACCCAGATTTGTTCTGCTTCGTACGTTTCTCAGCCTTTGAAGGCGATTCCCCATTGGTTGTGGCCACAGAAGTGTCCAGCAAACCGGACTTGCTCTTTTTGGCCTTCTTGAGGGGCGACTGAGGAGCGGGCATGGCTCCATCAACCTGGTCTTGCTCCCTTTCTATCTTTTCTTCCCTAGGCATCTCGTCATTATCAGCCATTTTGTTCCATTCGACACTACTCTCAATCTCCACGATTTCCTCCTCGGCCTGCAGGATCTTTCGCTTGGTGGAATTTGCTTGCTCAGCACCCTCGCCGTGCAGATTCATGTGCTTATTTAGAGACTGTTTGGTGGTCAGACTCTTCTCGCAAACGTTGCACTTGAAGATCTTTGGCTTGTCGATGCCATGGGCGGTCTTCATGTGATCTTGCATCTGCTTAGCGGTAGTCAGCTCGCAGTCGCAAATGTCGCACTGGAAATCTGAGGACTCTGCCCTGGGAGTGGATGCACTGGATCCGTTGATGGCAAATGTGTATTCCGGATCGATCAGCTTATCGAACATTTTCTGCTTAATCGATAACTCGTTAAGGGCTTTGAAAGTGGCCAAATCGCGCTGGTTGGTTTCCTTGCCATTCATTGCTTTGCTCACAACCTGTTCACCCAATGACTTTGATTTCTTTGGGCTATCCGTAGACTTGATTTCCATAACCTCCTCTGGTTTTTTTGCTTTAGGCTTAACTTCCTTTGGCTTACGGTTCTGAGTCTTTGGTTCCTCCTGAACCATTGGCTCCTTGGGATCCTTTGCATCAACCGTTTGCTGGCCCTCTGATTTGTTTTGCTTCGACTTGGCCGCCTTCGGTCCGCTTTCGATTACGAGCGAATGGACCAATAACAAATGATCTTTCATCGTTTTGAGGACTCCAAAGCTCTTGGGGCAGCGGGGACAGGAGTAAATGCGTGGCCGCTGCTGACCGTGTTCTGTGTGCAAATGTTCCTTGAACTGTTTGGGATACTTCGAAGCGTATTCGCAATAATTGCACTTGAAGTTATTGGTCTCGATGTTGATCGTCTTTGTAGCTCCCTCTTCGGTTTCCCCCTCCTCGCTTTCGGATGTCAGTTCAGCGGCATCGTCATCGCCATCGCCGGTGCCAAAGAGCTGCTTGAAAGCCTTCTTCTTTGGCGACACCTCCTTGGCGGGCGTCATCTTTATGGAATCCTCGAGAAGTCGCGATTTGGCGGAACCATCAAGTTTCTTATGAAGGCCCTTGGCAGTTGTAGACCCTGTGAAAAGTGGTGTTTCTGGTACCGCGGCAATCGACTTGCTGCGCTGGCGTATGGTAGTGTTCCGATTCGGCTTAGAAACAACGCCTGGCCGTTCTTCATCGCTGGATTTAAAATTCAGCTCCTCGCTTCTCAGGCCGAGAGCAATCCTGGCCACCATATTTTTGGACTTCTCGATTACCTGGGTGACTGACAGCAAATTCGAGGCGCAATGGAAGCATACCCTTACGGCCGCGTTGGCCGGGTGCTGAAAGGGGGATGTGGAGGGGGAAGGGCGGGGGTCAGTCAAGTAAGATTGGGAAATCAGAATACCGCCTTTTTCCACTTACGTTGCTGTGCGTGACGATCTCGAGCAGACCCACAATTTTGCGGCCCATGGCGAATACCTTCTGGCCGGAGAACATGTTCTTCGCCTCGTCGCTGCTGTGGCAATAGTCGCATAGTACCTCTTTTTTCGGCTTGCTTGCCATCTTTTCACTCAGTTTTTCAATAAAAATCTAATTGACAGAACCAAATCGTGCGCACGTTTTCCTTTTTTTGTAGCCAGTGTGACCGCAGGACAGTTTATTAAATAACCAGCTTTTCAAAATAAACTGTAAGCACCATATCATCCGTAGTGTGACCAGACAATAAATGAGCTACGCGGTTAATTTTAAAAACGCATTTATATATAATAATATGATTGACTTGTAAAATGACTACAAAATTGGGGAGGAAAATATACTTGTAATAGGTAACAAAAGTGTTTGAGAAAATATATATTTTTTAAATAAACAGCTCATATCGCACTCATAGTACGACTTATTAAAGAGCAATTTGCTATCAATTTATTGACTTAAGAATAGCTATGATATTAAAAAAAAGAATTCTAATAAAAAATTTTCAAAATTGTTTTTTTTTAAACCAACACCATTTTCCAAAAGTTTCCATTAAAGTTCCACAACTTGGCCACACAGAACACAACATTCTGTTACCGCTCTGTTATGTAACAGCTCGATAAGTAATCGATAAATTAGCGCTACACTTCAAATATAGTTCGTAATTAAAAAGTATTTATTTTGGCATTAAAAGCTACAATAATGCATTATTGATATGTTGAATTTGTTTCTTTGTGTTGGTGCTGGACTGGATGGGCTGTGCCGCTACTTTGTCTTGGACTTTTTGTGACGATTTTCGCGCCTGAAAACAGAGAGATGAAAACATGTTATGAATGACAGTAAGAAATACGCCAAGTACAAGCAGTTTGCATTTGCTGTGTCTTATATGAATAGCTTTATTTGAATACTTTCTCTCACTTCTCTTTTCATTCATTCATAGGCATTATATATAGTACTTGTGTTGGTTTGTGTTGTGTGGTGTTCGATTTGTTTCAGTGTATGGTTGGGTGTGTACTTAGCCGACGTTCAGTTAACTAGGCATTACTATAGGTATTGTTCATGTTGTTACTGTTAAATATAATTAATATAAATATGTATTTTCGTTTATTAGTTATCCTCCTTGGCTCATCCGATTTCAATTCGTACTGCCTCGCTTTCGTGGGTGGTTACTTGAATTTCGTTAAATTGTGGATTACACATATAAAAAATAATTCATGTCGTATCTTTGCATCCTCTCATGCTACACGTTTATATAAATATTTTTGTTTTTTTGGGGCCTGGGGTTACGCACTTACTCTACTGGAAAAACCATTGAATAGCCTTCCACCCTCTTCGTTTATTAAATACAAAGTGATTTTGCTAGGGCAAAACCTGTATGTTCGTTATAAAATCATTAAATCATACACCTATACTTCGCTTAGCGACTTCATAAAATATACTTTCATTAAATTTAATATGCAACTAGACAAGTCAAAGATTACGATTTGGAAAGTAATCACTTTATTTTGATTTCAGATCTGTTCGAGTCATGTGTAAAAACTGAAAATGTTGATTATAAAACGCCTTAAAGCGTTAAACGAGATATAGGTGTAGTACTCAGCTTTTGTTTATAATATTGCTTTAATGGCGCTGTATTTCGTTTGATTTAATAGAGTGCTCTTTAAAGATGAAAGTATTTCTAAACACAACAATTCAAAGTTAGTATGGGGCGGGATGATGGCAAAGTTAAATTAAAAGTCATGAAGGGCTTTTTTCATACTCTGCTCCGTTTCGCTTCTTTTTGGCACATTGCTGCACTTTATATTTTTGCCATGGACTACAACAAGTGTTCGTTTCTCGTAAATCTTCATAAATAAATATACATAGGTCGTATGCTATAAGAAATTGCTGTACAACAACAAGTGAAGCGTGTGATTGGATTTGGGGGGTGCTTGAATCGTTGATAATTATAGTATTTATAATCAATTTTATTGCATAGCGAGCGAGTAAAGTAAGTTTTTCTTTTTTTGGATTTTGGTGTGGTGCGTTTCGGGTACTCTGGTCTGTTTTATCAATCATTTTTTTTCTTTTTTTTTTAAGAGTAGAAAATAAATTTGTTCTAAAATGTCAGTCTATTGCGCAAAATCTACATTTGACGTGATTTCTACCCGACTCTCGTTTAGTTTAGTTGCAAGTTTTCCTCGTTTCCGTTCCTTTTCCTTTTCGTATATAAAAATTCCCTAATATTTATGCATCGTGTATCGTTCGTTCAGCTCAATCCGCCATCCGCAATCCATTAATGATTGCGATGCGATTCCATCCGATCTCTGATCCTATCCTATCCCATCCGATCCGTTCCGTTCCGTACCTCGCCCTTGATTCATGCCCACATTAGATGACGGGCCAGGCGGACGAGCTGTTGGGGATCGGTCGGTGGTCGGTGGTCGGAAATCGGGTATCTGGGGAATCGGTGTCCTACGGCAACTAAATACGTCATACAGCTATTGCTACTACTGGCCTACGACTACTTAGTGGCTACTTAGGGCACTTATCCTAGCTTCGTGTATGCGTAGGCGCAGATCACGCCCACCACAACACCAGCGGCAATATATGTGAGTAATGACCTTCGTTTCTTTGCCGCCAGCTGGCTGTCCTCGTTCTCCCGCTGCTTCCGCTTGATGTCGTTGACCTTCTGTTCCAGGCTGGCCTGGTATTCGTTGCGTTTTCGCCGCTTCAGCTCGTTCTCCGGACTGAAAAGGTTAAATGTTGACATGATTATAAAAATTGAATGGGTATCTCCTAAATTCTTAAACTTAAACTATTTACTAGGTATTGATATGAAATCATAAGAATTATCAAAAAAGTGGAAAGTAATTGTGTGTAAATGCATAAGATAAATTGAAAATAAGGCCAGAGAAACTGGGCTATCTTTTGAAATTCAACTTAAGGTGTTGCAAATCGACTAGAGATCTCTACCTGGCTGGAAGTTGGTCTGGAATTGTATCAATGCCGTTGGCCTTGTTTTGTTCGCCGGCCGGCGCTGTTGGCTTCTCGTTGTTGGCATTCACATCGTCGACATGAGGCTGTGCCGTCGTCACATGACCATTGACTGGCTCTGCTTCGTGTTCGTTAATGGTCTCGTACTCCTCATCCTCATCGGTGTCATCCTCCTCGTCGTCGTCCAGCAAGTAATCCTCATCGCTGTCCGATTCGTTGAGAGCTCTCAGCGGCCTCGAGGGCAGCGGCGGCAAGGGACGGCTGTCGGCCACCTCTGCATCGTGGATTATATCATGCTGATTGATGAAGTTGTTCAGCGCGTCCTTGCTTAACTTTTCGCCAATCAGTTCGGCGATATCATCAGCTCCATTGGCCTGGGCTGCGCGCATATTAAGCAAAAGAACGCCACCAGAATTGGGGGCCAGTGGCAAGTTTAGCGATTGAACGCGAGGCGGCAAAGGCGGCGGCAGTTCATCCAGTGTGTGGGTGTCTGTGTCATTGCTAATAATTGGCTCCTCAGCGTTGAGAAAGGTCTGTGAAGGAAGTAAAGAAAAAGCGTTAGTCTCGGATAATAAGCAAGAATGTCACAGAAATCTCTACCAACCGAAAATCAATGTCATCTTTTGCGGATCAATAAAATTGAAAATTAATGTGGGTATAAAATATTTATGTTGATTATTTACGAACTTAATGATGCTCTAAATGATGCAGTCTTACACAAAACAAAAACTCGTTAATAACAAAAACAAGTTGAACAAATTGTGTGAAGTAAGATAAGGCATTTAGATTTAAAGTAAAATTGTACCAAAAACATTAGACTGACTTTTAAAATCTCTGACAAGGCAGGGATTTTTGCGAAATGTCACTAGAGATTCCTGTGACACCCCACAAAAAGCGAATTGTCCAATTAAAACGGCGGTGCTTGGCAGCCCCCGGTTTGGACCCCCAAACGCCGGCCGCTGGTCGCGCATACATACGGGATCGTGCAGCTTCTTGATGCCCTCGATGATCGCCTGGTAGGAAAAGTCCAGCTGGTCGGGGGTCTGGATGAGACCCATGCGATAGCTGCGCAGCTCACACAGCACCTTGGACACATTGCACTCGCCGTACTTGTCGATCAGCACCAGGCAGCAGTCCACCAGGCAAAAGGTGCCCGACCGTCCGATTCCGGCGCTGCAGTGCACCACCGCCGGACCCACGTCGCGGCTCAGGCAGCCGGAGTCGCGCACCTGCTGCAAGAACTTGAGGAATGCATTTGGCGAGCTGGGTATGCCAAAGTCCGGCCATGTGGTATAGTGGAACTGCATCACCTCTCTGCTCTGCTGCGTTTCGAGATCGGTTAATCTATAAAAGTTATAAATTTCAATTAGTTGGTGTTATCTTAAGTTTGTTTGTATTAAACCAAACACATTATGGGAATGGGAAACAATATAGCTGTTTTAAAGATATTTCAATTGCAATCACAATCACAATCACACCCTCGCAGCAAATACAAAAATGTTATATTCCATTACAATAAAGCTGTCTTAAATGTCGAGAGAACAATTACTTGCTATCGGTATAATTGTTAATACTTTAGAAACGGAAAGTAAACTTCCTCATTACTTCATCACTTAAATAGTACTCGCCATTATCAATTATTATTATTTGGTTATCATCATGTCACGTGAGAATATGCGCATATAATTGGGGTATTTTATTTAAATGTTTTCCAGTAGTGATAAGGAATTTTGTCGTATTCTTAGAATACATATTTGCCATCTGTCGCATGGGAATCATTTATAGGCAACTATCATTCAGATAGTTTAAAATCTGAAAGACTAGTGTTTGCATAGAAACAGACAAACGGACATGACTAGAACGACTCTCCTAGCGATGCCTATCAAGAATTTATATACACTTAATGGGGACTTAAATGTCTCTTTTATGGCGTTGCAAACGTTTAACTTAAGCATAACTCACTTGAACCACCGTCGCACAAAGTTCTGGTAGGTCTCGCAGCGGATTAGCTCCACTGTGAGTTTGACATTGGGCAACTTTAGGGCCTTGTCAGCTCCCATCTCGTTGGGCCAGTAGAGGTGGCACTTGATCTGCTTCTTCTCCATTATCTTGTTGAGCATGAGAATGGCGCTGGAATTCTGCTCCCAGACCATCAGCCAGAAGTGGCCCACTGTGTCCGCCAGCGGTCCCTGGGTCAGGATGTACTGACGCTCGGCGCGCTCCAGCTAATAGAAAGAATAGGCATTAAAATGGGGGACAGCGGAAGCATTAAAATAGGAGGGGACCCACCTTAACCAGGTTGGCATTGATGTAGTCCACGCTGCCGCGCTTCAAAACAATGCGGGAATGGTCATACGGATTAACATCCCGATAACGATTCAGTCCGCGGTTTGTGTGACGTTCCGATTCCGAAGTGCTGAATTGTTTTTCCTTCGCTTCCCGGTCACTGGTCTCGCAAATTTCCTGAAATTCCAAAAACTTGATTAGTTAAATCGAAATGGCTCATAGCAACAAGTGATTAAGGAGGGAGGTTTCCGTTCTCTGTCATCCAAAATTAAAAACATTTCAAATAAAATACTATTATAGTATTTAAAATCTCTTTCAATAATGGCAAATCTTTTGAACTCAAAAAAGCATTTAAAAATAAAAACCCACCCATAGGCTTTGCAATGGAAGCATTTTTAAAAACTTTATCAATGCATTTCAAGAAGTAGAACTTCTTGAACTGGATTCACCCTTTTAGGTAAAATTAAATTTCGTCTATTTAACTTTTAAGTTCTCAGTCGTTTGCAAGAGTGTGTTCTACATTTTTAAAAGGCTAGGCCTACATGTAATCAGCAAGTTCTTAAAATACACGGCTCCATTAAAATACAGCTTTAATGTATATTTTTTCTAGGAATTAGTTTATTGCGAATAAATACGTTTTGCACATATTTAAAAAGCTAATTGGTCACTTAAAGCTAACTATTTGGCAGTTGATTTTTGTGGAAAATTTTGGTTAAAGTACTTTATCATTAAGGCATATTTTGTAAGCTGCATAAAAGACCTTAAGTCAAAGTTATTTAAATATCCATTTGCATACGCATGTATTTATAAGAAATGACTCAACGCATTCCTTAAGAAATGGTCAGCAGAGATATAAAAATAAAGTAGTAGAAAACTTAACCTTTATGGATAATTAATTAGGATTCATGGAATTCTGAAAACAATATTAAAATTACATATTCATAATGCTTTGGTAAACAGACATGAAACATTTTGGATCACTGAAATTCTCTGTAAAAATATTGTAAACAAAAAGCCATTACCAATGGGGGGATCTACATATATTACTCTCAGCATTTTGATTTTCCAAGTTCCGTACTCAAATTGATAAGACCGTGTATATTCCATTCTTGTCTTTGCTTAATATCAACAGGCGGGAATTTCATTTTGCAATTTGCACCCAGAAATCGAATGTCTTTTGTCATGGGGGTTGCCCCATTTGCCCCTGACTCACACGGGCTTCTCTTCTTGGCCAAACCCTGCTGCAATAGACAGATATGAATGGATACGGGGACTTGGAGTGGAAGGGAGCCGAGCCGAACAGAACTGAACTGAATTGAAGTACCGAAGCCAAAGCCCACCCAGCTAACAAACCGGGCGTGACTAATTAGCCAGGCAGCAACGCAGGCTGGCTGTCGTTAATGTCATTATCTTGGGCATGACCGTTTGCCGGCTTTATCAGCCGAATGTATGTACATACATATAATTGCTGGCGCAGCTGTAAAATGCTGCCATGGACAATCGAACCATCCAACAACCAAACACCAAACAAGGTCAATGGCGCCAACCCGACGACGATGACAAGTGTGTGCCTCAAACTCGGCTCAAAGGCAAACAGCGATTTTTTTTTTGGCCACCGGATAAGTTTAATCACATGCATACGGTGATGATGAGTAACCCAGACAAAGCGATTTATACTGTTTCTCCTGCAGCTTGCGTTGATTACAGCTCGAAAAATCAGTTGTTAATTATCAGTTCGTCATGTTTCGAAAGTGAATCAGCTGCAGAGCTTGAAAATACCCGTATTTTTCAGTTATGAAATCACTTTGAAGTGCCAAATTCTTACGTAATCTTCAAATTGATGAAGGGCAATGTCCGATAAGGTACATTTTTATAGAGAAAAAATTACTTGCACACCTTTTACGTTTCGTATTGCTATCGAAATAATTGATAATTCTTTAGAAACGGAAAGTAAACTTAAGTTGCATAAAATATTTCTCAGAACTATTCATCACATCCACAGTATTTGCTATTATCAATTATTTGACGGTTGATTATCATCATGTCACGTGAAAATATACGCATATATTTGGGGTATTTTATTTAAATGTTTGCCAGTGATAACGAATTTTGTTGTATTTCTTAGAATACATATTTGCCATCTGTTGCCATCAAATCATTTATGAGGGTAATTTATTCCTTGTCAAAAGAAATATCTGTTAGTATTTATTTATTTGGACAACGTAAGCCGAATTGTAGCTTTGATATTTCAATTCAACTGAAATACATGCTTCTATTTCCGACCTGATTTTCTAATAAACAGAAATCAGTTCTTCAGCTCCATTAATCATTAAGTCTTGGGCCGTTTACCGCAGCTACAAACTGTTATTTTATGCTCTATGGCTATCCAGGTGACCCTTCTAAACAGAATTGCAAAATCTTGGCGGGCGGGGGCTTGGATTTCTAAAGCGTGTCGTACAAACAGTTTTATTATTATTTTTCTGCTTTGTGTTGCGGTGCTCAAGGAAAGGCAAGAAACTGAAACAAAAACATTGCATGCAGGCGGAGCATAATTGCAGCTAGTACGGAAGTAAAATTCCTATTAAGTCGAATTTTATATACCCTAATAGTTTAAAAAAAAAATTAAATAAATAAAATAAATTTAAACACATTTCGTTTTGAGTACAAAAAATTATAAAAGATTTAAGTAGGTTGAATCGAATTTTTTGGTTATATAAAATAGAGAATTAAGGTTTGGTCGACCCATTTGCAGAGCATCAAGAAAAAGCTTCGTCACAGTCGATGGGGTTGTCATAATGGGGCGGAATGGAATGGTTTGTAAGATGAAAAGGATGGATCAAGAAAGGCGTTAGGTGTAAGTTGATAGGCGGGGAAATGGGGGCGGCGAGAGGAGTAGACCAAGTAACGGGAGTGCGTTCAATGGAAACGATTATGCATAAAGTGCGCAAAAAGCATAACAAAACAATACGATCCGAATGCGTCATTGCGTTTTCGGCATACAGTAAAACCACGAAAGTGACGCTATTAAACAGCACATTTTAAAGAACAGTAAGACAAAGCTCTTATTCTTCAACGTTTTTTTAATACTCAATGATTTAAAACCAGATGAAATTTCCATTATTCCTATTCAACATTAATTGACTCTTAATAAATATTCCATTCAAGTAATGTTAGCTTAATAGCGACCTTTAAACTCATCTTAATTGACTTTAAAGCTGCTTTGAAACATAATAATCTTTATGTTTATAATTTGTATTTTTTAAATTCTTGGAACACGTCTAAAACACAATTTGCTCCAACCTATAAACAGATAATATCAGATTATTTCTGAAATTTTCTTATCAAGAACATTGGTAATTATTTCCAGAATGTTGCATAAATAAATAAAAATAGCACATTAGTGCTTACTGTAAGACTTAGAGACATTAAAACATTTCGAGGAATTTTATGGAAATTTAAAGTATTATTTATGGAATTCAAAAAGAATATATGTATGTATTTCCAAAGAAAACTAGACCTAGCGGAACTGTATCTTTTCTTGTTATAGAAATGTGACTGTGTTTGTCAACTTATAAATTGCAATACTATAAAAATATCGGGAAGTTTCTTGATAGATCAAATTTCAACAAAATTCGTTTATGGAATTTTGGTTAAGCGACTCTTTGAAGTTCTAAATTTTTTTCATAGAATTTCGACATCGCCAAGCTGGACTGTATTTTAATGGAAATGGCTGGCAGCAATTTTTCCAACCAGTTGCGACGCATAATTGCGAACGAGCTCCTTTCAGTTAGCTGGAAAATTAGATTATCCTCGCTGCGCGGGCACAGCACAAAGGATGCCCGAGGAGCGGGTCCAGAAACCGAGATACACAGCCCATACTGTGTCATCCTAACTGCGGAGTGGAATTCCGTGAAATCCCAATTCAAGTGAGTTGAAGAGGTGGAAGAGGGAGGAGCAGCTGAAGACACAGTTCGCCGGAACTGGCTATAAAGCAGAAGGAGAGGAGGAGGAGGCAAAGAGAGGATTCCGACAGGCAACAAGAAACCCAAAGCGAGACTCAAAAACCAGACGCATGCCCTTTGTGCCCCTGTGTGCGTGAGCCTCTCTGTCCGCCAGTCTATGTGTGTGTGTGTGTATGTGGAGTTCTTAAGTGGCTACCACACTGTCACCCCTCGTCCATTTATTTTGTTTTTTTTTTTTTTGGGGGGGGCAATGGCAATCACAACAACAGTGTTCCCAGAAATCGCTTCCAATTTTATTTGGCCAAACGAGATTTCGCGGAATAGCTCAAAGCTCTATTGATAGCCAAAGGAGAACGTTTTTGGGGAAAGGTAGCAATAGCCAAGCATAGATATGCCAAATACAGACAAACGCACACACAGACACGGCCATAATAGAGAATGCAAAGCGAAATGCAGCAGGTGAGCAACTATGCATGTGTGTGTTGGTGTGAATCTGTTTGTACATTCTTTTTCAGTGTTTTTTGTTTTTGGTCAAAGCCTGGCTGGTGAAGCAAACCCAACAACACTAGCGCACTAGGGCCCCACAAACACACACACACACAGAAAGCTTGCTCCCGTGTATTGGTGGTGGAGGCATCTGCAGAAAGCCTTTTGCGCACTCATCACATTTTCGTGGAAATCGAACCGCCAAAGGAGCTCCGAAAAGGTGTGTACCCGCATCCGTTGCGAATCCTCCGCGACTTTGACCTTTGCCATAACAGTTTATCCATTTTTTCGTGTTTTTTTTGTGCAATTGCAGCCGTCGTAGTTGTTGTTCTTGCCATTTACCTTGTAAAAGGAGTGCCATTGTGGCCGTTTGTCCTTGTATTCCGCCGCGATTTGCTGAAGGGCCGACAGCCCACTCGTTTTCTGCTCGCTCATTGTGCACACTTTGCTGCTGCGTTTTGTTGCGATTTAATAACTTTTAATTTGGAATTAATCAGGCGGCGTTGACTAGAGCTGGAAAACTATTCAGAGTGACCAGGCGGCAGCAGAGTGTTTGCACCAAGCTGTCAGCGTTAAGGCTTTATTTATACCATCAAAAAAATACCTTGCTCACACTGGATTTTTAAAATAAATAAATAAATAAATAAAATAAAAATAAATTACAATGGGTAATTACTTTTCTAGTTGGAAAAAAATGTAAATTAAAAAAATAAGATTCCACTACTAAGATATTCTGGTCTAAATTTTTTTTCATTTTTTCAAGTAAAATTTTAAAAGTCTAAGCATTCAAATTATGGAAAAAACAAAACAATTCCTAGACCAGAATACCTCTTTAATACAAGTTGTCAATGTATCATGAAAACGTCAGTTTCTATGTTTTTAAAATAAGAAAAATGAATATTTTAATTATTTATTTATTTTAAATACGATTTACAATTATATACAACCATATTATATACGTAACTAAACAGTTTTAATAAAAAGTTTTTTAAATACTTTTTTCTAACATCTTTTAAAATACCAACTACTAAAAACCCATTATCCACTGAAGGGTCACACTGCCAACAATCGTTTATCGGAGGCGCAGATGTTTATTTCACTTGTTACTCAATAAAATAAACTTGAACAAAATGCTAACTCGCGTGTTTCGTTTGGTGCACGATAGGCGTCTAAGTGTGCCTGTTCTGCGTTGCTTTCACCACGAGTTCTCAAAACCGCCAACAGTGCCTGAAAAAAGCCTGGAAAAGGAAGGTAATCCCGGCCAGAATTTGGTTGCCGGCGTTCAGGACAAATACAAAATATTCCGAGACGAGGAGGCCACCGAGATTTTTGATGTTGAGGAGGCGCGAAGTCAGGAGCAGCAGCTGCCAGAGGATTCGGAACCGGAGCAGGATCAATACTATGGCCTGAATTTAAAGCGTATGCTAGGGAGAAGCCAGGAATGAACCGAAACTTAAGACTTATACCCTCTTTACAGGTGGCGTTCGCGGAGTGTTCGATGTTGGGGATCTGGTGGATTTGCTGCGCAAGGAGAATGTGGACGACATTTTCGTTTGCTATGTGCCAGAGAACCTGAAATATGTGGATCACCTGGTGGTTTGCAGTGGTCGCAGCTACCGACACATGCTGACCACGGCGGAGTTTGTACGTCGGATTTTTAAAATCAAGCGGACCAAGGGCGACATTCTGCCCCGCATTGAGGGCGACAAGAGCCGGGATTGGATGGCCATGGATTTGGGTAAGTACTAACAGGAAAATCATAAATTTAAAGTTGCTCTAACTGCCATTCTATTCAATAGGCAACATTGCCCTGCATATATTTTCACCTAGGGCTCGGGAGGAATACGACTTAGAGTCGCTGTGGGCCATTGGCTCCCAGTACGACCGCGAGAGCCAAAAACCGAACGATCCCTATGGCGATATTTTCTTGGCCCAAACTCCTCTTACTGTTGTGGAAAATGCAAAGCATGAGACGTGAAATGATTTCGCTTTACTAGTTAAATATAATAACCATCGATCACTAGACTGCGTCGAGATATTTTTGTTGAAGTCTTATAGATTGGAAAAGACTATATAACGGCAAAGGTTTTATCTTCCAGATTTGAAAGACTGTCATTTAACGAGTTCATCAACTTTGGAACTGTTTTCCCTGGTTTTTGGCGATATACTAAAGTTTTAAAACTTGAAATTGGTTGAAATGGAATTCACTTTAGGTCTTCAGCAGCCTGAAACATTGCCAAATAACTTTCTTAAAAAATTGTCAGCAGCTCAGGCGCCATCTATGTTACGATCTTTGCGAATATCGGCTCCCAAAAGTATGCTACACTTTCTAGAATAAGGATTTCACAAAAATGTATTTTACTGCATACTTTTGTGTTTAAACTTTCAAACTTTTCCAAAATGAAGTCACCAAATAAATGACAAGTGTTAAATTTTGAACAAACGAAAACAAAGATCCTATTTATTTTATTTTATAAAATAAGTGTGAACATGAAACGCATGATCTAAGAAAGAAAGATAAGTCAGTATGACTAAAGAGCTGGATCGTTTCTAATGCATCTAAAGAATATGGTGTATATTACAGCAAGGTATTTGACAACTGATCAGTGAAATGCCCCAATGATTCTGCAGTTCCCAACCAAATTTCACAGTGATTGAAGCAAGGCGGCCATTTAAATCATGTCTGATGGCTCACATCCTGTGGTGTTTTTTAACGACTGTTTGCCCACAATATAAATAAGCCCACTCAATGAGGTTCATTGTGTTTTTATAGTCATCGAGCGAGGTGTGAAGATGATTATAAATGCGATGATGCCTGTTTGCCCCGAATTGATCTGTGTGTTTGCACCGGCGAGCGAAATGCTGAATGAAATTTGGAAAATCTGAGAATTAGGGTCCGCTGGTTCTCCTGTTTTTGCCATCTTTGCTCGGAAAAGAGGTCCCTCCCTGGCGTTTGCATATGGAAATCATTTGTTCGCAGGCCATCACAGCGCGAGTTTAGCGTCAGAATTTACTACTTTGCGTCACGAGGGTCTGAAGAAGATCGAAAACTTAATAATTCAAAAATACGTGCTCGAAAATAAGTTATCTGTGTGTTTATAAAAACAAACAATGGCCAGCCAGCCAGCCAGCCAGCCAGCCAGTCAGCCAGCCAGTCAGACGATCGGACAACGGGACAGACACCAATTGGCCGACACATGATAGGCGTTAAATTTTATGAAATTGTTGAAAAACTCGAAATGCCAATTAACATGGTTTTAATACAATTTGTCGACGTCAATCAGGAATGATGGAGGAAAGGGGTGTAGACTACGGGTTGGATTTTCAATGGATTGCCACCACTTGAGCATGTGATATGGAGGAACTTTCCGTTGAGGATTTTGCGTGTCCATAATCAGCCCATAATCGGTGAATCGATGGGTTGAAAAACAAATCCCTGGCTGGATCACTCCAATGGGTCAGAGGTGAGCTAGAGGATGTGTTGATTTCATATCTCATCACGAGGCTTTGGCAGCAAATAGAAGCGGAACATGAAGTCGATTAAATATGCTTTAATTTCCTTAAAGTGGTCAGCATTTGTTGAGTGCTGCCTTCATCAGTTTGCCTACATAACATGTAATTGGATATCAAGTGTGGTGAAGGCCGAAAAATCGATTTAAACAACTGAAGTATTAATAATTCAATGTTCATTACTAAAATCTTAGTGAGCTCATCAAATGATGTTCGAAATAAATAGGAAATACTACGAAGTGGTAATAAACAAATGTTAATTTCTTAAATACTAGTGAAATGTTAATTGATAGAAAAAATTTATTTAATATTTATTTTATTTTATATAAGAAGAGGATATATTAAGGAAACAAATGATTTAACGGTGGTTTAGAGATTTAAATTACTGTTAAGATAAGGATTTCCAGGAATGTTCTTGTCTTTAGGAACGAAGCAATTAATCTTAAATCTATTCATCTGTAAAAACAAACACTAAATTTTTTTCTTTGAACAAAATTCAAAGTTGTACACAAAAAAATTAATTTATTCCACCATTTGATCACAAGATAAAGAAGAATACTGGCCAGTTTATCGATTGAAACCCAAAGATCAGAAGCGCGTATATAGGGAACCACCGGACTATAACTTTTCACCAAGTGTCGAATTTAGTGCCCAAAACTTTAGACTCTTTTTCGGCGTATGCGGAGGCGTTTGGCGAAAACAAGGCGCAATTTCCATTAAATACAAATAAATAAAACCCGTCGAAGAGCAGACAAAAGCAGTCCCCCAGAGAGACCCAGTTTCCAGTCAATCAGCCAGGCCATAGAGAATTCTTCGTAGAATTCTGATTACCACCCACTGATCTGAAGACAGGCGGTTGAAAAGAGATCAGATGAGCGATCCAAGTGACGTCACTAAGGTGGCGATGATGCAGTCACTAAAATCCCATAGACCACAAAACCAGATAAGTAATTCCCCCCGGCTGAAAATAATAAATAAATAAAGATATTTTAGCGCGTGAGTGAAAATTCAGTGACGTTAGCGCCACGTCATCAGTGGCGTCGTGTGCCCCCGAAAGTTTTGATTATAAATTTGCATTTGTCTGCTTTCTTTGGGGCCCTCCACTGCCAGGCAACAGAGAACTGAATTCTATTTTCGTTGGATTGCACGAGAGTTTATTTCAATCGCCGGTCAGGTAAACAAACAACATCCCCAAAAGACCAGGGGATCACTTAATAATGTTCTATACTTGATGCCGTGACGAAGAGGAGCTTCCACAGACTATACATATACAGACTGTAATCGAGTGGGTCGATGGTTTCCTCTAAATGGTCACTGAGTGATTGGCAATTTATTACAAAACAATTCAGCTTTCTGTTGAAATAATATTTCAAATCAACTTTCTGCAGAACTTGGTCTCGAATCAAGGGGATGTTTCCATTGATCATAAGTTCCTTGAACTCATTTTCTACGAGTTAGTTAATGGATCTATCAGGTAAATTATGATTAAGGCAGTAATCGAATGAATTCGTAGAAATTCTGTCGATTTGGGTCGCTTCAAATTCTTTTATTTTTTGGTTAGGCATTAGTTTTATAATCGTTTTATTTGTCTGGTTTCGAAAACTATTTGCCAATGCTTTCAGTTTTCCATGGCTATCTTTAAAGAGATAAAATTAACTTTGTATTTAAATTAATTAGTAGGCTCTTTGCAAACCAGAAAACCAAAAATGGGAATAATCGCTTTAATTTTCACAGGTTAACTATTAAATAATGTAAAATTCTGGTATCAATTTTGAAAGGGTCAATTTTCGCTTTCTCTTTTTATTCGAACAAATTAAATGATTAAGAGCAAATTGGAATTTCATTTATTATCGTTACGAAAATTCATAAAAACAAGTAACATTTCATATCAGTATTTATTCTATATGTCTGGTATTCTAAAAAGGGCTTAAGTAAAACTTCTACTTTATTAAAAGTGATTTTCAAACAAATGTATTTTCTTAAATGGTAGTTCTGTTTGCTTTTCCTATTCCAACTTGGTGGCTTTTTAATTCACCCTTAGCTGATACCCAAGCCCATTTCGATGTGTCCACCTTCTTGTTTTAGTTTTTCCCCCAACTCAATTCAGGAATTTCCTTCTGCTGGAGAAACTAATCTCGTTTCTTGTGCCGCAGCACGTGTCCTGGCATCTCATTCCAGGATATATCCCCGGGCATATATGTGCCATGCATTTGGATTCAAATTCTCCGCCCAACGATTTTCCGGTTTTCCGGGATGTGCGTGCATTTGGGCCTAATCCGCGGGTTAGTGGCCGATTCAAGAGCCAAACCCCTGTTGCTGGGGAACTCCTGTGAACCCCCTCCAAACTTAATGGCCGGTCACCGTGATGTGGCAAATTTTCAGTTTCCTTGCTCGACAAACAAATTAAGAGCGGGGAAAAACGAAGGTTGGGCCTTTGAGACGCGCCCCTTTTTGGCTGGTGATTCAGATTTCCAACCCCCCCTCGAGAACGCCTCAGTTTTCCATCCCCGCGCAACCATTTTCTTGGCCAACTCTGCTTGTGGTCATAATACGCGTAATTTTGCCTTTTGTCAGGATGTGTTGTGGTGCGTCCTTGGCTGCTGCTTCCACATAATGACTTTTGATTACTGCGCCATTAAGCGCTCTCTTGAATTCGAACGACTGTTTATCCTGCTGCTCGTACATCTGTTTGATTTTCTCCCCTTTTTCCCGTTTTGAACCTGGGGTTTGGCCATGACCCTGCTCGTTTTTCGCATTCATTTCAGAATCCCCTGGCCGGTTGATGTCCCAGTTGCCATATGAACTTGTTAAATGGATCAGCAGCCAGGGTAAATCACTTTGGTAATTCGTTTTGCATTCAATTCCAATTTGAATTCAAATTCAGAATGGGTACATTTCCCCCAATTAAATTGTTTCGCCTCACTTTTAACTCAATTGCGTTTAGTTGGAGTTCGTTTCCCTTGGATTGTTTACGGCTTTTCAGTGTGCGCATTCTTTGCATAATTTGATTGACTGTCAGTCGTTGCTTAGAAAAGTCAAAGAACAACTACCAAGTAGATGGAAGACCCGCCCGTTTCACTTCGTACCTTTTACCGCCTTTAGACCATAAATTAGGCAAGTTTTTCAATAAACTGCACAAGTTGCGCATACGACGCGTGTTCCCTCAAGAGGAAACTGGGGAGCGGAGGGGTGGGGCGTTGGGGGTTGGGAACTGGGTGAAAAGTGGGTGGTTGGGAGGCGAAGCCAACAAGGTGCAGCAAATATTGCCACATCAATTGCGGCTACCCCGCCCACCTAACCACACATACATATGCCGCCCCCCATATGCACATCAATTTTAAAGTGCATACACGGCAAGAAATGAGGGAATTTTGAAGAATTTTGTATATTTAGAAACATATTAGAAAGGAATGAGGTGAACAAAGTTAATAGGAGTTTAGTTGTCAGTAAAAACAATAATATTTAGAAAATAAATGGCGGCTTATTGCCTGTAATGGTGCTTTTTATTTAAAGGT